AATTCCCAATTAATTCCCAATAATTCCCAATAATCCCCATTAATTCCCCATAATCCCCAATAATCCCCAATAAATCCCCAGTAAATTCCTTGTAATTCCCCATAATTCCCAATAATTCCATTAATCCCCAATTAATCCCCAATAATTCCCATAAATTCCCATTAATTCCCATTAAGTCCCCATAAATTCCCAATAACTCCAAATAATTCCCAATAAATTCCCCCTAATCCCCAATAATACCCAAGAAATCCCTAATAATTCCCTTTAATTCCCCATAATTCTCAATAATTCCCCATAATTCCCAAAAATTCCTAATTAATCCCAAATAATCGCCAGTAATTCCCAATAATCCCAAATAAATCCCCAATAATCCCCAATAATTCCCAATTGATCCCCAATAATCCCCAATAAATTCCGAGTAACTCCAAATAATCCCCTAATAATTCCCAATAATTCTGAATAATTCCCAATTAATTCCCAATAACTCCAAATAACCCCCATTAATTCCCAATAATCCCCATTAATTCCCAATAATTTCCAATAACTCCCATTAATTCCCAATAATTCCCAATTGATTCCCCATAATTCCCCGTAATCCCCTATAATCCCCAACAATTCCCCAATAATCCCCAATATTTCCAAATCATTCTCAATAAATTCCAATAATTCCCATTAATTCCTAATAAATTCCCAATAACTCCAAATAATTCCCAATAAATTCCCCCTAATCCCCAATAATACCCTATATTCCCCAATAATCCCCAATAAATTCCCAATAACTCCAAATAATTCCCATTAATCCCAATAATCCCCAATAATCCCCAATAAATCCCCAATAATCCCCAATAATCCCCAATAAATCCCATAAATCCCCATTAATTCCCAGTAAATCCCCTTAAATCCCCAATAGACCCCAATAACCCCCATTAATTCCCAATAATTCCCAATAATTCCCCATTAATTCCCAATAAATTCCCAATAACTCCAAATAACCCCCATTAATTCCCAATAATTCCCCATTAATTCCCAATAAATTCCCAATAAATCCCCAATAATCCCAATAAATCCCCAACAATCCCAAATAAATCCCCAATAAATCCCCAATAAATCCCCAATAAATCCCCAATAAATCCCCAATAAATCCCCATTAATCCCCATAAATCCCCAATAAATCCCCAATAAATCCCCATTAATCCCCAATAAATCTCCAATAATCCCCAATAATCCCAATAAATCCCCATTAATTCCCAATAAATTCCCAATATCTCCAAATAATCCCCAATAATCCCCAATAAATCCCCAATAAATTCCCATAAATCCCCATAAATCCCAATAATCTCTAATAAATCCCAATAATCCCCAATAAATCTCCATTAATTCCCAATAAATCCCCATTAATCCCCAATAATCCCCAATAAATCCCCAATAAATCCCCAATAACTCCAAATAATTCCCAATAAATCCTCAATAATTCTCATTAATCCCCAATAATTCCCATAATCCCCCAATAAATCCCCAATAAATCCCAATAATCCCCAATAAATCCCCATTAATCCCCAATAAATCCCCATTAATCCCCAATAATCCCCAATAAATCCCCAATAATCCCATAAATCCGCAACAATCCCCAATAAATCCCCAATAAATCCCAATAATCCCCAATAATCCCCAATAAATCCCCATAAATCCCCAATAATCCCCAATAAATCCCCAATAAATCCCAATAAATCCCCAATAAATCCCCATTAATCCCCAATAATCCCCAATAAATCCCCAATAATCCCCAATAAATCCCTATTAATTCCCCCCAATTCCTATAAATCCCCAATAAATCCCCAATAAATCCCATTAATCCCAATAAATCCTCAATAAATCCCCATTAATCCCCAATAATTCCCCATAAATCCCCATTAATCCCCCCCAATCCCCATAATTCCCCCCAATTCCCACTCTCCCCATCCCAATCCCCCCCTTGGCCGTTCCCATTCCGGGATTTTCCTGACCCCATCCCAGGGCCCTGGAGCCGCCCCTGAGCGACTCCGAGCGCTCCGAGCTCCTGGACACGGCCCTGGCCTCCGTCCTGGGCCTGCCCGCGCCCGAATCCGGGAAAAACCCCGGAGCCTCCCGGAGCCCAGGTGGGAATTCCGGGGAAAAACCCCCCCAAAAAAATTGGGAATTTTGGGGGGAAACCAGAGCGGGATGGGGGAATTCCCATCGCGACATTCCGGGTTTTTCCTGGGCTCTCTGTTGGGATGGGGCGGCTCCGGATTTGCTGGGAATTGGATCCGGGTGGGAATGGCGGCCCCAGGCCTGGGGGAGAAATGGGGGTTCCTGCCTCATTCCTGGGGATTCATTCCCATTGTTCCCATTTTTCCCATTATTCCATTTATTCCCATTTTCCCCATTTTTCCCATTCCCCTTTTTCCCATTTTTCCCATTCCCATTTCTCCAATTTTTCCCATTTTTCCCTTAATTCCCATTATTCCCATTCCAAATTTTTCCATTCTCATTATTCCCATAATTCCATAATTCCAATTAAAAATTTTGCATTCCCATTTTTCCCATTGTTCCCACTATTCCCATTCCAAATGTTTCCATTCCCATAATTCCCATAATTCCCAGTTTCCCATTCCGAATTTTTCCATTCCCATTATTCCCGTTATTCCCATTTTTCCATTCCCATTACTCCCAAATCTTTCCATTCCCATTTTTCCCATTTTTCCCATTATTCCCATTATTCAATTTTTCCATTCCCATTATTCCCATTATTCCCATTCCAAATTTTTCCATTCCCATTATTCCCACTTATCCCATTATTCCCTTTATTCCTATTTTTCCATTGCAAATGTTTCCATTCCCATTATTCCCTTTATTCCTTTATTCCCATTATTCCTATTCCAAATTTTTCCATTCCCGTTATTCCCATTATTCCTATTGTTCCCATTAATCTCATTATTCCCATTCAAATTTTCCATTCCCATTATTCCTATTATTCCCATTATTCCCATTTTCCCCATTTTCCCCATTATTCCCATTTTTCCCATTGTTCCCATTATTCCCATTGTTCCCATAATTCCCTTTACTCCCATTTTCCCATTATTCCCATTATTCCCTTTATTCCCATTCAAAATTTTGCATTCCCATTATTCCCATTATTCCCATAATTCCCATTATTCCCAGTTTCCCATTCCCATTATTCCCATTGTTCCCATTATTCCCGATTATTCCCATGCCAAATTTTTCCATTCCCGTTATTCCCATTATTCCCATTATTCCCATTCCAAATGTTTCCATTCCCATTATTCCCATTATTCTCATTATTCCCTTTATTCCCTTTATTCCCTTTATTCCCATTCCAATTTTTTCCATTACCATTATTCCCATCATTCCCATTATTCCCATTTTTTCCATTTTTCCATTCCATCATTCCCATCATTCCCATCATTCCCATCATTCCCATCATTCCCATTCCAAATTCTTCCATTTATTCCATTTTTCCATTCCATTATTCCCATTATTCCCATTCCAAATTTTTCCATTCCCATTACTCCCATTACCCCCATTATTCCAAATTTTTCCCCATTTCCCCAATTCCCATTATTCCCAATTTTCCCATTTTCCCATTCCAAATTTTCCAATTCCCATTATCCCCATTATTCCTATGATTCCCTTTATTCCCATTCCAAATCTTTCCATTCCCATTAATCCCATTAATCCCATTAATCCCATTCCTATTATTCCCATTTTTCCCATTATTCCCACTTTTCCCATTGTTCCCACTATTCCCATTGTTCCCATTATTCCCATTTTCCCATTCCAGATTTTTCCATTCCCATTATTCCCATTATTCCTATTGTTCCCTTTATTCCCATTTCAAGTTTTTCCATTTATTCCCATTATTCCCATTGTTCTCATTCCAAATTTTTCCATTCCCATTATTCCCATTACCCCCATTATTCCCAATATTCCCAATATTCCCATTCCAGATTTTTCCATTCCCATTATTCCCATTATTCCCATCTTCCCCATTATTCCCATTTTTCCATTTATTCCCTTTATTTCCATTTTCTTATTCCCTTTATTCCCTTTATTCCCTTTATTCCCTTTATTCCCGTTCCAATTTTTTCCATTCCCATTATTCCCCTTGGTCCCATTATTCTCATCATTCCCATTATTCCCATTATTTTCATTCCAAAATTTTCCATTCCCATTATTCCCATTATTCCCATTGTTCCCTTTATTCCCATTCCAAGTTTTTCCATTCCCATTGTTCCCATTATCCCCATTATCCCCATTATTTCCATTCCAAAATTTTCCATTCCCATCATTCCCATTATTCCCATTTTCCCAGTTTTTCCCCATTTCCCCAATTCCCAATTATTTCCCATTTTCCCCATTATTCCCATTATCCCCATTTTTTCAATTCCCTGCCCCTTTTTCCCCATTTTCCCAATTTTTCCCCATTTTCTCCCATTTTCCCCCCGTTTTTCCATTTCCATCATTCCCATTTTTCCCATTCCCATTTTTCCCAATTTCCCCCTCCCTTTTCCATTTCCATTCCCAAATTCCCATTCCCATAATTCCCATAATTCCCATATTTTCCATTTTCCCCGTTTTTCCATGATTCCCATTTTTCCCCATTTTTTTCCCCATTTTCCCATTCCCATTCCCCAGGCTTTTCCCACTATTCCCATTTTCCAATTCCCTATTTTTTCCCATTCCCATCATTCCAACTTTCCCCATTTCCCCCATAATTCCCAAATTCCCATTCCCTCCACTTTTCCCATTATTCCCTTAATTCCCATTTCTCCCATTTCCCACGTCCCATTTCCCCCATTATTCCCATTCTTCCCATTCCCATCATTCCCATTTTTCCCATTCCCATGATTCCCATTTCCCCATTTTCCCATTTTTCCCATTTTCCCCCATTTTCCCAATTCCCAATCGTTTCCCATTCCCGTTTTTCCCATTTTCCCCATTTTCCCATTATTCCCATTCCAAATTTCCCATTCCCATTCCCAAATTTCCAAATTCCCATTCCCTCCTCTTTTCCCATTATTCCCTTAATTTCCATTTTTCCCATTTCCCCATTCCCTGGTTGAATTTGGGAATTCCAGGATTTTCTCCCTTATCCCGAATTTCCCTGGCATTTCTCCCACCCTCTCCTTCCCTCACCCACAGGAATTTCACCCCAACAATTGGCAAAAAACCCCAAAAATTCCCATTTTTCCCATTTCCAACTTCCCATTCCCATTCTTCCCCATCACTCCCATGATTCCCATCATTCCCATAATTTCCATCCCAAAATTCACAGGAATTTCCCCCCAAAAAATGGCAAAAAACCCCAAAAATTCCCATTTTTTTTTTCTGGGCAAAGCCTGAACTGGGTGGATTTGGGAATTCCAGGCCTTTCCCAAGCCCAGAATTCCAGGATTTTCTCCCTTATCCCGAATTTTCCTGGCATTTGTCATCAGCTCCTTCCCTCACCCACAGAAATTTCACCCTAAAAATCGGCAAAAAATCCAAAATTCCCATTTTTCCCATTTCCAACTTCCCATTCCCATTCTTCCCCATCATTCCCATTCTTCCCCATCATTCCCATTCCCCCCATTCCCATTTTCCCCATTTTCCCATTTTTCCCATCATTCCCATTCCAAATTTTTCCATTCCCATAATTCCCATTCCAAATCTTTCCATTCCCATTATTCCCATTATTCCCATTATTCCCATTTGAAATTTTCCCGTTCCCATTGTTCCCATTGTTCCCATGATTCCCACTATTCCCATTATTCCCAATTTCCCATTCCAAATTTTTCCATTCCCATTTTTCCCATTTTTCCCATTATTCCCATTTTCCCATTGTTCCCATTTTCCCATTGTTCCCTTTATTCCCATTCCAAAATTTTCCATTCCCATTATTCCCAAATCTTTCCATTCCCATTTTTCCATTCCCATATTCCCATTTTTCTGAATATCCCCATTATTCCCTTTTTCCCATTCCCATTATTCCCATTCCAAATTTTTCCATTCCCATTGTTCCCATTATTCCCATTCAAAATTTTGCATTCCCATTCTTCCCTTTATTCCCATTCTTCCCATTTTCCCCATTGTTCCAAATATTCCCAATATTCCCAATATTCCCATTATTCCCATTCCAAATTTTTCCGTTCCTATTATTCCCATTATTCCCATTATTCCCATTATTCCCATCGTTCCCATTAATCCCTTTAGTCCCATTCCAAATCTTTCCATTCCCATTATTCCCATTTTTCCCGTTGTTCCCATTTTCCCATTCCCAATATTCCCATTATTCCCTTTATTCCCATTATTCCCATGTTCCCCATTGTCCCCATCATTCCCTTTATTCCCATTCCAAATCTTTCCATTCCCATTAATCCCATTGTTCCCATTAATCCCATTGTTCCCTTTATTCCCATTCCAAGTTTTCCATTCCCAATATTCCCATTATTCCCAGTTTCCCATTCCCATTATTCCCAATTTGCCATTCCAAATTTTTCCATTCCCATTATTCCCATTGTTCCCATTGTTCCCATTATTCCCATAATTCCCATAATTCCCAATATTCCCATTATTCCCAGTTTCCCATTCCCATTATTCCCATTATTCCCATGTTCCCCATTGTCCCCGTCATTCCCATTATTCCCATTCCAAATCTTTCCATTCCCATTAATCCCATTAATCCCATTGTTCCCATTAATCCCATTATTCCCTTTATTCCCATTCCAAATTCTCCATTCCCAATATTCCCATTATTCCCAATTTGCCATTCCAAATTTTTCCATTCCCATTGTTCCCATTGTTCCCATAATTCGCATAATTCCCATAATTCCCAATATTCCCATTATTCCCAGTTTCCCATTCCCATTATTCCCAGTTTCCCATTCCAAATTTTTCCATAATTCCCATTTTTCCCAACTTCCCATTCCAAATTCTGCATTCCCATAATTCCCGTAATTCCCATTGTTCCCATTATTCCCATCCCAAAATTCCCAGGAATTTCCCCCCAAAAAATTGCCAAAAACCCCCCAAAATTCCCATTTTTTTCCTGGGCAAAGCCCGGATTTGTTGGATTTGTGGATCCCAGGCCGTTCCCAATCCCAGAATTCCGGGATTTTTCCAGGATTTGCTCGGGGAGGCCCTGGGGGCTCTCACGGAGCTGCTCCGGGGGCTCCTCCAGAGGCGCCCGAACCCCGGCGGCCTCCAGGAGATCTTTGCTGTGAGTGCCCGAATTCCGGGAAATTTGGGGGAATTTGGGAATTCTGGGGGGAATTTGGGGGATTTGGGAATTGTTTGGGGGAATTTTTGATGGAATTTGGGATGATTTGGGGGGATTTTGATGGAATTTGGCGGCAATTTTGGGGAATTCTGGGAATTGTTTGGGGGAATTTGGGGAATTTTGGGAATTATTTTGGGGATTTTGGGAGAATTTTGGGGATTATTTGGGGATTTTGGGGGGAATATTGGGGGAATTTTGGGGGAATTATTTGGGGAATTTGGGGGATTTTGGGGGGAATTTTGGGGATTTTGGGGGATTTTAGGGGGAATTTTGGGAACTATTTGGGGGGAATTCTGGGGATTATTTGGGGGATTTTGGGGGGAATTTGGGGATTATTTGGGGGATTTTCGGGGGAATTTTTGATGGAATTTGGGGATTATTTGGGGGAAATTTTGGGGGGGAATTTTGGGAACGATTTTGGGGGGAATTCTGGGAATTATTTGGCGATTTTGGGGATTATTTGGGGAATTATTTGGGGGAATTTGGGGATTATTTGGGGGATTTTGATGGAATTTTGGGGGGATTTTGATGGAATTTTGGGGGGATTTTGATGGAATTTTGGGGCAATTATTTGGGGGATTTTGGGGGGAATTTTCGGGAGTATTTGGGGATTTTGGGAATTATTTGGGGGGATTTGGAGGGAATTTTGGGGAACTCGGAATTATTTGCAGGATTTGGGGGGAATTTTGGGGGACTTCTGGGAATTTTTTGGGGAATTTTGGGGGAATTATTTAGGGGATTTGGGGAATTATTTGGGGGGAATTGGGGGGAATTTTGGGAATTGTTTGGGGGATTTTTCTGGGATTTTGGGGATTTTTTGGGGAATTTTGGGGGGAATTTTGGGGGATTCTGGGAATTGTTTGGGGGATTTTTCTGGGATTTTGGGGAAATTTGGGGGAATTTGGGAATTCTGGGGGAATTTGGGAATTGTTTGGGGGGATTTTGCTGGAATGTTGGGAATTATTGGGGGATTTTGGGGGGAATTCTGGGAATTATTTTGGGGATTATTTGGGGGAATTTTGGGGAATTCTGGGAATTATTTGGGGGAATTTGGGAATTATTTGGGGGGAATTATTTGAGGAATTTGGGGATTTTTGGGGAATTTTGGGGGATTTGGGGGAATTCTGGGGGAAATTTTGGGGGTAATTTTGGGGAATTCTGGGAATTATTTGGGGGATTTTTGGGGATTATTTGGGGGGATTTGGGGGGAATTATTGGGGGATTTTGGGGGATTTTAGGGGGATTTTAGGGGGAATTTTGGGAATTGTTTGGGGAATTATTTGGGGGATTTTGGGGATTGTTTGGGGGAATTTTGGGGATTATTCGGGGGAATTTTGGGGATTGTTTGGGGATTATTTGGGGATTTTGGGGATTATTTAGGGGGAATTTTGGGGGAATTCTGGGAATTATTTGGGGAATTGTTTGGGGGATTTTTGGGGATTTTGAGAGATTTTTGGAGGAATTTTGGGGATTTTGGGGGAATTTTGGGAATTGTTTGGGGAATTTTGGGGGAATTTAGGGATTATTTGGGGGATTTTGGGGAATTATTTGGGGATGTTGGGGATTATTTGGGGAATTTTGGGGAAATTTTGGGGAATTTTGGGGGGAATTTTGGGAATTATTTGGGGGATTTTTCTGGAATTTTGGGGAATTATTTAGGGGATTTTGGGGGGATTTTGGGGGAATTACTTGGGGAATTTTGGGACTTGTTTCGGGAATTTGGGGGATTTTGGGGGGGATTTTGGGGATTATTTGGGGATTTTGATGGAATTCTGGGAATTATTTGGGGAATTTGGAGGGAATTTGGGGAATTATTTGGGGGATTTTGGGGGAAGTTGGGGAATTGTTTGGGGGATTTTGGGAATTGTTTGGGGGAATTTTGATGGATTTTGGGGATTATTTGGGGGATTTTGGGGGAATTCTGGGGGGAATTTTGGGGAATTCTGGGAACTATTTGGGGGAATTTCGGGGAATTTTGGGGGATTTTGGGAATTTTGGTGGATTTTGGGGGGAATTTGGGGATTATTTGGGGGATTTTCGGGGGAATTTTTGATGGAATTTGGGGATTATTTGGGGGAAATTTTGGGGGGGAATTTTGGGAACTATTTTGGGGGGAATTTTGGGGAATATTTGGCGATTTTGGGGATTATTTGGGGGATTTTTCTGGAATTTTGGGGATTATTTGGGGGATTTTGATGGAATTTGGGGAAATTTTGATGGAATTTTGGGGAATTATTTGGGCATTTTTGGGGCATTTTGGGAATTATTTTGGGGGATTTTAGGGGGAATTTTGGGAACTATTTTGGGGATTTTGGGGGGAATTCTGGGAATTATTTGGGGATTTTGGGGGATTATTTGGGGAATTTGGTGGGGGAATTTGGGGAATTTTGGGGAATTTCGATGGCATTCTGGGAATTGTTTGGGGGATTTTGGGGGGAATTTTGGGAATTATTTGGGGGATTTGGGGGAATTTTGATGGAATTTTGGGGGTTATTTGGGGGATTTTGGGGGCATTTTAGGGGGAATTTGGGGGATTTTAGGGGGAATTTTCAATGGAATTTGGGGATTATTTGGGAGATTTGGGGGGATTTTGATGGAATTTGGGGAAATTTTAGATGGAATTTGGGGATTATTTGGGGGATTTTGGTGGAATTTTGGGAATTGTTTGGGGAATTGTCTGGGGGAATTTTGGGGGGAATTTTGGGAATTATTTGGGGGGAATTTTGGGAATTATTTGGGGGATTTTGGGGGGATTTTAGGGGGAATTTTGGGAATTGTTTCGGGAATTTGGGGGATTTTGGGGGGGATTTTGGGGATTATTTGGGGATTTTCATGGAATTCTGGGAATTATTTGGGGAATTTTGGGGGGAATTTTGGGAATTATTTGGAGGATTTGGGGGGGATTTGGATGGAATTTGGGGAATTATTTGGGGGATTTTGGGGGAATTCTAGGGGGAATTTTGGGGAATTCTGGGAATTATTTCGGGGAATTCTGGGAACTATTTGGGGGATTTTGGGGATTTCTGGGATTTTTGGGAATTCTGGGAATTTGGGGGAAATTTTGGGGGATTTGGGGAATTATTTGGGGGATTTGGGGAATTATTTGGGGGGAATTTTTGGGGAATTCTGGGAATTATTTGGGGGATTTTTCTGGGATTTTCGGGATTACTTGGGGAATTATTTGGGGGAATTTCGGGGAATTTGGGGGGCAATTTTGGGGAATTCTGGGAATTATTTTGGGGATTTTGCTGGAATTTTGGGGATTATTTCGGGGAATTCTGGGAATTATTTGGGGGATTTTGGGGGATTTTGGGAATTGTTTGGGGGAATTTTGATGGAATTTTGGGGTTTATTTGGGGGATTTTGAGGTGAATTTGGGGAATTATTTGGGGGAATTTGGGGGATTTTTGGGGGTAATTTTGGGGAATTTGGGGAATTATTTGCGGGGAATTCTGGGGGAATTCTGGGAATTGTTTGGGGGATTTTGGGGGGGAATTTTGGGGGATTTGGGGGATTTGGGGAATTATTTGGGGAATTTTGATGGAATTTTGGGGGAATTATTTGGGGAATTTTGATGGAATTCTGGGAATTATTTCGGGGATTTTGATGGAATTTTGGGAATTATTTGGGGGATTTTGGGGGAATTCTGGGGGAAATTTTGGGGAATTTTTATTTGAGGGATTTGGGGGGGAATTCTGGGAATTATTTGGGGGATTTTGGAGGATTTTAGGAGGATTTTTGGGAACTATTTTGGGGGAGTTGTGGGGGATTTTGATGGAATTTTGGGGAATTATTTGGGGGATTTTGGGGAATTTTGGGGAGATTTGGGGGAATTACTTGGGGAATTCTGGGGGATTTTGGGGATTATTTGGGGGATTTTGGGGGAAATTTTGGGGAATTCTGGGAAATATTTGCAGGATTTGGGGGAAATTTTGGGAATTCTGGGAATTGTTTGGGGAATTTGGGAGAATTTTGATGGAATTTTGGGGATTATTTGGGGAATTATTTGGGGAAATTGGGGATTATTTGGAGTCTTTTGGGAATTATTTTGGGCATTTTGATGGATTTTGGGGGATTTTAGGGGGAATTTTGGGAATTATTTTGGGGATTATTTGGGGATTTTGATGGAATTCTGGGAATTATTTGGGGGATTTTGGGAATTTTGATGGAATTTTGGGGATTATTTGGGGGATATTGCTGGAAATTTGGGAATTATTTTGGGGATTTGGGGGAATTGTGGGGGATTTGGGGGGATTTTGATGGAATTTGGGAATTATTTGGGGAATTTTGGGAATCTTGGGGAATTCTGGGAATTTTTTGGGGAATTTGAGGATTTTGATGGAAATTGGGGATTATTTGGGGGATTTTGGGGAATTATTTGGGGAATTATTTCAGGAATTTTGGGAATTGTTTTGCTGTGAGTGCCCAAATCCGCGGGGATTGGGGCATTTGGGGGAATTTTGGGAATTATTTTGGGAAGTTTGATGGAATTCTGGGAATTGTTTGGGGGATTTTTCTGGGATTTTGGGGATTATTTGGGGAATTATTTGGGGAATTTGGGGGATTTTGGAGGAATTTTGGGGAATTCTTTTGAGGGGAATTCTGGGAATTATTTGGGGATTTTGGGGGGAATTTTGGGGAATTCTGGGAATTGTTTGGGGGGAATTTTGATGGAATTTTGGGGATTATTTGGGGAATTTTGATGGAATTTGGGGAATTATTTGGGGAATTTTGGGGGGAATTCTGGGAATTATTTCAAAAATTCTGGGGAATTATTTTGAGAGGAATTCTGGGAATTGTGTGGGGAATTATTTGGGGGAATTTTGGGGGGAATTTGGAGAATTATTCTGGGGATTTTGGGGGGAATTTTGGGAATTATTTGGGGCATTTTTGGAATCATTTTGGGAATTTTGGGAGGCGTGAGGCGGCTCCAGGATTTGTCGGGATCGTGGGGAAATTCTGAGGAATGGGGAAATGGGAATTCCGGGAATTCTGGGAGTTCCGGGAATTCCGGGAATGGGAGATTGGGAATTCTGGGAATTCTGGGAATTCTGGGAATGGGAGATTGGGAATTCTGGGAATGGGGAAATTCCAAGGCAAAGCTCTGGGGCTCATCCTGGGGAAAATGGGATCAGCCCAGGCCTGGGGGAGCAGCTCTGGACAGGGAATTCCCGCCAGAATTCCAGGATTTTCCCTTTGGAATTCCAAGATTTCCCCTGGAGAATTCTGGGATTTTCCCTGCCAGAATTCCAGCACTTTCCTCTTGGAATTCCGACATTTTCCCAGCAAAATTCCAACATTTTCCCTGGAGAATTCAAGGATTTTCCTGCCAGAATTCCGGGATTTTCCCTTTGGAATTCTCAAGGTTTTCCCACTGGAATTCCAGGATTTTTCCCTGGAGAATTCTGGGATTTTCTCGCCAGAATTTCAGAGCTTCCCTGCCAGAATTCCAAGATTTTCTCCTGGAATTCTGGGATTTTCCTCTTGGAATTCCAAGATTTTCCCAGCAAAATTCTGGGACTTTGGCTGGAGAATTCCAAGATTTTCCCCCCAGAATTCCAGGATTATCTCTGCAGAATCCTAAGATTTTCCTGCAAGAACCCCAGGATTTTCCTCTTGGAATTCCAACATTTTCCCTGCCCAAATTCCAGGATTTTCCCACCAGAATTCCAAGATTTTCCCTCAAGACTTCCAGGATTTTCCCTGTAGAGTTTGGGATTTTCCCTGCAGAATCCCAAGATTTTCCCTTAACAATTCCAAGATTTTCCTGCCAGAATTCCAGGATTTCCCATTTAGAATTCCAGCATTTTCCCACCTGAATTCCTGGGTTCTCCCTCCAGAATTTGAGGATTTTCCCATCAGAATCCCAAGATTTTTCCCCTTGGAATTCCAGGGTTTTCTGCTGCAATTCTTGGGATTTCCCTGCTGGAATTTTGGGATTTCTCATGGAATTCTGGGATTTTCCTGCTGGAATTTTGGGATTTTCCTGCTGTAATTCCAGCATTTTCCCCTGGAGTTCCTGCTGGAATTTCGATATTTTCCTGCTCGGATTTTGGGATTTTCCTACTGGAATTCCAGGATTTCCTGCTGCAGTCCCAGGATTTCCCCTGCAATTCCAGCATTTTCCCCTGGAGTTCCTGCTGGAATTTTGGAATTTTCCTGCTGGGATTCTGGGATTTCCCTGTTGGAATTATGGGGATTTCCCTGCTGGGATTCTGGGAATTCCTGCAGGAATTTTGGGATTTCGTGTGGAATTCCGGCATTTTCCTGTTCCTGCTGGGATTCTGGGATTTCCCTGCTGGGATTTTCGGGATTTTCCTGCTGCAATTCCAGGATTTCCCATGGAATTCTGGCATTTTCCCCGTTCCTGCTGGAACTTTGGGATTTTCCTGCTGGGATTTTGAAATTTTCCTGTTGGAATTCTGGGATTTTCCTGCTGGGATTTTGGGGATTTCCCTGCTGAAATTTTGGGGATTTTCCTGCTGGGATTCCGGGATTTTCCTGCTGGAATTCCAGCATTTTGCCCTGGAGTTCCTGCTGGAATTTTGGGGATTTTCCTGCTGGAATCCTGGGATTTTTCCTGCTGGAATTTTGGGGATTTCCCAGCTGGGTTTTTGGGATTTTCCCAGCTGGAATTCTGGCATTTCCCATCCATTGATTCCCAGCATTTCCCCGTTCATTCTTTGCCAGCATTTGGGGCCCTGGATCCGCTCCCCGCGCCCCCAGGAGCGGCTGCGAGCGCTCGGAGTCAGCGAGGCCCTGCTGGGAACCTTCCTGGGACAGCTGCGCGTGACCGTGAGTCACCAAAGGGGAAATAAAATAAAATAAAATAAAATAAAATAAAATAAAATAAAATAAAATAAAATATCAAATAAAATATAAAATAAAATAAAATCAATATAAATGAGAATAAACTCAGAATTCCTGGGACAGCTGCGCCTCACTGTGAGTCACAGAACGGGGAAATAAAATAAAATATCAAATAAAATATAAAATATAAAATAAAATATAATAAAATATCAAATAAAATATCAAATAAAATAAAATATAAAATAAATATAAATGAGAATAAAATCAGAATTTCTGCGACAGCTGCGCATCACCGTGAGTCACCAAAGGGGAAATAATAAAATAAAATATAAAATATAAAATACAAAATATAAAATATAAAATATAAAATATAAAATATAAAATATAAAATATAAAATATAAAATATGAAATAAAATAAAATAAAATAAAATAAAATAAATATAAATGAGAATAAACTCAGAATTCCTGGGACAGCTGCGCGTCACCGTGAGTCACAGAACGGGGAAATAATAAAATAAAATAAAATAAAATAAAATAAAATATCAAATAAAATATAAAATAAAATAAAATAAAATAAAATAAAATAAATAATATAAGTAATATAAAATAAATAAATAAATGAGAATAAAATCAGAATTCCTGGGACAGCTCCGCGTCACCGTGAGTCACACAATGGGGAAATAATAAAATAAAATAAAATAAAATAAAATAAAATAAAATAAAATAAAATAAAATATAAAATAAAATAAAATATAAAATAAAATAAAATAAAATATATAAATGAGAATAAACTCAGAATTCCTGGGACAGCTGCGCCTCACCGTGAGTCACACAATGGGGAAATAAAATAAAATAAAATATAAAATATCAAATAAAATATCAAATAAAATATCAAATAAAATAAAATAAAATAAAATAAATATAAATGAGAATAAACTCAGAATTCCTGGGACAGCTCCGCGTCACCGTGAGTCACACAATGGGGAAATAAAATAAAATAGAAAATAAAATATAAAATATAAAATATAAAATATAAAATATAAAATATAAAATATAAAATAAAATAAAATAAAATATATAAATGAGAATAAACTCAGAATTCCTGGGACAGCTGCGCCTCACCGTGAGTCACAGAACGGGGAAATAAAATAAAATAAAATATAATACAATAAAATAAAATAAAATAATAAAATAAAAAAAAAAAAAGAGAATAAAATCAGAATTCCTGAGGCAGCTGCGCCTCACCGTGAGTCACAGAACGGGGAGGGAAAATTAAATAAAATATAAAATATAAAATATAAAATATAAAATATAAAATATAAAATATAAAATATAAAATATAAAATAAAATAAAATAAAATAAAATATATAAATGAGAATAAACTCAGAATTCCTGGGACAGCTCCACGTCACCGTGAGTCACCAAAGGGGAGGGGAAATCAAATAAAATATAAAATAAAAAATAAAATAAAATAAAATAAAATATACAGTGAAAAAAATAATATCTATTAAATAAGGAAAGAAATAAATGAGAATAAAGTCAGAATTCCTGCGGCAGCTGCGCATCACCGTGAGTCACACAATGGGAAATAAAATAAAATAAAATAAAATAAAATAAAATATAAAATAAAATATAAAATAAAATAAAATATAAAATAAAATAAAATAAAATATATAAATGAGAATAAAATCAGAATTCCTGGGACAGCTGCGCCTCACCGTGAGTCACCAAAGGGGAAATAATAACATAAAAAATAAAATAAAATAAAATAAAATACAATAAAATAAAATAAAATAAAATAAAATATAAAATAAATATAAATGAGAATAAACTCAGAATTCCTGGGACAGCTCCGCCTCACCGTGAGTCACACAATGGGGAGGGGAAATAAAATAAAATATAAATAAAATAAAATATAATATAAAATAAAATAAAATAAAATAAAATATAAAATAAAATACATAAATGAGAATAAAATCAGAATTCCTGGGACAGCTGCGCCTCACCGTGAGTCACCAAATGGGGAAAGAAAATAGAAAATAAAATAAAATAAAATAAAATACATAATATAAAATATAAAATAAAATATCAAATATAAAATATAAAATAAAATAAAATAAAATAAAATAAAATAAAATAAATATAAATGAGAATAAACTCAGAATTCCTGGGACAGCTGCGCCTCACCGTGAGTCACAAAATGGGAAAATACAATAAAATACAGACTGAAAATCACACAAAATAACATCAATACATGATAGCAAATCAATAAATAGGGAAATAGATAAAATAAAATAAAATTAAATTAAATTAAATTAAATTAAATTAAATTAAATTAAATTAAAAAATGAGAATAAAATCAGAATTCCTGGGACAGCTGCGCATCAGCGTGAGTCACCAAAGGGGAAATAAAATAAAATAAAATATAATACAATAAAATAAAATAAAATAAATAATATAAAATAAAAAAAAAAAGAGAATAAAATCAGAATTCCTGAGGCAGCTGCGCATCACCGTGAGTCACAGAACGGGGAGGGAAAATTAAATAAAATATAAAATAAAATAAAATAAAATAGAAAATAAAATAGAAAATAAAATAAAATAAAATAAAATAAAATAAAATAAAATAAAATAAAATATATAAATGAGAATAAACTCAGAATTCCTGGGACAGCTCCACGTCACCGTGAGTCACCAAAGGGGAGGGGAAATCAAATAAAATATAAAATAAAAAATAAAATAAAATAAAATAAAATATACAGTGAAAAAAATAATATCTATTAAATAAGGAAAGAAATAAATGAGAATAAAGTCAGAATTCCTGCGGCAGCTGCGCACCACCGTGAGTCACACAATGGGAAATAAAATAAAATAAAATATAATATAAAATAAAATAAAATATAAAATAAAATATCAAATAAAATAAAATATCAAATAAAATATCAAATAAAATAAAATATAAAATAAAATAAAATATAAAATAAATATAAATGAGAATAAAATCAGAATTCCTGGGACAGCTGCGCATCACCGTGAGTCACAGAACGGGGAAAATTAAATAAAATAAAATATAAAATATAAAATATAAAATAAAATAAAGTAAAATATAAAATAAAATAAAATAAATATAAATGAGAATAAAATCAGAATTCCTGGGGCAGCTCCGCGTCACCGTGAGGCACACAATGGAAAATTAAATAAAATATAAAATAAAATAAAATAAAATATCAAATAAAATATAAAATAAATAATATAAAATAAATAATATAAAATAAGTAATATAAAATAAATAAATAAATGAGAATAAAATCAGAATTCCTGGGACAGCTGCACATCACCGTGAGTCACAGAACGGGGAAATAAAATAAAATCAAATAAAATAAAAAATAAAATTAAATTAAAATAAAATAAAATAAAATATAAAATAAACTAAAATAAAATATAAAATAAAATAAAATAAAATAAAATATAAAGTGAAAAAAATACATAATATAAAAAAAATAATATCTATTAAATAAGGAAAGAAATAAATGAGAATAAACTCAGAATTCCTGCGGCAGCTGCGCGTCACCGTGAGTCACAGAACGGGGAGGGAAAATTAAATAAAATATAAAATATAAAATAAAATAAAATAAAATAAAATAAAATAAAATAAAATAAAATAAAATAAAATAAAATAAAATAAATATAAATGAGAATAAAATCAGAATTCCTGGGACAGCTCCGCGTCACCGTGAGTCACACAATGGGGAAATAATAAAATAAAATAAAATAAAATAAAATAAAATAAAATAAAATAAAAATATCTAATCAATAAATAAATCCATGAGAATAAACTCAGAATTCCTGGGACAGCTGCGCCTCAGCGTGAGTCACAGAACGGGGAAATAAAATAAAATAAAATAAAATAAAATATAATGAGAATAAAATAAAATAAATATAAATGAGAATAAAATCAGAATTCCTGGGACAGCTCCGCGTCACCGTGAGTCACAGAACAGGAAAATAAAATAAAATATAATACAATAAAATATAAAATACAATATAAAATAAAATATAAAATAAAATAAAATAAAATATAAAATATAAAATAAAATAAAATAAAATAATATAAAATAAATAAAATATATAAATGAGAATAAACTCAGAATTCCTGGGACAGCTCCGCGTCACCGTGGGTCACCAAAGGGGAGGGAAAATCAAATAAAATATAAAATAAAATATCAAATAAAATATCAAATAAAATAAAATATAAAATAAATATAAATGAGAATAAAATCAGAATTCCTGGGACAGCTGCGCATCACCGTGAGTCACCAAATACACACAGAAAATCACACAAAATAACATAAAATACCAGAAAATACCAGAAAATAACATAAAATAACATAAAATAACATAAAATAACATAATTTCATTATAGCCAATAAATAAATGGGAGTAAAATCAGAATTCCTGGGACAGCTGCGCATCACCGTGAGTCACAGAACGGGGAAATAATAAAATAAAATAAAATAAAATAAAATAAAATAAAATAAAATAAAATAAAATAAAATAAAATATAAAATAATATAAAATAAATAATTCCCATCATCCCCATTATTCCCATCATTCCCGTTTTTCCCATTATCCCCATCATTCCCACCATTCCCATCATTCCCATCATTCCCATCATTCCCATCATTCCCATTATTTCCCATCATTCCCGTCATTCCCATCATTCCCGTCATTCCCATCATTCCCATCCTTCCCATTTTTCCCATCATTCCCATCATCCCCATCATTCCCATCTTTCCCATCATTCCCATCATTCCCATCATTCCCATCATTCCCATTATTTCCCATCATTCCCGTCATTCCCATCATTCCCATCATTCCCATTTTTCCCACTATCCCTATCATCCCCATCATTCCCGTTTTCCCATCATTCCCATCATTCCCATCATTCCCATCATTCCCGTTTTTTCCCCGCAGTCCTTGGCCCCGTTCCCAGCCCTGGTTCCCGTCCTGGCCCTGCTGGTCCCGCGCTGCTCCGATGGAATTCCCGGGGTTTATTCCCATTTTTTCCCTGCAGTCCCTGGCTCCGTTCCCAGCCCTGGTTCCCGTCCTGGCCCTGCTGGTCCCGCGCTGCTCCGATGGAATTCCCGGGGTTTTATTCCCGTTTTCTCCCCCTGCAGTCCCTGGCTCCGTTCCCAGCCCTGGTTCCCATCCTGGCCCTGCTGGTCCCGCGCTGCTCCGATGGAATTCCCGGGGTTTTATTCCCGTTGTTTTCCCTGCAGTCCCTGGCTCCATTCCCAGCCCTGGTTCCGGTGCTGGCCCTGCTGGTCCCGCGCTGCTCCGATGGAATTCCCGGGGTTCATTCCCGTTTTTCCTGCAGTCCCTGGCTCCGTTCCCAGCCCTGGTTCCCCTCCTGGCCCTGCTGGTCCCGCGCTGCTCCGATGGAATTCCCGGGGTTCATTCCCGTTTTTTCCCTGCAGTCCCTGGCTCCGTTCCCAGCCCTGGTTCCCATCCTGGCCCTGCTGGTCCCGCGCTGCTCCGATGGAATTCCCGGCATTCGCCGCCTCGCCCTGGATTCCGTGCGGGCCCTGCTGCGCATCCAGCTCTGCTACCAAGGTGGGGCCCGGCCACAATGGGAGCCATTCCCAGAATTCCCAAAGGGAAACATTCCCGAAATTCCCAACGGGAACAATTCCCAACGGGAACAATTCCCGAAATTCCCAAAGGGAGCAATTCCCAACGGGAGCCATTCCCGACATTCCCAAAGGGAACGATTCCCAACATGCCCAAAGGGAACAATTCCCAAAATTCCCAAAGGGAACAATTCCCAAAGGGAGCAAATCCTGACATTCCCAAAGGGAAAAAATCCCAAAATTCCCAATGGGAGCAATTCCCAACGTTCCCAAAGGGAACAATTCCCAAAATTCCCAAAGGAACAATTCCCAACGGGAACAATTCCCGAAATTCCCAAAGGGAGCAATTCCCAACATTCCCAAAGGGAACAATTCCCAAATTCCCAAAATTCCCAAAGGAAACAATTCCCAAATGAAAAAATTTCCGAAATTCCCAAATGAAAAAATTCCTAAAAGAAAAAATTCCCAAAAGAAAAAATTCCCAAAATTCCTAAAAGAAAAAATTCCCAGAAGAAAAAAATTCCCAAAAGAAAAATTCCCAAAATTCCCAAATGGAAAAATTCCCAAAAGAAAAAACTTCCTAAAATTCCCAAATGGAAAAATTCCCAAAATTCCTAAAACAAAGAATTCCAAAAATTCCCAAAACAAAGAAATTCCCAAAATAAAGAATTCCCAAAATTCCCAAAAGAAAAAAATTCCCAAAGGAAAAAATTCCCAAAATTCCCAAATGAAAAAATTCCCAAATGAAAAATTCCAAAAATTCCCAAAATTCCCAAAAGAAAAAAATTCCCAAAGGAAAAAATTCCCAAAATTCCCAAATGAAAAAATTCCCAAATGAAAAATTCCAAAAATTCCCAAAATTCCCAGAAGAAAAAATTCCCAACCCAACCAATTCCCGGTTTTTCCGGCTCTCCCTGCCCTCCCCAGCTCTGCTTTTAGGAATTTGGGGCTTTTTGGGATTGGAATTCCTGAAGTTCTGGGCTTCCCATCCAATCCCAGATTTTTCCACAGAATTCCCAAATTTTTGGGGGTCCCATCCCATCCAAACCCAGATTTTCCATGGAATTCCCGGAGGTTTTGGGATTTTTGGAGTTCTCGGGGTTGTCCAGCAGGGGGCGCTGCTGGGACAGAATTCCAGGGAATTTCATGGAATTTTTGGGAATTTCATGGAAGTTTTGGGGTTCAATCCCATCCAGTTCCGGCTTTTTTTTGGAATTCTGGGAATTTTCGGGGTTCAAACCCAAATTCCAACATTTCCATGGAATTCCCAGAGTTTTTGAGTTTCCATCCCATCCAATTCCGGCTTTTTCCAAGGAATTCCTGGAGTTTTTTGGGTTCAATCCCAAGGGAGAAATTCCATGGAATTCCCAAAGATTTTTGGGGCTGGATCCATTCAAATTCCGAATTTTCCATGGAATTCTGGGAGATTTGGGGGGGTTTGACTTTTTGGGATTGGTTCTCTGGAGGTTTCTGGGATTTGGGGGATTTTTGGGAATTTTCTTTGGGATTTTTGGGAGCGTGGAGTTCTGGGCTTGTCCAGGAGAGGCAATTCCATGGAATTCTGGGAATTTTTGGGGTTCAATCCCAAATTCCAACATTTCCATGGAATTCCAGGAGGTTTTGAGTTTCCATCCCATCCAATTCCAGATTTTTCCAAGGAATTCCCAAAGCTTTTGGGTTCAGTCCCAAAGATGGAATTTCCATGGAATTTCGGGGGTCCCATCTCATTCAATTCCAGCTTTTCCATAGAATTCTTGGAAGTTGGGGATTTTTTGGGAATGGTTTTTCCCAAGGTTTTTGGGATTTTTGGAGTTCTTGGGGTTTTCCAGCAGGGGGCGCTGCTGAGAAGGAATTCCATGGAATTCTGGGAATTTTTGGGGTTCAATCCCATCCAATTCCGGCTTTTTCCATGGAATTCCCAAAGTTTCTGGGTTCAGTTTCTATTCAGGAATTCCATGGAATTTTTGGGCTTCAATCGCCCCAAATTCCAATTTTTGTTCCCAAGGAATCCCCAAAGTTTTTTTCGCTTCAATCCCAAAGAGGAAATTCCATGGAATTTTGGGAATTTTTGCACTTCAACCCCATCCAATTCTGACTTTTCCATGGAATTCCAGGATTTCTTTGGGGGGTTTTTGGGAAGGCTCTTCCCGAGGTTTTTTGGGATTTTTGGGAGCGTGGAGATCTCAGGGCTGTCCTGGAGTGGGAATTCCATGGAATTCCAGGAGTTCTGGGCTTCCATCCCATCCAATCCCAGATTTTTCCACGGAATTCCCAAATTTTGGGGGTCCCATCCCATCCAATCCCAGATTTTCCATGGAATTCCAGGAGGTTTTTGGGATTTTTGGGATTTTTGGGATTGGGCAGTTCCCGCTTTGTCCAGCAGGGGGCGCCGCTTCCCTTTGGAATTTTGGGAAGCGCCTCTTGGACAGGGAATTCCAGGGAATTCCAGGAATTTTTGGGATCGATCCCATCCAATTCCAACTTTTCTAAACTTTCCAAGAGGGAATTAAAGGGAATTCCATGGAATTCCAGGAATGTTTGGGGTTCAAATGAAGAAAAAGCCAAAATTCCCGATTTATTTTCTGGGATAACGACAGCTTTGGATGCGTTTCCCAACTTCCAAGGGTTTTTCCAAGCCTGGAATTCCAGGATTTTCTCCTTTCCCAAACAATTCTGGGATTTTCGGGGCCTTCCCCTTCCTTTTGGGGCCCAAAACTCCCAAAAAATCCCCAAAAAATCCCCCAAAAAATCTGGAAAAATCCCAAAAAAATCCACAAAAAATCCCAAATTCCCCCTGGAATTCCAAGGTCTTTTGGGGCCCAAAAATCTGGAAAAATCCCCCAAAAAATCCCCGGAAAAATCCCCCAAAAAATCTGGAAAATCCCAAATTCCAAGGTCCTGGAATTCCAAGGTCTTTTGGGGCCCGAAAATCCAGAAAAATCCCTGGAAAAATCCCCCCAAAAAAATCCCCCAAGAATTCGGAAAAATCCCAAAAAAATCCCAAAAAAATCCCAAATTCCAAGGTCTTTTGAGGCCCAAAAATCCCCAAAAAATCCCCGAAAAATCTGGAAAAATCCCCCAAAAAATCTAAAGAAAATCCCAAACTCCAAGGCCCTGGAATTCCAAGGTCTTTTGGAGCCAAAAATCCAAAAAAATCCTCAAAAAATCCCAAATTCCCCCTTGGAATTCCAAGGTCTTTTGGGGCCCAAAAATCCCCCATAAAATCCGGAAAAATCCCCAAAAAAATCCCTGAAAATTCCTCCTGGAATTCCAAGGTCTCGGGAGCTTTTCCAAGCCCAGAATTCTGGGATTTTTGGGTGGAAATTTTGGGAATTCTCATTTTCCACCCAGGATTTTTCTCCTTTTCCCGAATTTTTGGGATTTTTTGGGTTGGACTTTTGGGAATTTTGGGAATTCTCGTTCTCCACCCAGGATTTTTGGCCTTTTCCCAAATTTTTGGGTGGGAATTTTGGGAATTCTCATTTTCCATCCAGGATTTTCTCCTTTTCCTGAATTTTGGGGATTTTTTGGGTGGGAATTTTGGCATCGGAATTTTGGGAATTCTCATTTTCCATCTGGGATTTTTGGGATTTTTGGGTGGAATTTTGGGAATTTTCATTTTCCATCCAGGATTTTTCTCCTTTTCCCGAATTTTTTTGGGAATTCTTGGGTGGGAATTTTGGGGTGGGAATTTTGGGAATTCTCGTTCTCCACCCTGGATTTTTCTCCTTTTCCCAAACTTTTGGGGATTTTTGGGTGGGAATTTTGGGAATTCCCGTTTTCCCCCAGGGTTTTTGGGGATTTTTGGCTGGGAATTTTGGGAATTCTCATTTTCCATCTGGGATTTTTGGGAATTTGGGGTGGGAATTTTGAGCATTCCCGTTTCCCCCAGGGTTTTTGGGGATTTTGGGGTGGGAATTTTGGGAATTTTGGGAATTCTCGTTCTCCATCCGGGATTTTTGGGATTTTTTGGGAGGGAATTTTAGGAATTCCCGTTTTCCATCCGGGATTTTTGGGTGGGAATTTTGGGCATTCCCGTTTCCCCAGGGTTTTTGGGTGGGAATTTTGGGAATTTTGGGTGGGAATTTTGGGAATTCTCATTTTCCACCCAGGATTTTTCTCCTTTTCCCGAATTTTGGGAATTTTGGGAATTCTCATTTTCCACCCAGGATTTTTGGCCTTTGCCTGAATTTTTGGCTGGGATTTTTGGGTGGGAATTTTGGGGTGGGAATTTTGGGAATTCCCGTTTTCCCCAGGGTTTTTGGGGATTTTGGGGTGGGAATTTTGGGTGGGAATTTTAGGAATTCTCGTTCTCCACCCAGGATTTTGGGGTGGGAATTTTGGGGATTTTGGGTGGGAATTTTGGGAATTCTGGGTGGGAATTTTGGGAATTTTCCCGTTTTTCCCCAGGTTTTTCCCGGGATCACCAGGACGAACTCGTGGAGGGGCTGCAGTGGCTCCAGGAGGGGCTGGAAAATCCCAACCCCAACCCCGACCTCGGCCACAGCTGCACCAGGATCGGGGTGGTGAGAACGGGGAAAATTCGGGAATTTTGGGGAATTTTGGGGGAATTTTGGGGATTTGGGGAATTTTGAGGGAATTTTTTTGAGATTTTGGGGGGATTTTATGGAATTTTTGGGGGAATTTTGAGAGATTTTATGGGGATTTTGGGGAGAATTTTGGGGGAATTTGGGGGACTTTTAGGGGAAGATTTGGGATTTGGGGGAATTTTGGGGAATTTTTTGGGCTTTTTCTGAGATTTTCAGGGGGGTTTGATGGAATTTTTGGGGGAAATTTGGGGATTTTGGGGGGATTTTTTTGGCTTTTTTTGAGATTTTTGGGGGGGGTTTATGGAATTTTTGGGGCAATTTTGGGGGATTTTTGGGGATCTTGGGAGAATTTTGGGGGATTTTTGGGGAGAATTTTGGGGGGAATTTGGGGGAATTTTGGGGGGTTTTTTTTGCCTTTTTTTGAGATTTTTGGGGGGATTTGATGGAATTTTTGGGGGAAGATTTGGAATTTTGCAAGGATTTTTGAGAATTTTTGGGGGGTTTTTAAAAAATTTCTGAGAATTTTTGGGGGAATTTTTGGGAGAATTTTGGGGGGAATTTTGGGGGGAATTTGGGGAATTTTGGGGAATTTTTTTTGCTTTTTTTTGAGATTTCGGGAGGGATTTTATGGAATTTTTGGGGATTTTTGGGGGAAGATTTGGAATTTTGCAGGGATTTTGGGGGAATTTTTTTTCATTTTTAGGAGAATTTTTTGGGGCTTTGTTAAAAATTTCTGAGAATTTTTGCGGAGATTTTGGAGAATTTGGGGGCATTTTACCGAATTCTGGGGGAATTTTTTGGGAATTTATTGAGATTTTGGGGGGCATTTTATGGAAATTTTGGGAGAATTTTGGGAGAATTTATGGGGATTTTTGGGAATTTTTTTTTGCTTTTTTTTGAGATTTTGGGGGGGATTTTGTGGAATTTTTGGGGGAATTTTGGGGGATTTTTGGAGAGAATTTGGGGGAATTTTGGGGGGATTTTTTTGCCTTTTTTTGAGATTTTGGGGGGGATTTGATGGAATTTTTGGGGGAAGATTTGGAATTTTGCAGGGATTTTTGAGAATTTTTGGGGGGTTTTTAAAAAATTTGGGAGAATTTTTGGGGATTTTTGGGGGGAATTTTGGGGGATTTTCGGGGGATTTTGGGGAATTTTTTCTCTTTTTTTGAGAATTTTTTGGGTGATTCAAAAATTTCTGAGAATTTTTGGGGAGATTTCTGAGAATTTTTGGAGATTTTGGGGGGGGTTTGTGGAAATTTTGGGGGATTTTTGGGAGAATTTTGGGACTTTTTTGGGGGATTTTTTTGGGACTTTTTTGGGGGAAGATTTGGAATTTTGCAGGGATTTTTGGGAATTTTTTTGTGATTTTGGGGGGGGATTTTTGGGGGATTGTTTGAGATTTTGGGGGATTTCATAGGGATGTGGGGGGAATTTTTGCGGGAATTTTTTCCAGAATTCCCGATTTTCCCCATTTTTTCCCATTTTTCCCCATTTTCCCCCTGTCCGCAGGTTCTGGGCAGGAGAATCCCCCTGGAATCTTTGGGGGATTTTGGGGGGATTTTTTGGGGATTCGTGGGTTTTTGGGGGGGCTTCATTGGGGATTTTTGGGGGGGATTTTTTTAATTTTTTTTTTTTATTTTTAGGATATTTTTTGAGTTTTCCTTGGGGTTTTTATGGGGATTTTTTGGGAGGATTCAGATGATTTTCAGTGGATCTTTAGAGATTTTTTTCTTTTTTTTTTTCCAATTTCTAGGATTTTTTGGGGGGGTTTATTTGGGGTTTTTTGGATTTTCTTTGCAATTTTCTGGGGGTTTTCATTGGGACATTTGGGGGATTTATGGCATTTTTGGGGGGATGCTTTGAGGTTTCTGGGAGATATTTTGGGGTTTTTTTGGGGGGGATTTTTTTGGGGCATTTTAAGATTTTTTTGTGGATTTTTTAAGGATTTTTTTTTTAATTTCTATGATTTTTGGGGTTTTTTTTTTTTTTTTGGTGGGGATGGGGTTGGGTTTTCTTTGGGATTTTTTGAGGTTTCCATTGGGATGAATGGGATTTATTTGGTTGATTTTTTAACCTTTTTCTTGGCGATTTTTGCGGGAATTTTTTTCGGAATTCCGGATTTTCCCCATTTCTCCCCATTTTTCCCCATTTTCCCCCCTCTCCGCAGGTTCTGGGCAGGAGAATCCCCCTGGAATCTTTGGGGGATTTTTGGGAGAATTTTGGGGGATTTTTGGGACTTTTTTGGGGGATTTTTTTGGGACTTTTTTGGGGGAAGATTTGGAATTTTGCAGGGATTTTTGGGAATTTTTTGTGATTTTGTGGGGGGGGGGAATTTTTGGGGGATTGTTTGAGATTTTGGGGGATTTCATGGGGATTTGGGGGGAATTTTTGCGGGAATTTTTTCCGGAATTCCGGATTTTCCCCATTTTTCCCCATTTTTTCCCCATTTTCCGCCCTCTCCGCAGGTTCTGGGCAGGAGAATCCCCCCGGAGCAGCTGCTGGGGCTGCTCCTGGCCCTGCTGGAATCCTGGGATGATCCCGAGCCCGACTGCGCCCGCGGCGCCGCCGCCATCGGCAACGCCCTCATCCGGGAGAGGGGAGCCATCCTGCAGGACAAGGTCAGGAGGAACAAAAATAATCAACAAAAAGTCCAAAATTAATGAACAAAAACTCACAAATTAATGAACAAAAACTCCAAAATTAATGAACAAAAATTCACAAATTAATGAACAAAATTTCAGTCTCAAAAATTCCCCAAATTCCTCATCCGGGAGAGGGGGGGGATCCTGCAGGACAAGGGCAGGAGGAACAAAATAATGAACAAAAACTCCAAAATTAATGAACAAAAACTCCAAAATTAATGAACAAAAACTCCCAAAATTAATGAACAAAAACTCCAAAATTAATGAACAAAAACTCCAAAATTAATGAACAAAATTTCAGTCTCAAAAATTCCCCAAATTCCTCATCCGGGAGAGGGGAGCCATCCTGCAGGACAAGGTCAGGAGGAACAAAATTAATGAACAAAAACTCCAAAATTAGTGAACAAAAACTCCAAAATTAATGCTCAAAAAATCCCCAAATTAATGAACAAAAACTCCAAAATTAATGCTCAAAAAATCCCCAAATTAATGCCCCAAAATCCCCAAATTAATGCCCAAAAACTCCCAAAATTAATGCCTAAAAATTCCTAAAATTAATGCCCAAAAATGAACAAACACTCCCAAATTAATGCCCAAAACCTCCCAAATTAATGCCCAAATTTCAGTCTCAAAAGTTCCCAACATTCCTGAAAATTGGTCCCAAAACTCCCCAAATTCCTCATCCGGGAGAGGGGGGGAACCTGCAGGACAAGGTCAGGATGGCCAAAAATAATGAACAAAAACTCCAAAATTAATGAACAAAAACTCCAAAATTAATGAACAAAAACTCCAAAATTAATGAACGAAAAGTCCAAAATTAATGAACAAAAACTCCAGAATTAATGAACAAAAAGTCCAAAATTAATGAACAAAAACTCACAAATTAATGAGCAAATACTGCCAAAATTAATGAACAAAAAGTCCCAAAATTAATGGACAAAACCTCCCAAAATTAATGCCCAAAAACTCCCAAAATGAATGCCCAAAGATTCCCAAAATTAATGAACAAAAATTCCCAAAATTAATGCCGAAAAACTCCCAAAATTAATGCCCCCAAATTCCCCAAATTAATGCCCAAAAATTCCCAAAATTAATGGACAAAACGTCCCAAAATTAATGCCCAAAACTCCACAAATTAATGCCCAAAAATTCCCCAAATCAATGCCCAAAACCTTCCAAAATTAATGAACAAAAACTCCCCAAAGTAATGAACAAAACCTCCCAAATTAATGAACAAAAAATCCCAAAATTAATGAACAAAAAGTCCCAAAAGTAATGGACAAAAATTCCCAAAATTAATAAACAAAACCTCCCAAATTAATGCCCAAACACTCCCCAAATTAATGCCCAAAACCTCCCAAATTAATGAACAAAAACTCCCCAAAATTAATAAAAATTTCCAAAATTAATGCCCAAAACTTCCCAAAATTGGTGCCCAAAAATTCCCAAACTTAATGCCCAAAAACTCCAAACATTAATGTCCAAAAACTCCCAAAATTAATGCCCAAAACCTCCCCAAAATTAATGCCCAAAAACTCCAAACTTAATGCCCAAAAATTCCTAAATTAATGCCCGAAACCACCAAACATTAATGCCCAAAAATTCCAAATTAATGAACAAAAACTCCCAAAATTAATGCTGAAAAAATCCCCAAATTAATGAACAAAAACTCACAAATTAATGCCCAAAACCCCTAAAATTAATGCCCAGAAACTCTGAAAATAATACCCAAAAACTCCCAAATTAATGAACAAAAACTCCCCAAATTAATGAACAAAAACTCCGAAATTAATGAACAAAAACTTCCCAAATTAATGTCCCAAAATCCCCAAAGTAATGCCCAAAACCTCTCAAAATTAATGCCCCTAAATTCCCAAAATTAATGCCCAAAAACTCCCAAATTAATGCCCAAAATTTCTGTCTCAAAAATTCCCAACATTCCAAATTGGTCCCAAAATTCCCAAATTCCTCATCCGGGAGAGGGGGGGATCCTGCAGGACAAGGGCAGAAGGAACAAAAATTTTCCCTTTTTCCATCTCCCCATTCCCATTTCCCTCCTTTCCCATTCCCATTCCCATTTCCCCATTCCCCTCTCCCCATTCCCCTCTTTTTCCCCCTTTCCCATTTCATTCCCATCTTTTCCCCCTTTCCCCATCTCCCCATTCCATTTTTCCCCCCTTTCCCCTCTCCCCATTCCCATTTTCCTCCCCTTTCCCATTTCTCCTTTCCCATTTTTCCCTTTTCACTCTCCCCATTCCCATTTTCCCCTTTCCCCTCTCCTCTTTCCCCTCTCCCCATTCCATTTTCCCTCCTTTCCCATCTCCCATTCCCCTCTTTTCTCCCCTTTCCCATCTCCCCATTCCCATTTCCCTCCTTTCCCATTTCATTCCCATCTTGTCCCCCTTCCCTCTCCCCATTCCCATTCCCCCCATTCCCCTCTCCCATTCCCATTTTCCCTCCTTTCCCATCTCCCCATTCCCATTTTCCCATCTCATTCCCATTTTTCCCCCTTTCCCCTTTCCCCATTCCCATTTTCCCCTTTCCCTCTCCCATTCCCATCTTTTCCCTCCTTTCATCTCCCCATTCCCATTTCCCCCCTTTCCCATTTCTCCCTTCTCCCCTCTCCCCATTCCTGTTTTCCCCCCTTTTCTCCCCTCTCCCATTCCCATTTTCCCTCCTTTCCCATCTCCCCATTCCCATTTCCCCCATTTCATCTCCTCATTCCATCTTTTCCCTCCTTTCCATCTCATTCCCATTTCCCCTTCCCCTCTCCCCATTCCATTTTCCCCATTCCCTCTCCCCATTCCCGTTTTCCCTCCTTTCCCATTTTCCTCCATTCCCATTTTCCCCTTTCCCTCTCCCCATCCCTGTTTCCCCCCTTTCCCATCCCATTCCCGTTTTCCTCCTTTCCCATCCCTCATTCCCATTTTCCCCCTTTTCCCATCTCCCCATTCCCATCTCCCCATTCCCATCTCCCCATTCCCCTCTCCCATTCCCCTCTCCCCATTCCCATCTCCCCATTCCCCTCTCCCCATTCCCATCTTTTCCCCTCTCCCCATTCCCATCTCCCCATTCCCCTCTCCCCTTTCCCATCTCCCCATTCCCATCTCCCCATTCCCCTCTCCCCATTCCCATCTCCCCATTCCCATCTCCCCATTCCCATCTCCCCATTCCCATCTCCCCATTCCCATCTCCCCATTCCCCTCTCCCCATTCCCCTCTCCCCATTCCCATCTCCCCATTCCCCTCTCCCCATTCCCATCTTTTCCCCCTCTCCCCATTCCCATCTCCCCATTCCCCTCTCCCCTTTCCCCTCTCCCCATTCCCATTCCCCATTCCCATCTTTTCCCCTCTCCCATCCCCGTTTCCCGCAGGTCCCGGAGCTGCCTGGCGGCGCTGCATGCGCGGTTGCATTTCCTGCAGCAGCAGCAGCAGCAGCAGCAGCAGGCGCAGGAGGCGGCGCGGGCGGAGCTGCAGCTGCAGCGGGCGGCGCAGAGCTCGGTGCTGCTCCTGGCACTGCAGCACCCGCGCAGCGTGGTCGGCTGCCTGCTGGGCAGGGCCCTGCCCTTCGATGGGTACGGGATGGGACCCGATCCCAAATGGGAATGGGCATGGATACGGCCCCCAAACCCAATCCCGATCCCAAACAGGAAATGGGCACGGATAGGGCCCCAAACCCAGCCCCAATCCAATCCTGAGTCCTGCCTGCTGGCAGGGCCCTGCCCTTCGACGGGTACGGACAGGGTACGGGATGGGGACCCCGATCCCAAAGGGGGGGAATGGGCACAGATAGGGCCCCAAATCCAATCCCGATCCCAAACGGGGGGAATGGGCACGGATACGGCCCCAAATCCAGTCCTGAACCCTGCCCCAATCCCAGATCCAGCCCCGATCCCAAACGGGGAATGGGCACGGATACGGCCCCAAACCCAGCCCCAATCCAATCCTGAGTCCTGCCTGCTGGGCAGCGCCCGGCCCTTCAACGGGTATGGGATGGGGTATGGGGGACCCGATCCCAAATGGGGAATGGGCATGGATACGGCCCAGATCCAGTCCCGATCCCAAACGGGGGGGAATGGGCACGGATAGGACCCAGATCCGGCCCTGAACCCTGCCCCAAATCCCAAAATCCAGCCCCAAATCCCAAATCCAGCCCCAAATCCCAAAGGGGGGAGCTGGGCACGGATACGGCCCCAGATCCAGTCCAATTCAATCCTGAGTCCAGGCCCTAATCCAGATCCAGCCCCAAATCCAAATCCAGCCCAATCCAATCCTGAATCCAGCCCCAAATCCCAATCCAGACCCAAATCCTGTCCCAATCCCAAATCCAGACCCAAATCCCAAATCCAGACTAAATCCCAAACACAAACCCAAATCCAGCCCCAATCCCAAACCCAGCCCTGAATCCCAAACCCAGCCCTAAACCTGAAATCCAGCCCCAAATCCAACCCCAATCCCAAATCCAACCCCAATCCCAAATCCAGCCCCAATCCCAAATCCAGCCCCGATCCCAAATGCAGATCTGATCCTGGATCTGGCCCTAAATCCAGTCCTAAATCACAAATATGGACCCGATCCCAAATCCCGACCCAAATCCCAACATTCCAGTCCCAAATCCAGCCCTGATCCCAAACACAGCCCCAAATCCAGCACCAATCCTGAGCCCAGCCCCAAATCCCAAATCCCGACCCAAATCCGATATCCAATCCCAAATACAGACCCAAACCCAAACCCAGCCCTGATCCCAAATCGAATGCCCCAAATCCCAAATCCATCCCCAAAATCCCAAATCCAGCCCCAGTCCCAAATTCCATTTTTATCCTCTTTGCATCCCATTTTTTATCCCAGATATTTCTGGAAATTCTGATTTTTATCCCATTTTTTATCCCAGAAATTCCCTCTTTATCCCAAAAATTCCCATTTTTATCCCAGAAATTCCCATTTTTACCCATTTTATCACATATTTATCCCAGAAATTCCCATTTTTTACCCATTTTTATCCCCAAAATTCCCAGTTTTATCCCATACATTCCTTTTTTATCTCAGAAATTCCCCATTTTTCCCATTTTTATCCCTCTTTTATCCCAGAAATTCCCCTTTATATCCCAGAAATTCCTTATTTTTTACCCCATTTTTATCCCAGAATTTCCCCATTTTTATCCCAGAACTTCCTATTTTTACCCCATTTTTTATCCCATTTTATCCCAGAAATTCCCATTTTTATCCCAGAATTTCTCATTTTTATCCCACTTATATCCCAAGTTTATCCCATTTTTATCTTAGAAATTCCCATTTTTACCCCATTTTTATCCTGTTTTTTATCCCATTTAAATCCCGTTTTTATCCCAGAATTTCCCCATTTTTATCCCATTTTTATCCCATTTTTATCCCATTTTTACCCCAGAAAGTCCCCATTTTTACCCAATTTTTATCCCATTTTTATCCCATTTTTTCCCATTTTTAGTCCCTTTTATATCCCATTTTTATCCCAGAATTTCCCCATTTTTATCCCATTTATTTCCCATTTTTATCTCATTTATATCCCGTTTTTACCCCCTTTATATCCCATTTTTATCCTATTTTTACCCCATTTTATCCCATTTTTTTATCCTATTTTATCCCATTTTTACCCCAGAAAGTCCCATTTTTACCCCATTTTATTCCATTTTTTTATCCCATTTTTACCCCATTTTATCCCATTTTTATCCCATTTTTATCCCATTTTTACCCCATTTTTATCCCATTTTCACCCCATTTTTACCCATTTTATTCCATTTTTAATCCCATTTTTTATCCCATTTTTACCCCATTTTATCCCATTTTTATCCTATTTTTATCCCATTTTTACCCCAGAAAGTCCCAATTTTTACCCATTTTTTATCCCATTTTTATCCCATTTTTTCCCATTTTTACCCCATTTTTATCCCATTTTCAACCCATTTTTACCCCATTTTATTCAATTTTTTATCCCATTTTTATCCCATTTTCACCCCATTTTTACCCCATTTTTACCCCATTTTTTATCCCATTTTTACCCCACTTTTACCCCATTTTATCCCATTTTTATCCTATTTTTATCCCATTTTTACCCCAGAAAGTCCCCATTTTTACCCCCATTTTATTCCATTTTTTATCCCATTTTACCCCATTTTATCCCATTTTTATCCCATTTTTTATCCCATTTTTTCCCATTTTTTATCCCATTTTTACCCCATTTTTACCCAATTTTTATCCCATTTTCACCCCATTTTATTCAATTTTTTATCCCATTTTTTATCCCATTTTTACCCCATTTTATCCCATTTTTATCCTATTTTTATCCCATTTTTACCCCAGAAAGGCCCAATTTTTACCCATTTTTTATCCCATTTTTATCCCATTTTTTCCCATTTTTACCCAATTTTTATCCCATTTTCACCCCATTTTTACCCAATTTTTATCCCATTTTCACTCCATTTTTACCCCATTTTTTACCCCATTTTATCCCATTTTTTATCCCATTTTTACCCCATTTTATCCCTTTTTTTATCCCATTTTTATGCCCATTTTATCCCATTTTTTACCCAGAAAGTCCCCATTTTTATCCCATTTTTTACCCCATTTTTTACCCCATCTTTTACCCCATTTTTACCCCATTTTTACCCCATTTTTTATCCCATTTTTACCCCCATTTTCACCCCACTTTTACCCCATTTTCACCCCATTTTCACCCCAGAAATTCCCAAGATTTCCCATTTTCCCCCCCAGCCCCACGTGCACCATGTGGAGGGCTCTGGGCACGGAGCCTTCGCTGACGTCGCAGATCCTGGAGCTGCTCCTGGAGAGGCTGAGCCGGGAAATTCCCTTCAAGGAGAGCAAATCCTTCCTGCTGGGCAGCGCCGCCGAGCGCGTGGCCACCGCCCTGCCCCTGGCCGTGAGTATCACACACAAAACTGCCCAAAAACTCCACAAAAATCCCCCAAAAACTGCCCAAAAACTGCCCACAAAATTCCCAAGAAATCCCCACAAAACTCCCCAAAAATCCCCCAAAAACTCCACAAAAACTGCCCAAAAAATCCCCACAACATTCCCCACAAAAACTGCCCAAAAACTCCACAAACACTGTGCAAAAACTGCCCAAAAACTCCACAAAAACTGCCCAAAAAATCCCCACAACATTCCCCACAAAAACTGCCCAAAAAACTGCCCAAAATTCCCCCAAAATTCCCCAAAAACTGCCCAAAAACTCCCCAAAAACTGCCCAAAAACTCCCCAAAAACTGCCCAAAAACTCCACAAAAACTCCACAAAAACTGCCCAAAAACTCCACAAAAACTCCCCAAAAACTCCCCAAAAACTCCACAAAAACTCCACAAAAATTCCCCACAAACTCCCCAAAAACTGCCAAAAACTCCACAAAAATCCCCCAAAAACTCCACAAAAATCCCCCAAAAACTCCACAAAAACTGCCCAAAAACTCCACAAAAATCCCCCAAAAACTCCACAAAAACTGCCCAAAAACTCCACAAAAATCCCCCAAAAACTCCACAAAAACTGCCCAAAAACTCCACAAAAACTGCCCAAAAACTCCACAAAAACTCCCCAAAAACTCCCCAAAAATCCCCCAAAACTCCACAAAAACTCCACAAAAACTGCCCACAAAGTTCCCAAGAAATCCCCACGAAACTGCCCAAAAACTCCACAAAAATCCCCCAAAAACTCCACAAAAACTGCCCAAAAACTCCACAAAAATCCCCCAAAAACTCCACAAAAACTGCCCAAAAAACTGCCCAAAAACTCCACAAAAATCCCCCAAAAACTCCACAAAAACTCCCCAAAAATTCCCCGCAAAAACTGCCCAAAAATTCACCACAAAAACTGCCCAAAAACTCCCCAAAAACTGCCCACAAACTCCACAAAAACTGCCCAAAAACTGCCCAAAAACTCCACAAAAACTCCACAAAAACTGCCCACAAACTCCACAAAAACTGCCCAAAAACTCCACAAAAACTGCCCAAAAACTCGCCACAAAACTGCCCAAAAACTCTACAAAAACTCCACAAAAACTGCCCAAAAACTCCCCAAAAACTGCCCAAAAACTCCCCAAAAACTGCCCAAAAACTCCACAAAAACTGCCCAAAAACTCCACAAAAACTGCCCAAAAACTCCACAAAAACTGCCCAAAAACTGCCCAAAAACTCCCAAAAAATTCCCCGCAAAAACTGCCCAAAAAACTGCCCAAAATTCCCCAAAAACTCCCCACAAAATTCCCAAGGAATTCCCAAAAAAATCCCCACAAAATTCCCCAAAAAACTCCCCAAAAACTCCCCAAAAATTCCCCCAAAACCTCCGCACAATTCCCCGAAAATTCCCCAAAAACTCCCCACAAAATTCCCAAGGAATTCCACAAAAACTCCCCAAAAATCCCCCAAAAACTCCTCACCAAATTTCCCCAAAAATTCCACAAAAACTCCCCACAAACTCCCCAAAAACTCCCCACAAAATTCCCAGGGAATTCCCCCAAAACTCCCCACAAAATTCCCCAAAAACTCCCCAGAAATTCCCCAAAAATAAAAAAATTTCAGCAGCAAATTCCAAAACAATCCCCAAAAATTCCCAAGGAATTCCCCAAAAAATCCCCACAAAATTCACAGAGAATTCCCCAAAAATTCCCAAGGAATTCCCAAAAAACTCCCCACAAAACTCCCCAAAAATTCCCCAAAAACTCCCCAAAAATTCCCAGGGAATTCCCAAAAAACTCCCCACAAAACTCCCCAAAAATTCCCCAAAAACTCCCCAAAAATTCCCAGGGAATTCCCCCAAAATCTCCCAACAAATTCTCCCAAAATTCCACCAAAATCTCCCCACAAAATTCCCCAGAAATTCCCCCCAAAAACTCCCCAAAATTCCCCACCAAATTCCCCAAAAATTCCCCCAAAACCTCCGCACAATTCCCCGAAAATTCCCCAAAAACTCCCCACAAAATTCCCAAGGAATTCCCCAAAAACTCCCCAAAAATTCCACCAAAAACTCCCCACAAAATTCCCTAAAATGTCCCCCCAAAAACTCCCCAAAAATTCCAAGGGAATTCCCACAAAAACTCCCCACAAAATTCCACAAAAATTCCCCAAAAACTCCTCACAAAATTCCCAGGGAATTCCCCCAAAACTCCCCACAAAACTCCCCAAAATTTCCCCAAGGAATTCCCCAAAAACTCCCAACAAAATTCCCAGGGAATTCCCCAAAAACTCCCCACGAAATTCCCACAAAATTCCCAAGGAATTCCCCCAAAAATTCCCAAAAAATTCTGCACAAAATTCCCAAGGAATTCCCCCCAAAACTCCCCACAAAATTCCCCAAAAATTCCCCAAAAACTCTCCACAAAATTCCCTAGAAATTCCCCCCAAAACTCTGCACAAAACTCCCAGGGAATTCAGAAAAAACTCCCCACAAAATTCCCCCAAAAAATCCCCACAAAATTCCAAAGAAATTCCCCCAAAATTCCCCACAAAATTCCCAGGGAATTTCCCAAAAACTCCCCACAAAATTCTCAAAACTTCCCAAAAAACTCCCCACAAAATTCCCCAAAACTCCCCACAAAATTCCCAAGGAATTCCCCCAAAACTCCCCACAAAACTCCCAGGGAATTCACCAAAAAACTCCCCACAAAATTCCAAAGAACTCCCCCAAAAACTCCCCACAAAATTCCCAAAAATTCCCCAAAAAATCCCCACAAAATGCCAAAAAAATCCCAAGAAATTCCCCCCAAAACTCCCTGCAAAATTCCCAAGAAATTCCCCAAAAACTCCCCAAGAATTCCCCCCAAAATAAAAAAATTTCACCAGCAAATTCCAAAACAATCCCCAAAAATTCCCAAGGAATTCCCCAAAAAATCCCCACAAAATTCACAGAGAATTCCCCAAAAATTCCCAAGGAATTCCCCAAAAACTCCCCACAAAACTCCCCAAAAATTCCCCAAAAACTCCCCAAAAATTCCCAGGGAATTCCCCCAAAATCTCCCAACAAATTCTCCCAAAATTCCACCAAAAACTCCCCACAAAATTCCCAAGGAATTCCCCCAAAATCTCCCCACAAAATTCCCCAGAAATTCCCCCCAAAATTCCCCAAAAACTCCCCACAAAACTCCCCACAAAATTCCCCAAAAATTCCCCAAAATCTCCCCACAAAATTCCCCAGAAATTCCCCCAAAACTCCCCACAAAATTCCCAAGGAATTTCCCAAGCAATTCCCCAAAAACTCCGCACAGAATTCCCCAAAAATTCCCCAAAAACTCGCCCAAAAACTCCCCACAAAATTCCCAGGGAATTCCCCCAAAATCTCCCCACAAATTCTCCCAAAATTCCACCAAAAACTCCCAAAAATTCCCACAAAACTCCCAGGGATTTCCCCCAAAAACTCCCCACAAAACTCCCCCAAAAATTCCCCAAAAACTCACCACAAAATTCCCAAGGAATTCCCCCAAAACTCCCCACAAAATTCCCCAAAATGTCCCCCCAAAAACTCCCCAAAAATTCCCAAGGAATTCCCCAAAAACTCCGCACAAAATTCCCCAAAAACTCCCCAAAAATTCCCCAAAAACTCCCTAAAAATGCCCCAAAAACTCATCACCAAATTCCCCAAAAACTCCCCACAAAATTCACAAGGAATTTCCCAAAAACTCCCCACAAAATTCCCAGAGAATTCCCCCAAAAATCCCCCCAAAACTCCCCACAAAATTCCCAGGGAATTCATAAAAAAATTCCCAAGGAATTTTTAAAAATCCTCAAAAATTGCCAAGGAATTCCCCTCAAAATTGCCTAAAAATTTCCTCAAAACTTTTCCAAAAAATTCTTTAAAAAATCCCCCAAAATATCCCCCAAAAAAATTCCCAAGGAATTCCTCAAGAAGTTCCCCCAAAAAATTTGCAAGGAATGCTCCAAAAAAATCCCAAAAAATTCCTCAAAAATTTCCAATGAATTCCCAATGAAATTCCAAAGAAATTTCCCCCCAAAAAATCCCCAAAAATTCCCAAGGAATTCCCCAAAAAATTCCCCAGAAATTCCCAAAAAATCGCCAAAAATTCTACCCAAAATTGGCATGGAATTCTCACAAAATTCCCCCCAAAATTCCCAAGGAATTCCCAAAAAATTCCCCAAAAAATTCCCCCAAAAATTCCCCCAAAATTTCCAATCAATTCCCAAAAAAAATTCCCCAGGAATTCTCCAAAAAAATTCCCAAGGAATTCCCAAAAAATTCACTTTGGAACCCTCGGATCCGAAATCTTCCCGAGTGGAAAAATCTTCCCCAGGTGGGAAAATCCCTCCAGGCTTCCTTAACTTATCCCAAATAATTCCAGCTTTGGAATCCCTCAGGAATCAGGGAGCAATTCCCAGGGAATATCAGGGAATCATTCCCGGAAATATCAGGGAGCAATTCCCAGAAATCAGGGAATCATTCCTGGAAATATCAGGGAATCATTCCCAAAAATCAGGGAATCATTCCCAGGGAATATCAGGGAGCAATTCCCAGAAATCAGGGAATCATTCCCAGGAAATATCAGGGAATCATTCCCAAAAATCAGGGAATCATTCCCAGAAATCAGGGAACAATTCCCAGGAAATATCAGGGAATCATTCCCGGAAATCAGGGAATCATTCCCGGAAATCAGGGAATCATTCCCAGGGAATATCAGGGAATCATTCCCAGAAATCAGGGAATCATTCCCAGAAATCAGGGAATCATTCCAAGGAAATATCAGGGACCAATCCTAAACAAACTGCTCAGATCCACTGGGGAAAACCCCAAATCCGTGGAAATTCCAACAGAAAAAAAACCCCAAAATCCATGGGAATTCCAGCAGGAAAAGCCCCAAAATCCATGGGAATTCCAGCAGGAAAAGCCCCAAAATCCATGGGAGAAACCCCAAATCCGTGGGAATTCCAGCAGGAAAAGCCCCAAATCTGTTGGAATTCCATTACTAAAATCCCAAATCCATGGGAGAAACCCCAAATCCATGGGGATTCCCTCAGGAAAAACCCCAAATCTGTGGGAGAAACCCCAAAATCCATGGGAATTCCAGCAGGAAAAGCCCCAAATCCATTGGAATTTTCAGCAGAAAAAAACCCCAAATCCATGGGAATTTTGTTGGGAAAAAACTGAAATCCATGGGAGAAACCCCCAAATCCATAGGAATTCCAACAGGAAAACCCCAAATCCGGGGAGGAAACCCCAAATCCATGGGAATTCCAACAGGAAAACCCCAAATCCGGGGAAGAAACCCCAAATCCGGGGAAGAAACCCCAAATCCATGGGAATTCCAGCAGGAAAAACCCCAAATCTGTGGGAGAAACCCCAAATCCGGGGAAGAAATCCCCAAATGCATGGGAGAAACCCCCAAATCCATGGGAATTCCAGCAGGAAAAACCCCAAATCCATGGGAGAAAACCCTAAATCCATGGGAGAAAATCCCAAATCCATGGGGATTCCATCAGGAAAAGCCCCAAATCCACGGGAATTCCATCCCAAACAACCCCAAATCGATGGGAAAAACCCCGAATCTGTGGGAGAAACCCCAAATCCATGGGAATTACATCAGCAAAAGCCCCAAATCCACGGGAATTCCAGCAGGAAAAACCCCAAACCCATGGGAATTCCATTACTAAAACCCCAAATCCATGGGAGAAACCCCCAAATCCATGGGAGAAAACCCCAAATCCATGGAAATTATATCAGGAAAAACCCCAAATCCGTGGGACCAAATCCCAAATCCGTGGGAATTCCATCCCAAACAACCCCAAATGCCCCAGAAATGCAGCAGAAAAAAAAAAAAACCCCAAGCCCTCGGCAATTCCACCAGAAAATCCCCGGCCCCTGGGGTCTCCATCAGGGGTTAACCCGGGCGGGCAGGGAGGGGTTAATTAAGGGCCAATCAATCCCGGGCCATTCATTCAATTCCAGCCCATTCCATCCCGGGCCATTCATTCCATCCCAGCCCATTCCATCCCATTCAATCCGGGGCCATTCAATCCCGGGCCATTCATTCAATCCCGGGCCATTCATTCAATCCTGGCCATTCATTCAGTCCTGGCCATTCATTCCATCCCAGGCCATTCATTCAATCCCAGCCATTCCATCCCGGGCCATTCATTCAATCCTGGCCATTCAATCCCAGCCATTCCATCCCGGCCCATTCCATCCCGCCCCATTCCATCCCGGCCCATTCCATCCCGGGCCAATCAATCCTGGCCATTCATTCAATCCTGGCCATTCCATCCTGGGCCATTCATTCAATCCCAGGCCATTCATTCCATCCCGGCCCATTCCATCCCGGCCCATTCCATCCCGGCCCATTCCATCCCAGCCCATTCCATCCCGGGCCGTTCCATCCCAGGCCATTCAATCCTGGCCCATTCCATCCCGGGCCGTTCCATCCCAGGCCATTCAATCCTGGCCCATTCCATCCCGGCCCATTCCATCCCGGCCCATTCCATCCTGGGCCATTCCATCCTGGGCCATTCCATCCCAGGCCATTCAATCCCGGCCCATTCCATCCCGGGCCATTCCATCCCAGGCCATTCAATCCCAGGCCATTCCATCCCGGGCCATTCAATCCGGGGCCATTCATTCCATCCGGGGCCATTCATTCCATCCGGGGCCATTCATTCCATCCCGGGCCATTTATTCCATCCCAGCCCATTCAATCCCGGGCCATTCCATCCTGGGCCATTCAATCCCGGGCCATTCCATCCCGGGCCATTCATTCAATCCCGGGCCATTCATTCCATCCCAGCCCATTCAATCCTGGCCCATTCAATCCTGGCCCATTCCATCCCGGGCCATTCCATCCCGGGGCATTCATTCCATCCTGGGCCATTCCATCCTGGGCCATTCATTCAATCCCAGCCTATTCCATCCCAGGCCATTCCATCCCAGGCCATTCCATCCCGGCCCATTCCATCCCAGGCCATTCATTCAATCCCGGGCCATTCGATCCCATTTTTCCCGGGCCATTCCATCCCGGCCCATTCCATCCCAGGCCATTTATTCAATCCCGGCCCATTCCATCCTGGGCCATTCATTCAATCCCAGGCCATTTAATCCCAGGCCATTCATTCAATCCCAGCCCATTCCATCCCGGGCCATTCCATCCCGGGCCATTCAATCCCAGGCCATTCCATCCCGGGCCATTCATTCAATCCCGGGCCATTCCATCCCAGGCCATTCATTCCATCCCAGGCCATTCAATCCCGGGCCATTCAATCCCGAGCCATTCATTCAATCCCGGGCCATTCATTCCCGTTTTTCCTAGGCCATTTATTCCATCCCGGGCCATTCAATCCCAGCCCATTCAATCCCAGCCCATTCATTCAATCCCGGGCCATTCCATCCCGGGCCATTCCATCCTGAGCCATTCATTCCCGTTTTTCCCGGCCCATTCATTCCATCCCGAGCCATTCAATCCCGTTTTTCCCGGCCCATTCATTCCATCCCGGGCCATTCCATCCTGAGCCATTTATTCCCGTTTTTCCCGGGCCATTCATTCAATCCGGGGCCATTCATTCCATCCCGAGCCATTCATTCCCGTTTTTCCCGGCCCATTCATTCCATCCCGGCCCATTCATTCAAACCCGGGCCATTCATTCCATCCCGGGCCATTCGATGCCGTTTTTCCCGGCCCATTCATTCCATCCCGGGCCATTCATTCCCGTTTTTCCCGGCCCATTCATTCCATCCCGGGCCATTGGATGCCGTTTTCCCGGTGTTTTTCCGGCCGCTCGCTCATGCCGCGGGGGTTCCCGTGTTTCCCTGGCAGGCCACGCTGGCCCTGGATGAGCTCATGTCTGTGCCGGAGGCGGCGGCCGCGGTCCTGGAGCGATTCCCGGAGCTCTTCCCGGCGCTGCTGCTGCGCCTCGGCTGCGCCCTGGGCGTGCGCCTGCCCCGGGCCCTGCAGGGGCGGGACAGGGCCGGCCTGGAGCCCTGCAGGTGCGAAACGGGGAAAAATGGGGGAAAATGGGGGAGAAATGGGGATTTTGTGTGGGGGTGAGGCTGCCCCGGGCCCTGCAGGGGCGGGACAGGGCCGGCCTGGAGCCGTGCAGGTGCGAAATGGGGGGAAAATGGGGGGAAAATGGGGATTTTGTGTGGGGGTGAGGCTGCCCCGGGCCCTGCAGGGAGGGGACAGGGCCGGCCTGGAGCCGTGCAGGTGCGAAATGGGGGAAAATGGGGGAAAATGGGGAATTTGTGTGGGTCTGAGGCTGCCCCGGGCCCTGCAGGGGCGGGACAGGGCCGGCCTGGAGCCCTGCAGGTGAGAAATGGGGGAAAATGGGGGGAAAATGGGGGAAAATGGGGATTTTGTGAGGGAAAAGTGGGGATTCTATGGGCGTGCGCCTGCCCCGGGCCCTGCAGGGGCGGGACAGGGCCGGCCTGGAGCCCTGCAGGTGCGAAACGGGGGAAAATGGGGAAAAAATGGGGGGAAAATGGGGGGAAAATGGGGATTTTGTGTGGGGGTGAGGCTGCCCCGGGCCCTGCAGGGGCGGGACAGGGCCGGCCTGGAGCCCTGCAGGTGAGAAATGGGGAAAAATGGGGAAAATGGGGGGAAAATGGGGATTTTGTATGGGGGCGAGGCTGCCCCAGGCCCTGCAGGGATGGGACAGGGCCGGCCTGGAGCCGTGCAGGTGCGAAACGGGGGAAATGGGGGGAAAATGGGGGAAAATGGGGATTTTGTGTGGGTGAGGCTGCCCCGGACCGGGACAGGGCCGGCCTGGAGCCCTGCAGGTGCGAAATGGGGAAAAATGGGGGGAAAATGGGGATTTTGTGAGGGAAAATGGGGATTCTCTGGGGGTGAGGCTGCCCCGGGCCCTGCAGGGAGGGGACAGGGCCGGCCTGGAGCCCTGCAGGTGAGGAAATGGAGGAAAATGGGGATTTTGTTGGGAAAAGGGGGAAAAAAGTGGGGATTCTTTGGGGAAAAGTGGGGATTTTTTGGGGAAAAGGGGGAATTCCATGGGTAAAAGTGGGGAAAATGTGGGAATTCCTGGGGAAAAGTGGGGGAAAGGGGGGATTCCAGTGGGAAAAGTGGGGTTTCTATGGGGAAAAGTGGGGATTTTTTTGGGAAAAAGTGAGGATTTTGTAGGGAGAAGGGGGAATTCCCCGGGGAAAAGTGGGGAAAAAGGGGGATTCCTTGGGGAAAAGAGGGAATTTTGTGGGGGAAAAGGGGGAGTTCCCCGGGGAAAAGCGGCAAAAAGTGGGGATTCCTTGGGGAAAAGCGGTGATTTTGTGGGGCAAAGTGGGGGAAAGGGGGAATTCCATGGGGGAAAATAGGGATTTTGTGAGGGAAAAGGGGGGAAAAAGTGGGGATTTTTTGGGGAAAAGGGGGAATTCCATGGGTAAAAGTGGGGAAAATGTGGAAATTCTTGGGGAAAAGTGGGGGAAAGGGGGGATTCCAATGGGAAAAGTGGGGGTTTTGTGGGGGAAAGGCAGGAATTCTGTGGGGGAAAGTGGGAATTCTGTGGGGAGTTCCATGGGGGAAAGATGGGAAGCCCATAAGGAAGAGACGGGAATTCTGTGGGGGAAAGGTGGAAATTCCATGGGAAAGGTGGGAATTCCGTGGTGGAAAAGTGAAATTGTCTGGGGAAATTCCGTGGGAATTCCATCGGAAAAGGGTGGGAATTCTGTGGGGAAGGGCGGGAGGTCGGGAGGGAAGAGAGGGGAATTCTGTGGGGAAAGTTGGGAATTCCTCGGGGAAATTCCATGGGGAAAGGTGGGAATTCTGTGGGGAAAGGGCAGAAATTCCATGGGGAAAATCGGGAATTCCGTCGGGAGAAGGCAATTCTATGGGGAAAGGCGGGAATTTAATGGGGAAAAGGCGGGAATTCCGCGGGGAAATTCCATGGGGAAAAGGGGGTTTGGTGGGAACAGGGTGGGATTGATGGGATTGATGGGACAATGGAATAATGGAGTGGGATAATGGGATAATGGGGTGGGATCTGTGGGATCCATGGGATGGGATTTATGGGATTTATGGGATTGATGGAATGGGATTTATGGGATTGATGGGATTGATGGGATGGGATTTATGGGATTGATGGGTTGGGATTGATGGGATAGGATGGGATTTATGGAATGGGATGGGATTGATGGGATTGATGGGATAATGGGATGGGGGGGGATAGGAATGGGAATGAGACAGGGGTGGGAATAGGATGGGATTTATGGGATAATGGGATTTATGGGATTGATGGGATAATGGGGTGGGACCATGGAATCCATGGGATCATGGGAGCCAAGGGTTGGGATCCCAAGGCTGGGATTGGGAATTTGGGAAGCAGGAGTGGGATGGAGCATCTGGAGCAGGGCTGGGATGCTGGAGAAGATTCCCAAAAAAAGGAGGAATGAGGGAGTGAATTCCAGGGAAACCAAGGCTGCCCCATCCCTGGAATTGTCCCATCCCGGGAGAGCGGGAAGTGTCCCATGGAAAAACTGGGAATGGGCTGATCCCAAAATTCCCTCCATCCCAAACCAGCCCGGAATTCCGTGGACATCCCTGATATATTCCCAGCCTGGAATCGTCCCGGAATTCCCATGGGAATGGGATCATCCCTAAATCCCCTCCATCCCCACCCCATTCCCACATTCTGGGACTTCCCAAGCCTGGCAGATCCCGAGCTTTCCTTAATTAGTCCTTAATTAATCCCCGAGGCTCCGAGGCCTCTCCAGCGCTCCGGGTTTTTTTTTTTTCCCCGGAATTTTCCCCTTCCCATTTCTTGTCCCACTTTTCCCTTGGCCGCCTACGCAGGGAAAGCTTCACCGGGATCTTTCCAGCGTTTTTTTTGGGAAAACTCCCGGATTTTCCACTGGGAATCCACCTTGGGCCTCCCCTTGGGTTTTCCCCATGGGATCCTGGATCCTTTGGAATCACGGAACGGCTGAGGCTGGAAAACCTCTGGGATGGTCCCGTCCCATCCAGCCCTGAATCCGAGGATGCTCCACGTCCCAGGGGACGTTTCCCAGGGCAGTTCCCGTCTTTGGGATCCGTTTTCCATCATTATTCCCAAATTTCCAGCATTCCAGAGGCTGCCCTGGAATCCCTGGGGTTCTCCCACCCCCCCCACACACAAATTCCATGGGACTGGGACAAATCCCGATGGGGAAATCTGGGATGGCAGCTCCGGAGGGCGATCCCGAATCCCGGATTCCCTCCGTGTGTGGGATCCCCGTTCCGACAGCCGGGATTTATCCCTGGCTCCCCTTCCCGGTGTTTTGACGGGATAACGGATCTGTTCCAGATGTTGCTCCGCGGCAGAGCAGTCCCAGCCCTATAAATCCTTCATTCCATGGAAAAAAAAAAGAAAATTTCCCCTCAAGTAGCTCCGGAGTTTTTCCTTTCCCTTTTTTTTTTTTGTCTTGGATCCCGTTCCCGGTGCCTGGGACGGCTCCAATTCCGGCACAGAATTCCCTTGGGATATCCTGGATGGAGCCAGAGCCAAACCTGAATCCAACCCCAAATTCAATCCCATATCCAATCCGAAACCCAATCCCAAATCCAACCCTGAATCCAATCCCGAATCCAACCCCGAATCCAACCCCAAACCCAGTCCCGTATCTTATCTTGAGCACAATCCCAAATTCAATCCCAGATCCAATCCCAAATCCAATCATAAACCCCGGTTCAGTCGTGAATCCAAACCCAGATCCAATCCTGAATCCAATCCCAAACCCAGTCATGAATCCATTTCCGAACCCAATCCCAAACCCAATCCTGAACCTAATTTTTAACCAAATCCCAAAGTCAACTCCAGATCAAATCCTGAATCCAGTCCCAGATTCAATCCTGAATCCAATCCCAAATCCAGTCCCAAATCTAATGCAAATCTGATCCCAAATCCAACCCCAGATCCAATCCCAAACCCAATCCCAAATCCAGGCCTGAATCTAATCCCAAATCCAACCCCAAATCCAGTCCTGAATCTGATCCTGAATCTAATCCCAAATCCAGCCCCAGATCCAATCCCAAACGCAATCCCCAATCCGATCCTGAATCAAATCCCAAACCCAATCCCAAATCCAACCCCAGATCCAATCCTGAATCTAATCCCAAATCCAACCCCAAATCCAATCCTGAATCTAATCCCAAATCCAACCCCAAATCCAATCCCAAACCCCAGCCCAATCCCAAATCCAACACCAGATCCAATCCTGAATCCAATCCCAAATCTAATGCAAATCTGATCCCAAATCCAACCCCAGATCCAATCCCAACCCAATCCCAAATCCAGGCCTGAATCTGATCCTGAATCCAACCCCAAATCCAATCCCAATACCAATCCCAAATCTAATGCAAATCTAATCCCAAATCCAACCCCAAATCCAATCCCGAACCCAATCTCCAAACCAGTCCTAAATCTGACCCCAAATCCAACCCCAAATCTGGTCCTAAATCCAGTCCTGAATCCGATCCTGAATCTAATCCCAAATCCAGCCCCAGATCCAATCCCAAACCCAATCCCCAATCCGATCCTGAATCAAATCCCAAACCCAACCCCAAATCCAGCCCCAGATCCAATCCCAATCCCAATCCCAATCCCAAATCCAGTCCTGAAGCCGATCCTGAATCCAACCCCAAACCCAACCCCAGATCCAATCCCAAGTCCAGTCCTGAATCTAATCCCCAATCCAACCCCAGATCCAATCCCAAATCCAACCCCAAATCCAACCCCAAACCCAATCCCCAATCCAATCCTGAATCTAATCCCAAATCCAGCCCCAGATCCAATCCCAAACCCAATCCCAAATCCAGTCCTGAATCCGATCCTGAATCCAACCCCAAACCCAACCCCAAATCCAATCCCAAACGCAGTCCCCAATCCCAATCCCAGATGCGACCCCAGGTCCCACCCAGATCCCAGATCCCCGATCCCGACCCCGATCCCGCTGTTCCAGCTGCGCGGTGCAGACGCTGAGGGCGATGCTGGCGCGGGCCGGGAACGCCGACGTCGTGCAGGAGGTGGGGAGCGCCGGGGGCTGGGAACTGATGGAAATTCCCGAGCGGCACCACGACGGAATCGCCCTCCTGGCCGGGTAGGGAATCCTGCAGGAGCTTCCCAGGCAATTCCGGGGCTTTTTGGGTGGGGCTGGGATCATTTCGCTCCCGGGAATGCGGAGGGGTGGAGGCAGCTGGAGCTGGAAGTTGGTCCCGCTGTGGAATTCCTGATGTCTCCAATCCCAGTATGGAATTCCCGGTGTCTCCAATCCCAGTGTGGGATTCCCAGTGTCTCCAATCCCAAAATGGGATTCCCAATGCCATTGATCCCAGTATGGAATTCCCAGACTCTCCAATCCCAGTGTGGAATTCCCAGTGTCTCCAATCCCAGTATGGAATTCCCAGTGTCATTGATCCCAGTATGGAATCCTCAGTGTCACCCATCCCAGTATGGGATTCCCAGTTTCACCTATCCCAAAATGGAATTCCTGGTATCATTGATTCCACTATGGAATTCCCAGTGTCACCCATCCCAAAATGGGACTCCCAGTGTCATTGATCCCACTGTGGAATTCCTGATGTCTCCAATCCCAAAATGGAATTCCCCGGTGTCTCCAATCCCAAAATGGGATTCCCGGTGTCTCCAATCCCAGTATGGGATTCCCAGTGTCACCCATCCCAAATTGGGACTCCCGGTGTCATTGATCCCAATATGGAATTCCCACTGCCTCCAACCCCAGTATGGAATTCCCAGTGTCTCCAATCCCAAAATGGGATTCCCAGTGTCATTGATCCCAGTATGGAATCCTCAGTATGAGATTCCCAGTGTCTCCAATCCCAAAATGGGATTCCCTGTGTCACCCATCCCAAAATGGGACTCCCAGTGTCATTGATCCCAGTGTGGAATTCCTGATGTCTCCAATCCCAAAATGGGATTCCCAGTGTCTCCAATCCCAAAATGGAATTCCCGGTGTCTCCAATCCCAGGATGGAATTCCCAGTGTCTCCAATCCCAAAATGGGACTCCCAGTGTCTCCAACCCCAGTGTGTAATTCCCAGACTCTCCAATCCCAGTGTGGAATTCCCAGTTTCACCCATCCCAAAATGGAATTCCTGGTATCATTGATCCCACTATGGGATTCCCAGTGTCATTGATCCCAGTATGGAATTCCCAGACTCTCCAATCCCAGTGTGGAATTCCTGATGTCTCCAATCCCAAAATGGAATTCCCGGTGTCTCCAATCCCAGTGTGGAATTCCCAGTGCCTCCAATCCCAAAATGGGATTCCCAATGCCATTGATCCCAGTACGGAATTCCCAGTGTCACCCATCCCAAAATGGGATTCCCAGTGTCTCTGATCCCAGTATGGGATTCCCAGTGTCTCCAATCCCATAATGGGATTCCCAATGCCATTGATCCCAGTACGGAATTCCCAGACTCTCCAATCCCAGTGTGGAATTCCCAGTGTCTGCAATCCCAAAATGGGATTCCCAGTGTCATTGATCCCAGTATGGAATTCCCAGTGTCTGCAATCCCAAAATGGGATTCCCAGTGTCATTGATCCCAGTATGGAATCCTCAGTGTCTCCCATCCCAGTATGGAATTCCCAGTGTCACCCATCCCAAAATGGAATTCCTGGTATCATTGATTCCACTATGGAATTCCCAGTGTCACCCATCCCAGTATGGGATTCCCAGACTCTCCAATCCCAGTGTGGAATTCCTGATGTCTTTAATCCCAAAATGGAATTCCCGGTATCTCCAATCCCAGTATGGGATTCCCAGTGTCACCCATCCCACAATGGGATTCCCAGTGTCATTGGTCCCAGTATGGAATTCCCGGTGTCTCCAATCCCAAAATGGAATTCCCGGTGTCTCCAATCCCAGTATGGGATTCCCAGACTCTCCAACCCCAGTGTGGAATTCCCAGTGCCTCTGATCCCAAAATGGGATTCCCAGTGTCTCCAATCCCAGTATGGGATTCCCAGTGCCTCTGATCCCAGTATGGGATTCCCAGTTGTTTCCAGTCCCCTGTGGAATTCCCAGAGTCTCTGCTCCCACAGCAGAACTCCCAGTGTGGATCCATCCGTCCATCCAAAGCCGCTGTGGAATTCCAGCGCCATTGATCCCACCGTGGAATTCCCAGAGTCCCCGGTCCCACTGCGGAATTCCCGATGTCTCCGGTCCCACTGCGGAATTCCTGGAGTCTCCGATCCCACTGTTCCCCGCCCATCCCACATTTCCCATCATTCCTGTGGCTCATTCCCTTCCCTGTTCCCTCCCCAATTCCATGGGATCCCAAAGGTCCCCGTGGAAAACTCCTCCTCCTCCTCCTCCTGCTGCATCCCTGGCATTCCTGGAGTATCCCGGTGCATCCCATCCCATCATTCGGGAATAATGGGGAAAAAATTCCCAAAACATCCGGGAATAACTCCCGGGTCGGGATTGGGATTACCCAACTTTGGGGGAACTCATCCCAAAGAAATCCCGGATGGGGTGTCCGGGATGTTCCAGATCCTTCTCTGTGGGTCAGTCCCGGTTTTCCATGCGGGGTGCGGTCCTGCCTGGGGACAGGGATTCCCGGGATTCCTGGCAGCGCTGTTCCCCCCAGGGCGATGGCTTGGCGCTGCGGGCCCCGGCTGCCGCCCATCGTCCGGAGCCTCATCCCGGTGCTGGGCAGCGCCTTGGAATGCCAGAGGGTGACCAGCAGCGCCTTCCTGGCCGAGGTGAGCGGGAAATGCGGGAATGGCCCCTGGTCTGTGCTCCATGGATCCACGGATCCGTCTGTCCGTCCGTCCGTCCATGGATCCATCGTGCATCCCATGGATCCATCTGTCATCCATTCATCCATGGATCCATCATCCATAGATCCGTCCCTGGGTCTGTCCACACATCCGTCCATCCATGGATCCATCCATGGATCTGTCCATCCATCCATCCATCCATCCATCCATCCATCATCCATCATCCATCCATGAATCTTTCCATCCATGAATCCATCTATGAATCCATCCATGGATCCATGGATCCATCCATCATCAATCATCCATCCATCATCCATCCATCCATCCATCCATCCATGGATCCATGGATACATCCATTTATCCATGAATCAATCACTCCATCCATGAATCCATCTATGAATCCATCCATGGATCCATCATCCATCCCATGGATCCATCAGTCCATGGGTCCATCCATCCATCCATAGATCATCCATCCATGGATCCATGGATATATCCATTCATCCATGAATCTCTCCATCCATGAATCCATCTATGAATCCCTCCATGGATCCATCATCCATCCCATGGATCCATCAGTCCATGGATCCCTCCATCCATCCATCCATGAGCTCCCCCCTCATCCATCCCGGGGGATTTTTCCCGGCCTATCCCGAGGTTTTTTTCCCTTCTCCAGCTCCTCAACCACAACGTGGTGAACGACCTGCTCCTGCTGGAGCCGCTCGTGGACGCGCTGACGGCTCTGGAGAAGGATTCCTGCCTCCTGGTGCGCGTCCTGGCGCTCCGCGGGCTCGGCAACGTGGCCTCGGGATCCCCGGAGCAGGTGGGACTGGGCGTTTGCAGGGGCACCGGGAATGGATTCCCTCCAGAATGTTGGGATGAGTTTTTGTGGGATGGGGAGGAAGCTCCAAGGATTGGGATGCACCAGGAGGCTCCGAATCCTTAAAATCCCTCAGCGGCTCCCGGGAAGTTTTCTGGAGCCATTTCCGGGAATCCCGGGAAGTGCTGGAGCCTTTCCCCAGCCCCGTTTTCCAGGGATCCCCAGGAACGTTTCCCGGAGCCACGGGAATTCCAGCTGGGATCGGCCCCTTTTCCCAGCTTCTCCCGGGAATCCTCGGCCTCAGCCCCTGCCCTGCTTCCTGAAGCCCCAAATCCCAGAATTCCAGCAAATTCCAGGGGAACATTCCCGACAATCCCAACCTGAGGCCTTTCCCTGGGTCCTGTCCCATTCCCTGGGAACAGATCCCACCCTGGATCCCCCGGGATCCCTTCAATCCCACTTTTCTCTGGGATGAGCCCCAACAGCTCCCTCAGCTGCTCCCAGGATTCCCCCATTCCCAACCATGAACCCACCAAACCTGTTTGCTTGCAATTCCAGTTTGGAATATTCCCAAAAATCCCAACTCCAGGCCCTTCCCTTTGTCCCTGGGAGCAGATCCTGCCCTGGATCCCCCTGGATCCCTTCAATCCCACTTTTCTCTGGGACAATCCCCCCCGCCCTCCCGGGGCTCCATATCCCGGTTTTCCCTCTGCGATCCCGGTTTTCCCTCTGCGATCCCGGTTTTCCCTCTGCGATCCCGGTTTCCCCAGCTGCAATCCCGGTTTTCCTGGCTGCAATCCCAGTTTTCCTGGCTCCGTATCCCGGTTTCCCCAGTTGCGATCCCGGTTTCCCTGGCTGCAATCCCGGTTTTCCCTCTGCGATCCCGGTTTTCCCAGCTGCAATCCCGGTTTTCCCTCTGCGATCCCGGTTTCCCCAGCTGCAATCCTGGTTTCCCTGGCTGCGATCCCGGTTTTCCCGGCTGCGATCCCGGGTTCCCCAGCTGCGATCCCAGTTTTCCCTCTGCAATCCCCGTTTTCCCTCTGCGATCCCAGTTTTCCCTCTGCGATCCCGGTTTCCCCGGCTGCAATCCTGGTTTTCCCGGCTGTGATCCCAGTTTTCCCTCTGCGATCCCGATTTTCCCAGCTGCGATCCCAGTTTCCCTGGCTGCGATCCCGGTTTTCCCTCTGCGATCCCGGGTTCCCCGGCTGTGATCCCGGTTTTCCCAGCTGCAATCCCAGTTTTCCCTCTGCGATCCCGGTTTTCCCTCTGCGATCCCAGGTTCCCCGGCTGTGATCCCGGTTTTCCCAGCTGCAATCCCAGTTTTCCCTCTGCGATCCCGGTTTTCCCGGCTGCAATCCCGGTTTTCCCTCAGCTGCGATCCCGTTTTTTCCCGGCAGATCCGGAGGCACGGCTCGCAGCTGCTGGCCTCCATGGTCAATGGCATGGACGACAAGGACGATCCCAACAATCTGCTGGCGCTGGAGGCCATGTCCAGCCTCTCCAAGATCCTGGATCACCTGGAGGAGCGGGACGTGCAATCCATGCTGCTCCGCGTCGCCATCCGCATCCGGCCCTTCTTCGACAGCGTGAGCAGCCGCCCGCCCGCAATTCCCGGAGCCGGGAACGGCCTTGGGTCCATCCCGGGTTTCTCCTCGGGCTGGGGTTTCTGCTGGATCTTCATCCATGCTCCCGTGCTGGGCTGAGGGTCCCACTGGGATTGGCCCGTTGGGATTGGCCCACTGGGATTGTTCCCTTAGGGATTGTCCCACTGGGATTGGCCCATTGGGATTGGCCCACTGGGATTGTCCTGCTGGGATTTTCCCATTGGAATTTTCCCGTTGGGATTGGCCCATTGGGATTTTCCTGTTGGGTTTTCCTCATTGGGATTTTCCCGTTGGGATTTTCCCGTTGGGATTGTCCCGTTGGGATTGGCCCATTGGGATTGGTCCTTTGGGATTGTCCCACTGAGATTTGACCGTTGGGATTGTCCCCTTGGGATTGATCCTTTGGGATTCTCCCATTGGTATTTTCCCATTGGGATTGGTCCATTGGGATTTTCCTGTTGCAATTTTCCGGTTGGGATTGGCCCATTGGGATTTTCCCCTTGGGATTGTCCCACTGGGATTGGTCCATTGGGATTCTCCCGTTGGGATTTTCCCCTTGGGATTGTCCCACTGGGATTGATCCTTTGGTGTTCTCCCGTTGGAATTGGTCCACTGGGATTGGTCCTTTGGGATTTTCCCATTGGGGTTTTCCCACTGGGATTGATCCTTTGGGATTGGCCCACTGGGATTGATCCTTTGGGATTGGCCCACTGGGATTGGTCCTTTGGTATTCTCCCATTGGGATTGGTCCATTGGGATTTTCCTGTTGGGATTGGCCCATTGCGATTTTCCCATTGGGATTGGCCCACTGGGATTTTCCCATTGGAATTGTCCCCTTGGGGTTGTCCCACTGGGATTGATCCTTTGGTGTTCTCCCGTTGGAATTGGTCCACTGGGATTAGTCCTTTGGGATTGCCCCACTGGGATTGATCCTTTGGGATTGGCCCACTGGGATTGGTCCATTGGGATTCTCCCATTGAGGTTTTCCCGTTGGGATTTTCCCACTGGGATTGGCCCCAGGCTTGGGGGACAACCAGGATTGGGATGGTGGGAAAAATGGGATGGGAATGGTGGGATCAGAGCACAGGGATTTGGGGATCCCAGGATGGGAATGATGGGATTTCCAGGATTGGGAATGATGGGATCCCAGGATGGGATTTGGGGATCCCAGGATGGGAAAGGTGGGAATGGCAGGATGGTGATTTTGGGATCCCAGGGTGGGATTTGGGCATCCTAGGATTGGGAAAGGTGGGAATGGCAGGATGGTGATTTTGGGATCCCAGGGTGGGATTTGGGGATCCCAGGGTGGGATTTGGGGATTACCATGATTGGGAATGGTGGGATCCCAGGGTGGGATTTGGGGATCCCAGGATTGGGAATGGTGGGATTACCATGATTGGGAATGGTGGGATCACAGGATGGGATTTGGGGATCCCAGGGTGGGAAAGGTGGGAATGGCAGGATGGTGATTTTGGGATCCCAGGGTGGGATTTGGGCATCCTAGGATTGGGAAAGGTGGGAATGGCAGGATGGTGATTTTGGGATCCCAGGGTGGGATTTGGGGATCCCAGGGTGGGATTTGGGGATTACCATGATTGGGAATGGTGGGATCCCAGGGTGGGATTTGGGGATCCCAGGATTGGGAATGGTGGGATTACCATGATTGGGAATGGTGGGATCCCAGGGTGGGATTTGGGGATCCCAGGATTGGGAATGGTGGGATTACCATGATTGGGAATGGTGGGATCACAGGATGGGATTTGGGGATCCCAGGGTGGGAAAGGTGGGAATGGCAGGATGGTGATTTTGGGATCCCAGGGTGGGATTTGGGGATCCCAGGGTGGGATTTGGGGATTACCATGATTGGGAATGGTGGGATCAGAGCACAGGGATTTGGGGATCCCAGGATTGGGAATGGTGGGATTACCAGGATTGGGAATGATGGGATCCCAGGATGGGATTTGGGGATCCCAGGATGGGAAAGGTGGGAATGGCAGGATGGTGATTTTGGGATCCCAGGGTGGGATTTGGGGATCCCAGGATGGGATCCATGGGATTTCCCGCCGTGATTCCCGTGTTTCCCCGTTTTCCCAGGAACACGCCGAGCTCCGGCACTCCTCCATCCTCCTCTTCGGGAACCTGTCCCGCTTCAGCCGCTCCGACTCCGAGGTTTTCTCGGAGCAGATCCTCAACGGGCTGGTGACGCTCCTGCTGCACCTGCAGGACCCCCAGCCCGACGTGGTCAAGGTGGGACTGCCGGGAATCCCCGGGGCTCCCTGAGGCCCGGCGGGATCCCCCACCCACGGAGAATTCCCGGCGTTCCCGGTTTTCCAGGCGTGCAAGTTCGCGCTGAGGATGTGCGGGCCCAGCCTGGGCTGCGAGGGGCTCCGGGAAATGTTCGGGAATCACCTGCGGGAGGAGCGGGGGCTGCACTACGGGGAGTTCATCAACGACGCCGCCAAGTTCCTGGTGAGACATCACGGGGACTTTGGGATATCGGGATATTGGGACATTGGGATATCGGGAATTTGGGACATTGGGATATTGGGATATCGGGAATTTGGGACATTGGGATATCGGGAATTTGGGACATTGGGATATTGGGATATTGGGACCTTGGGATATCGGGAATTTGGGACATTGGGATATTGGGACTGGGACATTGGGACATTGGGAATTTGGGACATTGGGACATTGGGATATCGGGATATTGGGAATTTGGGACATTGGGATATTGGGAATTTGGGATTGGGGACATTGGGAATTTGGGACATTGGGACATTGGGATGTGTGGGGCTGCACTACGGGGAGTTCATCAACGACGCCGCCAAGTTCCTGGTGCGACATCACAGGGACATCACAGGGACATTGGGATATTGGGATATTGGGAATTTGGGACATTGGGAATTTGGGACATTGGGATATTGGGACATTGGGAATTTGGGATATTGGGATATCGGGATAGTGGGACATTGGGACATTGGGACATTGGGACATTGGGATGTGTGGGGGCTGCACTACAGGGAGTTCATCAATGACACCAAGTTCCTGGTGGGACATCACGGGGACATCACTGGGATATTGGGACATTGGGAATTTGGGACATTGGGACAGTGGGATGTTGGGAATTTGGGATTGGGGACATTGGGAATTTGGGATATTGGGATATTGGGATATTGGGATATTGGGAATTTGGGATTGGGGACATTGGGACATTGGGATATTGGGATATTGGGACATTGGGATATTGGGACATTGGGATACTGGGACATGGGGATATTGGGATTTTGGGATATTGGGACATTGGGATATTGGGATATTGGAACATTGGGATATTGGGATATTGGGACATGGGGACACCGGGATGTGTGGGGGCTGCACTACACGGAGTTCATCAACGACGACGCCAAGTTCCTGGTGCAACATCACGGGGACATCACTGGGACATTGGGACATTGGGAATTTGGGATATTGGGACATTGGGATATTGGGAATTCGGGACATTGGGATATTGGGACATGGGGACATTGGGATATTGGGATGTGTGGGGCTGCACTACGGGGAGTTCATCAACGACACCGCCAAGTTCCTGGTGAGACATCACGGGGACATCATGGGGACAGTGGGACGTTGGGAATTTGGGATATCGGGAATTTGGGAATTTGGGACATTGGGAATTTGGGACATTGGGATATTGGGATGTTGGGACATTGGGACATGGGGACATTGGGATATTGGGACATTGGGACATTGGGATATTGGGAATTTGGGATATTTGGAATTTGGGATATTGGGATATTTGGGACATTGGGATTGGGAATGTGGGGATGGGATTGGGATTGGGTTGGGGACCCCGTGGAGCCTCAGGGTTTTCCCATTTCCCTGCGTGCCCGGAGTGTCCCCCATGTCCCATATTCCAGCATCCCCCCAGTCCTCCCCGTGTCCCCAACGTCCCCAGTGTCCCCTGTCCTCCAGTGTCCCAAATGATCTCAATGTCCCCAGTGTCCCCAGTGTCCCCAACATCCCCAGTGTCCCCTGTCCTGCAGTGTCCCAAATGATCTCAATGTCCCCAATGTCCCCAATCCCTCCATGGGAATGTCCCCAGTGTCCCCCACTTCCCTGCTGGCTGCACTGTCCACAGTGTCCCCTCTGTCCCTGGTGTCCCCAGTCCCCCACTGTCCCCAATGTCCCCAATCCCCCAATGTCCCCAGTGTCTCCTCAGTCCCCACTGTCCCCAATGTCCCTTCTACTCCAATGTCCCCAATGTCTCCACTGTCCCCAGTGTCCCCAGCACCCCCAATGTCCCTGGTCCCTGCAATGCCCCCAGTGTCCCCAGTGTCCCCGCTGTCCCCTCTGTCCCTGCTGTCCCCGCTGTCCCCAGTGTCCCCACTGTCCCCATTGCCCCCAGTGTCCCCAGTGTTCCCCAGTGTCCCCCAGTGTCCCATTGCCCCCCATTGTCCTCCACTGTCCCCAGTGTCCCCCAATGTCCCCGCTGTCCCCATTGCCCCCAGCACCCCCAATGTCCCTGCTGTCCCCAATGTCCCCATTGCCCCCAACACCCCCAACACCCCCAATGTCCCCACTGTCCCCACTGTCCCCAGTGTCCCCACTGTCCCCACTGTCCCTGCTGTCCCCAATGTCCCCGGTCCTTGCAGTGCCCCCAGTGTCCCCAGCATCCCTGCTGTCCCCATTGCTCCCAACACCCCCAATGTCCCCACTGTCCCCGCTGTCCCCATTGTCCCCTCTGTCCCCAATGTCCCCACTGTCCCCGCTGTCCCCACTGTCCCCATTGTCCCCTCTGTCCCCAATGTCCCTGCTGTCCCCAATGTCCCCGCTGTCTCCATTGCCCCCAACACCCCTGCTGTCCCCTCTGTCCCTGCTGTCCCCGCTGTCCCCAGTGTCCCCAGTGTCCCAACTGTCCCCACTGTCCCCATTGCCCCCATTGTGCCCGCTGTCCCCGCTGTCCCCCATTGCCCCCAACACCCCCAATGTCCCCGCTGTCCCCCATTGCCCCCAACACCCCCAATGTCCCCGCTGTCCCCAATGTGCCCAATCCCCCAATGTCCCCCAATGTCCCCATTGCCCCCAACACCCCCAGTGTCCCCTCTGTCCCCACTGTCCCCAATGTCCCCACTGTCCCCAGTGTCCCCATTGCCCCCAATGTCCCCAATGTCCCCATTGCCCCCAATGTCCCCACTCTCCCCAATGTCCCCACTGTCCCCGCTGTCCCCAACGTCCCCGCTGTCCCCAATGTCCCCGCTGTCCCCAATGTCCCCATTGCCCCCAACACCCCCACTGTCCCCTCTGTCTCCGCTGTCCCCAATGTCCCCATTGCCCCCACTGTCCCCGCTGTCCCCTCTGTCCCCAATGTCCCCAATGTCCCCACTCTCCCCAATGTCCCCAATGTCCCCGCTGTCCCCAACATCCCCTCTGTCCCCGCAGATGCGCAGCCACCCCGCTCTGCTGGGCCGCCTCATCTCCACCAACCTCTTCTACTTCAAGAGCCCGTGGCGGGAGCTGCGTGCGGCGGCGGCCATGTTCACCGGTGAGGGACGGCGGGGACGCCGCGCCGGCCGTGCCCCCGCCGCGGTGACACCGGCCCTGGGGCGGCTTTGGGTCATTTCGGAGAAATTCTGAAAGTCTTGGGGTCCCTGGTGACCCCAGTCGTGCTGCCCGGTTCTGTCACCCACTGCGGTGACATTGGTGGCATTTGTCACCAGCGGGTGGCATTGCTTCTGGAGGCTCCCAAGGGGCTTTGGGGTGGCTTTGGGGTGGTTTTAGGGCGTTCTGGGGGGATTTTGGGGTCCCTGGTGACCCCAAACCTGTCCCCTGGTAGATTCAGGTCCCTCTTCTCCTTGGTGTCACCACAGTGGTGGCCTTTGTCACCAAGGGGTGACATCGGTCCTGCAGGTCCCCAAGGGGCTTTTGGGCTGGTTTTGTTGTTTTGGGGTCATCCTGGATGGTTTCTGGGGCAATATTGAAGATTTTGGGGTCCCTGGTGACCACAAACTTGTCCCCAGCTGGTCTCTGGTCCTGTCACCTCTTGGGGTCACCACGGTGGCCTTTGTCACCAAGGGGTGGCATCAATCCTGGAGATTCCCAAGGGTTTTTTGGGCTGGTTTTGTTGTTTTGGGGTGATCCCGGATGGTTTCGGGGGTAATTTTGAAGGTTTTGGGGTCCCTGGTGACCACAACCGCGTCCCCTGGTTCTGCCACCTTTTGGGGTCACGGTGGTGGCTTTTGTCACCAGGGGTGGCATCGGCCCTGGAGGGTCCCGTGGGGTTTTGGGTGGGGTTTGGTTGTTTTGGGGTGATCCTGGATGATTTTTGAGGTGATTTTGAAGGTTTTGGGGTCCCTGGTGACCCCAAACTTGTCCCCAGCTGGTCTCAGGTCCTGTCACCTCTTGGGGTCACAGTGGTGGCTTTTGTCACCCACCAGGGGGTGACATCGGCCCTGGAGGTCCCCAAGGGGTTTTTGGGCTGGTTTTGGGTGGTTTTAGGATATTTTGGGCTGGTTTTGGGGTGATTTTAGGACATTTTGGGCTGGTTTTGGGACATTTTGGGCTGGTTTTGGGGTGATTTTAGGACATTTTGGGCTGGTTTAGGGTGGTTTTGGGACATTTTGGGCTGGTTTTGGGGTGGTTTTGAGACATTTTGGGCTGGTTTTGGGGTGATTTTAGGACATTTTGGGCTGGTTTTGGGTGGTTTTGGGACATTTTGGGCTGGTTTAGGGTGGTTTTGGGACATTTTGGGCTGGTTTTGGGGTGATTTTAGGACATTTTGGGCTGGTTTAGGGTGGTTTTGGGACATTTTGGGCTGGTTTTGGGGTGGTTTTAGGACATTTTGGGGTGGTTTTGGGTGGTTTTGGGACATTTTGGGCTGGTTTTAGGGTGATTTTAGGACATTTTGGGCTCATTTTGGGGTGATTTTAGGACATTTTGGGCTGGTTTTGGGGTGATTTTAGGACATTTTGGGCTGGTTTTGGGACATTTTGGGCTGGTTTTGGGGTGATTTTAGGACATTTTGGGCTGGTTTTGGGGTGGTTTTAGGACATTTTGGGCTGGTTTTAGGGTGGTTTTTGGGGAATCTTGGAGCATCTGGTGACCCCAAACTTGTCCCTGGTGCGGTCACCTCCTGTGGTGGCTTTTGTCACCAGGGGGTGGCATCACCCCTGGGGCGTTTTGAGCCGTTTTTGTTCAGTTTTGGGATATTTTGATGGGGTTTTTTTGGGGTAATTTTGGGGTTTTTAGGGAATATTCCAGTCCCTGATCCCAAAATTCCCTCCAGGGTTCCTGGTGCTCCACATGGACGAGGAGCAGGGCCAGCAGGTGGACCTGGACCAGCTCATCTCCGGTGAGTGGGAATTCCCAAATCCCCGAATTCCTGGATTTCCAAAGCCCCAAATTTCCAAATCCCCAAATTCCTGGATTTCCAAAGCCCCAGGTTCCTGAATCCACAAATCCCCAAATGCCTGAATTCCTGAATCCACAAATTCCCAAATTCCTGAATTCCCGATTTCCCAAATTCCAAAATTTCCACATTTCCAAATTCCCAAATTCTGAAATTCCTGAATCTACAAATTCCCGAATCCCTGAATTCCTGAATTCCTGAATACCCAAATTCCCGATTTCCTGAATTCCTGAATTCCAAAATTTCCAAATTTCCAAATTCCCACATTCCCGAATTCCTGAATCCACAAATTCCCAAATCCTTGAATTCCCAAATTTCCAAATCCCCAAATTCCTGAATTCCTGAATCCACAAATTCCAAAATTTCCACATTTCCAAATTCCCAAATTCTGAAATTCCCAAATTCCCAAATCCCCAAACAAATTCTAGGGAAAGGAAAAATCTACATTTTGTAGAATCTGAGCTTCAATTTTGGGGGAAATCTTGTATTTTTAGGGAAGCAAATCCCATTTTTAGGGAAAAAATGCATTTTGTAGGATCTAAACTTCAATTTTTAGGTCAAATTTCTTTGTTTTTAAGGCAAAATCCAATTTTTGAGCTTCTAAACTTTCATTTTTTGGAGAATCCCACATTTTTAGGACAAATTCCTCATTGTAAGTGGAAAAAATCCCATTGGGAGGATCAAAATTTCCATTATTTTTGGACAATCCCACATCCTTAGGGCCAAATTCAATTTTTAAGGAAGAAATTCCATTTTTAGGGTCTAAACTTTCATTGCTGGGGAAAAATGCCACATTTTTAGGGGAAAAACCACCAATCTTTAGGAAAAAAGTCCCATTTTTTGGGAAAAAAAATCCCATTTTCAGGCCAAAATTCCTCATTTTTAGGCCAAATAAATCCTGGTTTTAGGGGAAAAAAATCCCATTTTTCAGGGCAAAATTCCTCATTCTTAGCAAGAAAAATTCCCATTTTTAGGGGAAACAAATTCCCACACTTGAGGCCAAAATTCCTCATTTTTAGGGAGAAAAAAAGCACTTTTTTTTAGGGGAAAACCCCCACATTTTTATGGGAAAAAAATCCCCATTTTTAGGGGAAAAAAATCCCATTTTTCAGGCCAAAATTCCTCATTTTTAGGGAAAAAAATCCCATTTTTTGGGAAAAAAATCCCATTTTTAGGGGAAAAAAATCCCATTTTTAGGGGGAAAAAATCCCATTTTTTGGGGAAATAATCCAATTTTTAGGGAAAAATCCCCCCAATTTCGTGGAAAAACAAATCCCATTTTTCAGGCCAAAATTCCTCATTTTTAGGGGAAAAAAATCCCATTTTTTGGAAAAAAAAAATCCCATTTTTAGGGGGAAAAAATCCCATTTTTCAGGCCAAAATTCCTCATTTTTAGGGGAAAAAAATCCCATTTTTTGGGAAAAAAATCCCATTTTTAGGGGAAAAAAATCCCATTTTTAGGGGGAAAAAATCCCATTTTTTGGGGAAAAAATCCCATTTTTTGGGGAAATAATCCAATTTTTAGGGAAAAATCCCCCCAATTTTTCGGAAAAACAGATCCCATTTTTCAGGCCAAAATTCCACAGTTTTAGGGAAAAAAATCCCATTTTTAGGGAAAAAAAAAATCCCATTTTTAGGGAAAAAAAAATCCCATTTTTCAGTCCAAAATTCTTCACTTTTAGGAAAAAAAAATCCCATTTTTAGGGAAAAAAATATCCAATATTTAGTGGAAAACAAATCCCATTTTTCAGGCCAAAATTCCTCATTTTTAGGGAAAAAAAATCCCATTTTTAGGGGGAAAAAATCCCATTTTTAGGGGGAAAAAATCCCATTTTTAGGGGAAAAAAATCCCATTTTTAGGGGGAAGAAATCCCATTTTTAGGGAAAAATCCCATTTTTCAGTGCAAAATTCTTCACTTTTAGGTAAAAAAAATTTCCATTTTTAGGTAAAAAAAATCCAATTTTTAGTGGAAAAAAATCCCATTTTTAGGGGGAAAAAATCCCATTTTTCAGGCCAAAATTCCTCATTTTTTGGGGCAAAAATCCCTTATTTTTAGGGAAAAAAAGTCCCAATTTTAGGGGAAAAAAAATCCCATTTTTAGGGGGGAAAAAAATCCCATTTTTAGTTAAAAATGCCCTCATTTTTAGGGAAAATGAATTCCCATTTTCCGGGCTACCGGAGCCCTCCCGGAAGGGCCCTCCTGGCTCCCCCGCTGCCCATGAGTTCATTTTCTCATTTTTCTGCATTTTCGGGATTTTTTTTATTTTCCCCTCTCAGCTCTGACCTCATCCCGTGGAGCCGAGCCCGGAAAATTCCCGACCTTTCCAAGGGAGCCGCAAAAAACTCTAAAAAAGGGAAAAATTTCACTTTTCCAGCGGCTGCCAGGGCCCTTCCAGGAGCAGAGGGGGGAGGAGGAGCTCGCCCGGAATTCGGGGAATTTTTGGGATTTTGGGGAAGGGACGGGGGGGGGGCTCTGATCCCGACAGAAATGGGGGAAAATCCCCAAAAATGTGGGAAAAACCAGGAAAAAACTTGGGAAAAAAAACCCCTGGAAGCGATCCCGGCTCCTGGGAGCTGCTCCAGGATTTGGGAACGGGGGTGGAGAAGGAATTGGGGCCAAGAAAATCCCGTTCACTTCCCCCTTCCATTGTTTGGGATCATCCCAAGGTTTCATTGGGATCATCCCAAAGTTTTCATTTGTTTGGGATCATCCCAAGGTTTCATTGGGATCATCCCAAGGTTTCATTGTTTGGGATCATCCCAAGGTTTCATTGTTTGGGATCATCCCAAGGTTTCATTGTTTGGGATCATCCCAAGGTTTCCATGGTTTGGGATCATCCCAAGGTTTCCATTGTTTGGGATCATCCCAAGGTTTCATTGTTTGGGATCATCCCAAGGTTTCATTGTTTGGGATCATCCCAAGGTTTCATTGGGATCATCCCAAGGTTTCATTGTTTGGGATCATCCCAAGGTTTCATTGTTTGGGATCATCCCAAGGTTTCATTGGGATCATCCCAAGGTTTCCATTGTTTGGGATCATCCCAAGGTTTCATTGTTTGGGATCATCCCAAGGTTTCCATTGTTTGGGATCATCCCAAGGTTTCATTGTTTGGGATCATCCCAAGGTTTCCATTGTTTGGGATCATCCCAAGGTTTCATTGTTTGGGATCATCCCAAGGTTTCATTGTTTGGGATCATCCCAAGGTTTCCATTGTTTGGGATCATCCCAAGGTTTCCATTGTTTGGGATCATCCCAAGGTTTCCATTGTTTGGGATCATCCCAAGGTTTCATTGTTTGGGATCATCCCAAGGTTTCATTGTTTGGGATCATCCCAAGGTTTCCATTGGGATCATCCCAAGGTTTCCATTGTTTGGGATCATCCCAAGGTTTCATTGTTTGGGATCATCCCAAGGTTTCCATTGTTTGGGATCATCCCAAGGTTTCATTGGGATCATCCCAAGGTTTCCATTGTTTGGGATCATCCCAAGGTTTCATTGTTTGGGATCATCCCAAGGTTTCATTGGGATCATCCCAAGGTTTCATTGCTCGGGATCATCCCAAGGTTTCATTGTTTGGGATCATCCCAAGGTTTCATTGTTTGGGATCATCCCAAGGTTTCCATTGTTTTTGGGATCATCCCAAGGTTTCATTGTTTGGGATCATCCCAAGGTTTCATTGTTTGGGATCATCCCAAGGTTTCCATTGTTTGGGATCATCCCAAGGTTTCCATTGTTTGGGATCATCCCAAGGTTTCCATTGTTTGGGATCATCCCAAGGTTTCATTGTTTGGGATCATCCCAAGGTTTCATTGTTTGGGATCATCCCAAGGTTTCCATTGGGATCATCCCAAGGTTTCCATTGTTTGGGATCATCCCAAGGTTTCATTGTTTGGGATCATCCCAAGGTTTCCATTGTTTGGGATCATCCCAAGGTTTCATTGGGATCATCCCAAGGTTTCCATTGTTTGGGATCATCCCAAGGTTTCATTGTTTGGGATCATCCCAAGGTTTCATTGGGATCATCCCAAGGTTTCATTGCTCGGGATCATCCCAAGGTTTCATTGTTTGGGATCATCCCAAGGTTTCCATTGTTTGGGATCATCCCAAGGTTTCCATGGTTTGGGATCACCCTGAGCCCTTTCACTTTAATTTTAGAGGGGTTGGGATCAGCCCCAAACTCCACTGGGAATTTTTTGGGATCATCCCAAAACTTTCATTTTAATTTTAAGGTTTTTTTTGGGGTTCATCCCAAACATTTAATTTTAATTTTTTGGGATCATCCTGCACCTTTAATTTTGGGGTTTTTGGGATAATCCCGAGCCCTTAATGTTAATTTTTTTTGGGGGGGCTCCTCCTGTACCTTTAATTTTAATTTTAGGTTTTTAGGATCATCCCGAGCCTCTCCATTTAAATTTTTTTGGGATCATCCAGAGGCTTTCCTTTACATTTTAATTTATTTGGGATCATCCTGAACGTTCCATAATTTTAATTTTTTGGGATCATCTCAAGCCTTTCATTTTAATTTTAGGGGTTTTTTGGGATCACCCAGAGTTTTTCCTTTCACCTTTAGGGTTTTGCGGGGTCATCCCAAACGTTTAATTTTAATTTTTTGGGATCATCCAGAGTTTTTCCTTTCAATTTTAGGGTTTTGTTTAATTTTAATTTTTTGTTTTAATTGTTTTTCTTTAAATTGTTTAATTTTAATTGTTTTAATTTTAATTTTTGGGATCATCCTCTACCTTTAATTTTCGTTATTTTGGGATCATCTCAAGCTGCTAATATTAATTTTTTCAGCTCATCCCAAGCCTTTCATTTAAATTTCATTTCATTCCAATTTTTGCTCTTCCCACCAAAACACCAAAAAATCCCAGGACAAACAGCTGGGAATCCTTCCCTGTCGGTCCTCAAATCCTGGATAACAATGGGAATAAAATCCTCATTTTTTGGGGGGGAAAAAAAATCCATAAAAATTCCCAGATCCAGCAAATCCGTCGGGACCGGGAATTCTGGGATGGGGGGATTGGAAACTCCCAATTGGGAGTGCTGGGAATTTGGGGCTGGGTTGGGAGTGGATCCCATCCCATGGGATTTTCCCAGCAAAGCCTCTCCCAAGCCCGGCTCCCAAACCCTGGAGAGGCTCCTGGGAGCCGGGAATTGATCCAGGGGGAGGCAGAGAAATTCCAGGGGGAATCCAGGGGGAATCCAGGGGGAAAAGAGCGAGAATGCAGCAGGGAAAACGTGGGAATGTGATGGGAATAGAGCAGGAATGCAGGGAGGGAATGCCATGGGAATAATGGGAATGCCATGGGAATAGGGTGGGAATTCCTGGGAATTCCTGGAGTTTTCAATATCCAGGGCTGGGGGATCCCAGTCCTGACCCTGATCCCAATCCTGACCCTGATCCTGATTTTGATGTCAATCCCAATCCCGACTCCAATCCTGATCCCAATCCTGTTTCTGATCCCAATCCTGATTCTGATCCCAATCCTATTCCCAATCCCAATCCCAATCCCAATCCCGACTCTAACCCTGATTCTGATCCTGATCCTGATCCCAATCCCAACCCCAATCCTGTTCCTGATCCTGAGCCCAATCCCGATCCCGATCCCGATTCTGATCCCAATCCTGAACCCGATCCCAATCCTGTCCCCATCCTGATCCCACTCCCAATCCCAAATCCCAATCCCGATCCCGATCCCGATCCCAAATCCCAAACTCATTCCCAAATCCCAAATCCCAAATCCCAAATCCCTGCTCTGCGGTTCCAGCCCTGAAGCTGCTGCTGCAGGATCCGGTCCCGGCCGTGCGGGTCAAGGTGGCCGAGACCCTGGGACGCCTCGTCCGCCTCCTGTGAATCCCAGAATCCCCAGAATTCCTGGAAATTCCCAGCTCGGAGACCCTGGGACGCCTCCTCCTCCTCCTCCTCCTCCTGCTCCTCCTCTGAATCCCAGAATTCCTGGGAATTCCCGGCTCCGCTCAGCAATACCCCGGGGGACCCCAATCCATGGGAAAAGTCTTCCATCGATCGCCTCCATCCTCGGGGGCAAAAAAAGTGGGAAAGCGGCCGGAATTGGGGATGGGATCCGGCTGCGGAATCCCGGGATCTGGACGGAGCCCAGTCCCACCCCTGCAGCCGCTTCCCGATGGATCCGGGATCCATTCCCACCCCTGCAGGCCGTCCCTCTCTGCTGCTTCCCGGTGGGTGACGGGATCTGTTCCCAAAATTCCCAGCTGGAATTGCCCCCTGTACAGAGACCTGTTTTTAAATAAAGCTTTTGGCTCCCGATCCCACTCTGGAATTTTGGGATTCCTCAGGATTTGGGGGATGGGAAGGGGGGGATCCCGCCTGTGTCCCCATGGGGATGATCCAGGGGCTCTTCTTGCCTCTCACCCACAGGGAAAACCTTGGAATTTCCCGGCTGGTCCTGCCCCATTTCTGCCCCACCTCCGGCTTCTCCTTTGGGATCCTGGTCCAGATCCCATTCCAGGTTCTATCCCAGATCCCATTCCAGGTTCTATCCCAGATCCTTTTCCAGATCCCATTCCAGATCCCATTCCAGGTTCTATCCCAGATCCCATTCCAGGTCCCATTCCGGGTTCTATCCCAGATCCCATTCTGGGTTCTATCCCAGATTCTTTTCCAGATCCCATTCCAGGTTCTATCCCAGATCCCATTCCAGATCCCATTCCGGGTCCCATTCCAGGTTCTATCCCAGATCCCATTCCAGATCCCATTCCGGGTTCTATCCCAGATCCTTTTCCAGATCCCATTCCAGATCCCATTCCGGGTTCTATCCCAGATCCTTTTCCAGGTTCTATCCCAGATCCTTTTCCAGGTCCCATTCCAGGTCCCATTCCAGGTTCTATCCCAGATCCTTTTCCAGGTCCCATTCCAGATCCCATTCCAGGTTCTATCCCAGATCCCATTCCAGGTTCTATCCCAGATCCCATTCCAGGTCCCATTCCAGATCCTTTTCCAGGTCCTGCTCCATTCCCTGGCTTCTTTTCCTGGGATAAACCAGATCCAGGGAATCTCATCCTCTGTTCTGGTCACTTCCAGCTTTTCCATTGGGATCCTGTTCAGGATCCTATCCAAAATCCCGTTCCAGGTCCTATTTACCAAATCCTGCCCCAGATCCCATCCCATGCAAAAAAAGCCTCTCGTGATTCCTGTGGATCCTGGGAATTCTGCGTGTTGGGAACGTGGGAATGGGGGCATGGAGGGGACACCGAGGGCTGTGGGAATGGGAAAACCGGAGAATCCAGCACACGGGGATCCCGGGATCACATCCAAAAAAAGCCTTTATTGAGCACTGGGAATTAGGAAAGTGGCGGATCCCTGTGGATCCCGCGGGATCCCCATGGGAAGGTCAAGCTGTAGAGGCACACGGTGCCGGAGGAGAAGAGCCAGGGACCCAGTGGATCCTGGTGGATCCCGGTGGATCAGGTGTAGAGGCACAGGGTCCCATCGGCGCCCGAGGAGAAGAGCCAGGGCTGCTGGGGGTGGATCCCTGTGTATCCCCCTGGATCTCACTGGAACCCTGGTAGATCCAGGTGTATTCCAGTGGATCTCAGGTGGATCCAGGTGGATCCCAGTGGATCCCGGTGGATCAGGTGTAGAGGCGCACGGTGCCGTCGGCGCCCGAGGAGAAGAGCCAGGGCTGCTGGGGGTGGATCCCGGGTGGATCCCCCTGGATCCCACTGGAACCCTGGTAGATCCAGGTGTATTCCAGTGGATCCCAGGTGGATCCCGGTGGATCCCAGGTGGTGAATCCCTGGTGGATCCCGGTGGATCCCGTTGGATCAGGTGTAGAGGCGCACGGTGCCGTCGGCGCCCGAGGAGAAGAGCCAGGGCTGCTGGGGGTGGAAGGCGACGTCGAGCACGCCGAGGTCGAGGGTGGGCGCGTGGCCCTTGAGCACCTTGAGCGGCACCAGGAGCGCGTTCTGCAGCAGGTCACTGCCCACGGGAGGGGGGAAATAAACGGGATATCCATGGATACCGGGAACGGGAATTGTCCCAATGGGAACGGGAACGGTGACACCGGGAATGGGAATGGTATCCAGGAAAACAAACGGGAATGCTGACACCGGGAACGGGAACGGTATCCATGGGAACGGGAACGCTGGCACCGGGAATGGGAACGGGAACGCTGGCACCGGGAATGGGAATGGTATCCATGGAAACAAACGGGAATGCTGGCACCAGGAATGGGAACGGGAACGCTGGCACCGGGAATGGGAATGGGAATGCTGGCACTGGGAAGGGGAACGGGAATGCTGACACCGGGAATGGAAATTCTGACACCGGGAATGGGAATTGTATCAATGGAAATGGGAATGCTGGCATTGGGAATGGGAATGGGAACGCTGACACTGGGAATGGGAATTGTCCCAATGGAAATAAACAGGAATGCTGACACCAGGAATGGGAATGCTGACATTGGGAATGGGAATTGTCCCAATGGGAACGGGAATTTTGACACCGGGAATGGGAAAGGGAATGGGAATTCTGACACTGGGAATGAGAATTCTGACACTGGGAATGGGAAAGGGAATGGGAATGCTGACACCAGGAATGGAAATTGTCTCAACGGAAATGGGAATTCTGACACTGGAAATGGAAATGCTGACACCGGGAATGGGAATTCTGGGAGTGGGGATTGGAATTCTCACAGCAAGAGTGGGAATTCTGGGAGCAAGAGTGGGAATTCCGGGAGCAGGAATGGGAATTCTCACAGTGGGGATGGGAATTCTGACAGTGGGATGGGAATTCCAGGAGCAGGAATTCTTACAGCAGGAATAGGAATTCTCATAGTGGCAATGGGAATTGTGACACCAGAAACGGGAATTCTCACAGTGGGATTGGGAATTCCAGGAGTGGGAATTCTTACAGTGGGCATGGGAATTCTGATACCGGGAATGGGAATTCTGGGAATGGGATTGGGAATTCTGGGAGTGGGGATGGGAATGGGAATTCTCACACTGGGATGGGAATTCCTGGAGCAGGAAATGGGAATTCTGGGAGCGGGAATGGGAATTCTGACAGTGGGGATGGGAGTTCTGGGAGTGGGGATGGGAATTCTGACACCAGGAATGGGAATGCTGGCAGTGGGAATGGGAATTCTGACCATGGGAATGGGAATTCTGGGAGCAGGAATGGGAATTCTCACACTGGGAATGGGAATTCCAGGAGCGGGAATCTCGTCCTGGGTATCTTTGGGATCCAATCCCGGATATGCCCAGCACTCCCAGCAGCTGCCCCACAAATGCTGCTGCCACCCCAAGGACCCCAAAGGGAGGGATCTGATCCCATAAACACCATAAATAAACCCCATAATCCCACGAGTCCCATAAATCCCACAAATCCTTTAAATAAATCCCATAAATCCCACGAATCCCATAAATCCTGCCAATCCAACAAATTCCACAAATCCCATAAATAAATCCTGTAAACCCCATTAAAAAATCCAACAAATCCCATAAATAAATCCTGTAAATAAATCCATAAATCCCATAAATCCTATAAATAAATCCCCTACATAAATCCCATAAATAAATCCCATAAATCCCATAAATCAATCCCATAAATTCCAATAAATAAATCCATAAATCCCATAAATAAATCCCAAATAAATTAATCCCATAAATTAATCCCACAAATCCCACAAATAAATCCATAAATCCCATAATTAAATCCCATAAATAAACCCTGTAAATCCCACAAACAATTCCCGGTGAATCCCCTAAATAAACCCCACAAATCCCACAAACAATTCCCATGAATCCCATAAATAAATCCCACAAATCCCCCAGACAATTCCCAGTGAATCCCATAAAGAAATCCCAGAAATCCCACAGACAATTCCCAGTGAATCCCATAAATAAATCCCACAAATCCCCCAGTCAATTCCTGGTGATTCCCTTAAATAAATCCCACAAATCCCACAAACAAATCCCATAAATCCCACAAACAATTCCTGGTGAATCCCCTAAATAAATCCCACAAATCCCACAAACAATTCCCGGTGAATCCCCTAAATAAATCCCACAAATCCCACAAACAATTCCCGGTGAATCCCCTAAACAAATCCCACAAATCCCCCAGACAATTCCTGGTGAATCCCATAAACCCACCCCACAAATCCCACAAACAACTCCCATGAATCCCCTACATAAACCCTCCAAATCCCACGCCAATTCCCAGTGAATCCCATAAATAAATCCCACAAATCCCACAAACAATTCCCAGTGAATCCCATAAATAAATCCCACAAATCCCCCAGACAATTCCCGGTGATTCCCTTAAATAAATCCCACAAATCCCGTGACAATTCCTGGTGAATCCCATAAGTAAATCCCACAAATCCCACAAACAATTCCCAGTGAATCCCATAACTAAATCCCACAAATCCCGTGACAATTCCCGTGAATCCCATAAGTAAATCCCACAAATCCCACAAACAAATCCCATAAATCCCACAAACAATTCCCAGTGAATCCCATAAATAAATCCCACAAATCCCCCAGACAATTCCCGTCCCGGTGATTCCCTTAAATAAATCCCACAAATCCCACAAACAATTCCCAGTGAATCCCCATAACTAAATCCCACAAATCCCGTGACAATTCCCGTGAATCCCATAAGTAAATCCCACAAATCCCACAAACAAATCCCATAAATCCCACAAACAATTCCCGGTGAATCCCCTAAACAAATCCCACAAATCTCCCAGATAATTCCCGGTGAATCCCATAAGTAAATCCCACAGATCCCACAGACAATTCCTGGTGAATCCCCTAAATAAACCCCACAAATCCCACAAACAATTCCCATGAATCCCCATAAATAAATCCCACAAATCCCACAAACAAATCCCATAAATCCCACAAACAATTCCCGTGAATCCCATAAAGAAATCCCACAAATCCCCCAGACAATTCCCGGTGAATCCCATAACTAAATCCCACAAATCCCTAAATAAATCCCACAAATCCCCCAGACAATTCCCGGTGAATCCCATAAATAAATCCCCCAAATCCCACAAACAATTCCTGGTGATTCCCCTAAATAAACCCCACAAATCCCACTCCAATTCCTGGCGAATCCCCATAAATAAATCCCATAAATCCCCCAGACAATTCCTGGTGAATCCCCTAAATAAACCCCACAAATCCCATAACTAAACCCCATAAATCCCCCCCTGCCAATTCCCGGTGATTCCCGGCTCCTCACTTGTAGACCATTCCGTGGCAGACGATGACGGAGCCGTCGTCGGAGCCGGAGGCGAAGAGGGGATGGCGCCGGTGGAAGGCGACCGAGCGCACGGCGCGGCCGTGGTGCCTGCGGGGCAGAGACACGGCGGGGATCGGAGCAGGGAAAACACCCGGGAAAAACACCGGGAAAACACCCGGGAAAAACGGGAAAACACCCGGGGAAAACACCGGGAAAACACCCGGGAAAAACGGGGATCGGAGCAGGGAAAAACACCCAGGGATTGGAGCATGGAAAAACACCCGGGAAAAACGGGAATCGGAGCAGGGAAAAACACCGGGGAAAACGGGAAAACACCCGGGGATCGGAGCGCGGAAAAACACCCAGGAAAACACCCAGGGAAAACAGGAATCGGAGCAGGGAAAAACACCCGGGGATCGGAGCAGGGAAAAACACCCGGGGAAAACGGGAAAACACCCGGGAAAAACACCGGGAAAACACCCGGGGAAAATGAGAAAACACCCGGGGAAAATGGGAATCACAGCAGGGAAAAACACCCGGGAAAACAGGAATCGGAGCAGGGAAAAACACCCGGGAAAATGGGAAAACACCCGGGGAAAACGGGAATCGGAGCAGGGAAAAACACCCGGGGATCGGAGCGCGGAAAACACCCGGGGAAAACGGGAAAACACCCGGGAAAAACACTGGGAATCGGAGCAGGGAAAAACACCCGGGAAAAACGGGAAAACACCGGGGAAAATGGAAATCGGAGCAGGAAAAACACCCGGGGAAATGGGAATCACAGCAGGGAAAAACACCCGGGAATCGGAGCAGGGAAAACACCTGGGGATCGGAGCAGGGAAAAACGGGAATTAGAACAGGGAAAAACAGGAATCGGCACCAGGAAAAACACCGGGAAAAACGGGAATCGGCACCAGGGAAAACACCAGGGAAAATGGGAATCAGAGCAGGGAAAAATGGGAATCGGAGCAGGGAAAAACACCCGGGAATCAGCACCGGGAGAAACGGGAATTAGAGCAGGGAAAAACACCCAGGAATAGGCAACGGGAAAAACAGGAATCAGCAACGGGAAAAACACCGGGGAAAACACCAGGGAAAATGGGAATCACAGCAGGGAAAACCGGGAATCGGCACCGGGAAAAATACCGGGGAAAACACCTGGGAATCGGCAATGGGAAAAACAGGAATTAGAGCAGGGAAAAACGGGAATCGGCACCGGGAAAAACACCGGGGAAAACGGGAATCAGAGCAGGGAAAAACACCCGAGAATCAGCAATGGGAAAAACGGGAATTAGAGCAGGGAAAAACGGGAACCGACACCAGGAAAAACACCGGGAAAAACGGGAATCAGAGCAGGGAAAAACAGGAATTGGCAAGGGGAAAAACACTGGGGAAATGGGAATCGGCACCGGGAAAAACAGGAATTAGAGCAGGGAAAAACACCGGGAAAAACCAGGGTAAACATTGGGAATATGGGAATCAGCAATGGGAAAAACCCTGGGAAAAACGGGAATCAGAACAGGGAAAAGCACCGGGATAGACACCAGGAAAAAGGGGAATCAGCACCGGGACAGACATCAGGAAAAACGGGAATTAGCACTGGGAAAAGCACCGGGAAAAACACCGGGATAAATGGGAATTAGAGTCTGGGAAAATGGGAATCAGCACCAGGAAAAACAGGAATCAGCACTGGGATAAACACCAGGAAAAACCAGGAAAAACACTGGGAAAAACGGCAATCAGCACCGGGATAAACACCGGGAAAACAGGAATTAGCACTGGGAAAAACACCGGGAAAAACGGGAATTGGAGCCCGGGAAAATGGGAATCAGCACCAGGAAAAACACCGGGAAAACCAGGAATCAGCACCGGGAGAAACATTGGGATAGACCCCAGGAAAAACTGGAATCAGAGCCCAGAAAATGGGATCAACAAAAACCTGGGATGAGCTGGGGTTTGCAGCTCCCATGGAGAGCTGGGAACGCTCCCGGGACCCCAGGGGACCCCAGGGGACGCCAGGGGATGCCAGGGGATCCTCAGGGATCCGCAGGGATGCCTGGGGACCCCAGGGGGTGCCAGGGATCCACAGGGGACCCCAAGGGACACCAAAGGATGCCAGGGGATGCCAGGGGATCCTCAGGGATCTGCAGGGATCCCAGGGACCCCAGGGGACCCCAGGGGATGTCAGGGGACGCCAGGGAATCTCAGGGATCTTCAGGGATGCCAGGGGACCCCAGGGGATGCCAGGGACCCAAGGGACCCCAGGGGATGCCAAGGGATCCTCAGGGGATGCCAGGGGATGCCAGGGGATGCCAGGGACCCAAGGGGACCCCAGGGATCACCAGGGGTCCCCAGGGGATGCCAGGGATCCACAGGGATCCTCAGGGATGCCAGGGGATTCCAGGGACCCCAGGGGATGCCAGGGACCCCAGGGGATGCCAGGGATCCGCAGGGATCTGCAAGGATCCCAGGGATGCCAGGGGATGCCAGGGGATCCTCAGAGGATGCCAGGGGATCCTCAGGGGATGCCAGGGACCCCAGGGGATGCCAGGGACCCCAGGGGATGCCAGGGGATGCCAGGGATCCCCAGGGGATGCCAGGGATCCTCAGGGATGCCAGGGACCCAAGGGGACCCCAGGGGACGCCAGGGAATGCCAGGGGATCCTCAGGGATCCGCAGGGATGCCAGGGGATGCCAGGGGACCCCAGGGGATGCCGGGGACGCCAGGGGATCCCAGGGGATGTCAGGGATCCTCAGGGATCCTCAGGGATGCCATGGACACCAGGGGACCCCAGGGGATGCCAGGGATCCGCAGGGATCCGCAGGGATCTGCAGGGATGCCAGGGGATGCCAGGGGACCCCAGGGGACGCCAGGGGATCCCAGGGACCCCAGGGGATGCCAGGGATCCGCAGGGATTCTCAGGGACCCCCAGGGACGGGCAGGGATGCGCCGTGACTCACCGCAGCAGGCGGTAGGGGCGCGTGGACAGGTCGAGGTCGAACCAGGCCACCTTGCTGTCGTAGCTGCCGCAGATGACGTTGTCCCCTGGCGAGGGAAGAGCCCCGGGGTGAGCGGGACGGGCCCGGCCCGGGGGGATCCCCTGGGCTCCCGGGGCCATCCCGCACCTCCGGGGTGCACGGCCATGCTGGAGATCCACTGGCAGTTGCTCTGCAGCTTCTTGGCGAGCTCCTGGCGCAGCAGGTTGTAGACGCGCACGGAGCGCTGCGAGGCCACCAGGAAGTAGGGCCGGAGCGGGTGGAACTGCACGCACTGGATCATGCCGGGGCTCTTCCGGAAGGGATCCTGGCTCCAGCGCCGGCTGCTCTGGTGGATCAGCACCTGCCGGCTGCCGGGGTTCCGCACCACCGAGGCCCAGTAGTCGCCCTTGCCGTGCCACGTCACCTGCACCACCGGCTGGGAACAGGATGGGATTGGGATTGGGAAAGGGATCTGGGTGAGATCCCGAAATCCCGACCCTCTGGATCACCCCAGAGCTCCTCAAGGTGGGAATGGGATTGGGATCCGGGTGAGATCCCAAAATCCCGACCCTCTGGATCACCCCAGAGCTCCTCGGGGTGGGATTGGGATCCAGGTGAGATCCCGAAATCCCCAACCCTCTGGATCACCACCGGGGCACAGGAATCACCCAGGCCGTGCCTCGTCACCTGCACCACCGGCTGGGAATGGGATTGGGAATGGGAATGGGAATGGGATTGGGAATGGGATCTGGGTGAGATCCCGAAATCCCGACCCTCTGGATCACCCCAGAGCTCCTCAAGGTGGGAATGGGATTGGGATCCGGGTGAGATCCCGAAATCCCAACCCTCTGGATCACCACTGGGGCACAGAAATTGTTCTGGATGTGCCACGTCACCTGTGTCACCAGCTGGGAACGGGATGGGAATGGGAATGGGAATGGGAATGGGATCCAGGTGAGATCCCGAAATCCCGACCCTCTGGATCACCCCAGAGCTCCTCAGGGTGGGATTGGGATCCAGGTGAGATCCCGAAATCCCGACCCTCTGGATCACCACTGGGGCACAGGAATCGCCCTTGCCGTGCCACATCACCTGCACCACCGGCTGGGAATGGGATGGGAATGGGATTGGGAATGGGATTGGGAATGGGATCTGGGTGAGATCTCAAGAACCTGAGCCTCTGGATCACCCCAGAGCTCCTCAAGGTAGGATTGGGATTGGGATCTGGGTGAGATCCCAAAATCCTGACCCTCTGGATCAGCACTGGGGCACAGAAATCACCCAGGCCATGCCACGCCACCTGCGTCACCGGCTGGGAGTGGAATGGGATCGGGAATGGGAAAGGGATCAGGAACGGGATCCAGGTGAGATCCCAAAATCCCGACCCTCTGGATCACCACTGGGGCACAGGAATTGTTCTGGCTGTGCCACATCACCTGCGTCACCGGCTGGGAATGGGATGAGAATGGGATCAGGAACAGGATCCAGGTGAGATCCTGAAATCCCAACCCTCTGGATCACCCCAGAGCTCCTCGGAGTGGGATCAGGATTGGGATCTGGGTGAGATCCCAAAATCCCGACCCTCTGGATCACCATGGAGGCACAGGAATCGCCCTGGCCGTGCCACGTCACCTGCACCACTGGCTGGGAATGGGATGGGAATGGGATGGGAATGGGATGGGAATGGGATTGGGAATGGGAATGGAATGGAATGGGGATTGGGAATGGGATTGGGATGGGAATGGGAATGGGATGAGAACAGAAATGGGACCTGGGTGAGATCCCAAGATCCCGATCTTCTGGATCATCCCAGAGCTTCTTGGGGTGGGAATGGGAACGGGATTGGGAACGAGAACGGGAACGGGATCCAGGTGAGATCCCGAAATCCCGACCCTCTGGATCATCCTGGAGCTCCCCAGGGTGGGAACAGCGGGATCAGGGAAGGGGAGAGGGGGAGAGGAGAGGGGGAGAGTTTGGTTGGTGGGTCCAGGGATGGGAACAGGAACGGGATTGGGAATGGGAATGAAATTGGGAACGGGATTGGGAATGGGATTGGGATTAGGAATGGGATTGGGACTGGGACTGGGATTGGGACTGGGGCAATTCCCAGGAGCAGCTGAGGGAGCTGTGGGGGCTCATCCCAGAGGAAATCGGGATGGAAGGGATCCAGGGCGGGATCTGCTCCCAGGGAACAGGGACAGGACCAGGGAACAGCCTCAGGTTGGGAATTTTGGGAATATTCCCCTGGCATTGTGGGCAAACAGGGATTTGGGGCCCTGGGAAGCAGGGCAGGGGCTGAGGCCGAGGATTCCCGGGAGAAGCTGGGAAAAGGGGCCGATCCCAGCTGGAATTCCTGCGGCTCCAGGAAACGTTCCCGGGATTTCCCGGAAAACGGGGCTGGGGAAAGGCTCCAGCACTGCCAGGGATTCCTGGGAATGGGAAGGGATCCCTCGGGATGCGGAACAGGGAACAAGGATCCCCTTGGAATTGTGTCCCGTGGGATATGGAGCCGGGAACAAGGATCCATCTGGGATCCTTCCCTCGGGACGTGGAACAGGGAACAAGGATCCCCTGGGAATTGTGTCCCGTGGGATACGGAGCTGGGAACAAGGATCCATCTGGGATCCTTCCCTCGGGATGCAGAACAGGGAACAAGGATCCCCTTGGAATTGTGTCCCGTGGGATACAGAGCCGGGAACAAGGATCCGTTTGGGATCCTTCCCTCGGGACGTGGAACAGGGAACAAGGATCCCCTTGGAATTGTGTCCCGTGGGATACGGAGCTGGGAACAAGGATCCGTTTGGGATCCTTCCCTCGGGATGCAGATCAGGGAACAAGGATCCCCTGGGAATTGTGTCCTTTGAGATGCAGCTGTGGGAATGAGGCCCCTCCCTGAATCCTGGGCTGGGCCTGATCCACAAATTCTGGGAATGCCAATCCCAGCCAGATCCTGGGAATGCCACTCCTACATAAATCACAGGAACGCCGATCCCACCCAGATCCCAGGAATGCCAAGCCCAGCCGGATCCTGGGATTGCTGAGCCCATCCAGATCCCAGGAATGCCGATCCTACCCAGATCCCGGGAATGCCAATCTCATCCAGATCCCCAGAACGCCGATCCCACCCAAACCCTGGGAATGCTGATCCCACTCGGATCCCAGGAACGCTGATCCTACCCAAATCCCGGGAACGCTGATCCCACCCAGATCCCAGCAATGATGATCCCAGCCAGATCCCAGGAATGCCGATCCCAGACGGATCTCGGGAACACCAATCCCACCCAGATCCCAGGAATGCCGATCCCACTCAGATCCCAGGAATGCTGATCCCACCCAGATCCCAGGAATGCCGATTCTCCCCAGATCCCAAAAACACCGATCCCAACCGGATCCCGGGAACACCAATCCCACCCAGATCCCAAGAACACCGATCCCACTCAGATCCTGGGAACGCCGATCCCACCCGGATCCCAAGAACGCCGATCCCAGACGGATCCCGGGAACGCCAATCCCACCCAGATCCCAGGAACACTGATCCCAGATGGATCCCGGGAACGCTGATCCCACCCGGATCCCAGGAATGCTGATCCCACCCGGATCCCAAGAACACCGATCCCAACTGGATCCCAAGAACACCGATCCCACTCGGATCCCGGGAATGCTGATCCTAGCCGGATCCCGGGAACACCGATCCCACTCAGATCCTGGGAACGCCGATCCCACCTGGATCCCAAGAACACCAATCCCACCCGGATCCTGGGAATGCCGATCCCAGCCAGATCCCAAGAACACCGATCCCACCCGGATCCCGGGAACACCGATCCCAGCCGGATCCCGGGAACGCCGATCCCAGCCGGATCCCGGGAACGCCGATCCCAGCCGGATCCCGTGGATCCCACCTTGCTGTGCTGCACCAGCAGCCGGATCCCCTTGCCGCGCTCCTCGGGGCTGGCCGGGACCCACCGGACGGGCTGGATCCGCTCCTCCTCCGGAGCTTCCCAGGAATCCAGGAGCTGATCCGTGGCTGCCACCAGCAGCCGGTCCCCGAGGCCCGGATTCACCAGGAGCACCTGCTCATCCCTGGGAACGGGAAACCCGGGATCAGCGGGGATCCTCTGGGATCAGCGGGGATCCTCTGGGATCAGCGGGAATCCGCTGGGATCAGGGAATGCTCCCCCAGGAGCACCTGCTCATCCCTGGGAATGGGAAATCTGGGATCAGCGGGGATCCCCTGGGATCAGCGGGGATCCTCTGGGATCAGGGGGAATCCGCTGGGATCAAGGAACACTCCCCCAGGAGCACCTGCTCATCCCTGGGAACGGGAAACCCGGGATCAGCGGGGATCCCCCAGGATCACGGGGAATCCTCTGGGATCAGGGAACGCTCCCCAGGAGCACCTGCTCATCCCTGGGAACGGGAAATCTGGGATCAGGGGGGATCCGCTGGGATCAAGGAATCAAAGATGAGCACCTGCTCATCCCTGGGAACGGGAAACCTGGGATCAGCGGGGATCCCCTGGGATCAGCGGGGATCCTCTGGGATCAAGGAACCCTCCCCAGGAGCACCTGCTCATCCCTGGGAATGGGAAATCTGGGATCAGGGAGGATCCTCTGGGACCAAGGAAATCTGGGAATAATCCTTGGGAATGCTGCCAGGGCACTCACACAGCCACGGCCACCAGGCGGATGCTGGGGTTGGGGTTCCAGGGAAATTTGGGAATGTGGGGATGATCCCAGGGCAATTCGGGAATGTGGGGATGCTCCCGGGGCACTCACACGGCCACGGCCACCAGGCAGATGCTGGGGCTGGGGTTCCAGGGAAATTCGGGAATGATCCCAGGGAAATCTGGGAATGTGGGGATGATCCCAGGGCACTCACACGGCCACGGCCACCAGGCAGATGCTGGGGCTGGGGTTCCAGGGAAATTCGGGAATGATCCCAGGGCAATCTGGGAATGTGGGAATGATCCCAGGGCACTCACACGGCCACGGCCACCAGGCAGATGCTGGGGTTGGGGTTCCAGGGAAATTCGGGAATGTGGGGATGTTCCCAGGGAAATTCGGGAATGTGGGGATGCTCCCGGGGCACTCACACGGCCACGGCCACCAGGCAGATGCTGGGGTTGGGGTTCCAGGGAAATTCGGGAATGTGGGGATGCTCCCAGGGAAATTCGGGAATGTGGGGATGATCCCGGGGCACTCACACGGCCACGGCCACCAGGCAGATGCTGGGGTTGGGGTTCCAGGGAAATCTGGGAATGATCCCAGGGAAATCTGGGAATGTGGGGATGATCCGGGGGCACTCACACGGCCACGGCCACCAGGCAGATGCTGGGGTTGGGGTTCCAGGCCACGCTCTTGACCACGGAGCCGAGCGGGAGCGTGCGGAGGCAGCGCGCGGTGCTCACCTCCCAAAACCGCACCGAGCCATCGTCAGAGCCTGCGCAACAGCAACAGCAACAACAGTGGGATAACAACAACAACAATGGGGTAACAGCAACAACAATGGGATAACAACAACAGTGGGATAACAGCAACAATGGGATAGCAACAACAACAATGGGATAACAACAACAACAATGGGATAACAGCAACAATGGGATAGCAACAACAATGGGATAACAGCAACAATGGGATAGCAACAACAACAGGATAACAGCAACAACAACAACGGGATAACAATGGGATAACAGCAACAACGGGATAATAGCAACAACAATGGGATAACAGCAACAATGGGATAACAGCAACAATGGGATAACAACAACAACAATGGGATAACAGCAACAGCAACAACAACAGCGGGATAGCAACAGCAACAGCGGGATAACAGCAATAATGGGATAGCAACAATAGGATAGCAACAACGGGATAACAACAACAACAATGGGACAACAGCAACAACAACAACAGCAGGATAGCAACAGCAACAACAACAACGGGATAACAATGGGATAACAGCAACAGCAACAGCGGGATAACAGCAAGAGCGGGATAGCAACAACGGGGGTAACAACAACAACAGGATAACAACAACAGGATAACAGCAACAATGGGATAGCAACAACGGGATAGCAATGGGATAGCAACGGGATAGCAACAACGGGATAGCAATGGGATAGCAACAACGGGATAACAACGGGATCATGGGACAGTGGGATAATGGGGATAATGGGATTGGGATTGAGATAAGGGGATAATGGGAATGGGATAATGGGGATGGGATAATGAGGATGGGATAATGGGATAATGGGGATGGGATGATGGGAATGAGATTCCCAGGAATACGGATGGGAATGGGGATGGGAACGGAATTGGAATCATGGGAATGGGGATGGGATTGGGAATAAGGATGGGAATGGGATAATGGGATAATGGGATAATGGGATAATGGGATAATGGAATGGGGATGGGATTCCCAGGAATAGGGATGGGAATGGGGATGGAAACGGGATTGGAATAATGGGATTGGGATAATGGGAATGGGATGGGAATGGGATAATGGCAATGGGATAATGGGATAATGGGATTAGGATTAAGATTAGGAATGGGATATTGGGATAATGGGAATGGGATAATGGGAATGGGCATGGGAATGGGATATTGGGATAATGGGAGTTGGACTGGGAATGGGGATGGGATAATGGGAATGGGGGAATGGGATAATGGCAGTAGGATAATGGGATTGGGATAACGGGGATGGGACTGGGACCCCGGAGCCGCTGGCAAAGCTCCAGAGCATTCCAGAGGCGCCGCAGGGCGGGGCCAATCCCGGGATCCTGCCCCAGAGCCGGGGTTGGGATCTTGCAGTGGGAAAAGCCCCGATCCCAACCCTGGCCCCGGAGCAGCTCCGGGTGGAGCTGGGCCGTGGATCCGTGGGATTCATCCCGGGAATTCCCAATCCAGGGCGGGTCCGTACCTGACACCAACCACTGCCCGCTGGGGGAGACGCTCAGGGTCCGCACCAGGCTGGTGTGGCCGCGGTAAACCTGGGGAAAACCGGGAATGAGGGAGAATCCCAAATCCCAGGAGCTCCATGGGAACCTCCAGGAGCTGCTCCGGAATCCTCGGGAAGGGAGGAGGAGCAATTTGGGATCTGGAGGGAGCACGGCCAAGGCCGCCCCATCCCACATCCACAGGGATGGGAATCCCAAGGAATGGGGATTCCAGCCCTTTCCTGGGGAATATTCCCAAAAATCCCATCCCGAGGCCTTTCCCTTGGTCCTGTCCCTGTTTCCTGGGAGCAGATCCTGCCCTGGATCCCTCTGGATCCCTTCAATCCCACTTTTCTCTGGGATGAGCCCCCCCAGCTCCCTCAGCTGCTCCCGGGATTCCCCCATTCCCAATCCCAGCCATGAACCCACCAAATCCCCATTTGCCCCAAATTCCAGGGGAATATTCCCAAAAACCCCAATCCAAGGCCATTCCCTTGGTCCTGTCCCTGTTTCCTGGGAGCAGATCTCACCCTGGATCCCCCTGGATCCCTTCAATCCCACTTTTTTCTGAGATGAGCCCCCCCAGCTCCCTCAGCTGCTCCCAGGAAGTTTTCCGGAGCCATTCCCGAAAATCCCAGCAAAGGGGGATCCTCCCCAGCCCCGTTTTCCATGGATCCGCGGGAGCATTTCCCACAGGAATTCCCGCTGGGATCGGCCCCTTTTCCCAGCTTCTCCCAGCAATCCTCATCCTCAATCCCTGCCCCGAGCTTCCCAAGGCCCCAGATCCCAGAGATCCACCAGATTCCAGGGTTCCCGACCGGGTCCCTCACCAGAGCCTGTGTGGTGGGGAAGGGCTGCAGGTCCCTCGGCCTGGGCAGCTTGGGAATGAGATCCTCGGGATCCACGTTGACCTGCGGGGACGGGAACCACAGCGATCCCGACACCGCCCCCTCCGGCCGGGCATTCCCGGGGTGGGGGTTTTGGGGTGTTTTTGGGGTGTTTTTGGGGTGTTTTTGGGGTGTTTTTGGGGTGTTTTTGGGCGGGGTTAGGGGTCGCGCACCCTCATCCTGCGCTGGCGGGGGCAGAGGTAGAGGTCGAGGCAGCGCTCGAAGCGCTCGTGGATGAAGCGCGGGTAGGCGGGCACGGCGCGCAGGCTCGGGAAGCGCCGCGGCAGGAAGCTCGGGCGCCGCTCCGACGGATCCTGCTGCTGCCAGGCCAGCTCCTGCCGGGAACGGTGCGGGAATGGGGCGGGAATGGGGCGGGAATGGTGTGGGAATGGTGTGGGAATGGGGCGGGAATGGTGCGGGAATGGTGTGGGAATGAGGGAATGGGGGAATGGGGAAGGGAAGGGGATGGGGAGAGGCCGCTCGCCAGGCAGGAGGGGGGAGCACGGGATGGGGATGGCGGGGCAGGGTCAGAGGGAATGGCGGGAGGGAGAGGGGAATGGGGATGGGGAATGGGATAACGGGAATGGGATAATGGGATAATGGGGATGGGATAATGGGGATGGGGAATAGGATAATGGGGATGGCATGATGGGATAATGGGGATGGGGATAATGGGATGATGGGAATGGGATAATGGGGATGGGATAATGGGAATGCGAAAAATGGGATTGGGGATGGGGAATGGGAATGGGGATGGGATAATGGGAATGGGAAAAATGGGATAATGGGGATGGGATGATGGGATAATGGGGATGGGATAATGGGGATGGGGATAATGGGATAATGGGGATGGGATGATGGGGATGGGAAAAATGGGAATGGGGAATGGGGGGAATGGGAATGGGGAATGGGGAATGGGAATGGGAATGGGGAAAATGGGAATGGGAATAGGAATGGGGATGGGGAATGGGGAATGGGAATGGGAATTGGGAATGGGGAATGGGGAGGGGAAAATGGGATAATGGGGATGGGATAATGGGAATGGGAATGGGAATGGGGATGGGATAATGGGAATAGGATAATGGGAATGGGATGATGGGGATGGGGAATGGGAATGGGAACAGGGATGGGGAGGGGATAATGACATAATGGGAATGGAAATGGGAATAGGATAATGGGAATGGGGATGGGATAATGGGGATGGGATAATGGGGATGGGATGATGGGATAGTGGGGATGGGAAAAGTGGGAATGGGAATAGGATAATGGGGATGGGATAATGGGGATGGGATAATGGGGATGGGATAATGGGGATGGGATAATGGGGATGGGGATGGGATGGGATGGGATGGGAGGCCCTGGGCTCGGGAGGAGCCATTCCCAAGGGTCAGGGTCGCTCCCACCGGCAGCTCCTTGGCCAGGATTCCCAATCCTCCTCATCCCATTGGGAGCTTCCCATCCTCATCCCACTGGAGCTCTTCCCACTGGGATTTCCCTGCCCGTTTTCCCCCCATCCATCCCTTCTGGATTCAAATCCCACTCCAGGGCCTCTCCCACTTATCCAGGGACACCCCAATCCCTGGGGAGTGACCCCAAATCTGCCTCCATTCCATGGGATCCTGGAACGCCCTGGGTGGGAATTCCGAGCTGATCCCATTCCATGGGCGGAGACAATTCCCAAAACTCCTCCCAGGGATGAAACACCCACAAACATCCCACACAAATTCCCAGGGAAAACTCCCTCCATTCCACAGGATCCTGGAATGTTCTGGGTGGGAATTCCGAGCTGATCCCACTCCATGGGTGGCGACAATTCCCAAAACTCCTCCCAGGGATGAAACACCCACAAACATCCCACACAGATTCCCAGGAAAAACTCCCTCCATTCCACAGGATCCTGGAACGCCCCAGGTGGGAATTTCAAGCTGATCCCATTCCATGGGTGGCAACAATTCCCAAAACTCCTCCCTGAGCAACCCAAGGGATCAAACACCCACACAAATTCCTAGGGAAAATCCCTTCCAAACCCAACTGGATCCCCCCCGATCCCCTCTGTGGAGCGGCCCCGCGGGATTCTCCCGGCATTCCCGGCGTTCCCGGCATTCCCGGCGTTCCCACCTCCTCGGGGCTGAGCAGGAATTCCGGGGGCGGGTTGTAGGACTCGGCGTGTCCCGGCAGGGGCATTTTGGGAGCGGGCACGTGCATCTTGTGCCGGCCCAGCACCGAGTTGGGCTCCTCGCGCGCCCACAGGTCGTAGAAAGCGGGAGCGCCCTCCTTGGGCTTCCGGGGCTGGATCCAGCCCATCTTGATGGCGTGGACCAGCTTGGAGACCTGCGGAGCATTCCCAGGATTTGGGGAGAGGCCCGGGGGGAGTTTTCCGTCCTCCTCGTCCCACCCGAGCTTTTCCAGCCTCCCCAGCTTTCCACGGATCCTCCTGGTCCCACCTGGATCTTTGGGATCTCCTCATCCCACCTGGATCCTCCCCAGCCTTCCATGGATTCTCCTGATCCTGCCTGGATCTTTGGGATCTCCTCATCCCTGCTGGATCTTTCCATCCTCCCATCCCACCGGGATTTTTCCCATCCTCCTCGTCCCACCCGAGCTTTTCCAGCCTCCTCAGCTTTCCATGAATTCTCCTGATCCCGCCTGGATCTTTCCAATCTCCTGACCCCAGCTGGATCCTCCTCAGCTTTCCATGGATTCTCCTGATCCTGCCTGGATCTTTGGGATCTCCTCATCCCAGCTGGATCTTTCCATCCTCCCCATCCCAACGAAATGTTTCCATTCTCCTCATCCCACCGGGATTTTTCCAATCTCCTCATCCCATCTGGATCTTTCCATCCTCCCCATCCCACCGGGATTTTTCCCATCCTCCTCATCCCACTGGATCTTTTCCACCCTCCTCAGCTTTCCACGGATCCTCCTGATCCCATCCAATCTTTCCCATCTCCTGATCCCACCACGATCTTTCCATCCTCCTCATCCCACTGGAGTTTTTCCACCCTCCTCAGCTTTCCACGCATCCTCCTGATCCCATCTGGATCTTTCCAATCTCCTGATCCCACCACGATCTTTTCCATCCTCCTCATCCCACCTGGGTGTTTCCATCCTCCCCATCCCACCAGGATTTTTCCCATCCTCCTCATCCCACTGGAGCTTTTCCACCCTCCTCAGCTTTCCACGGATCCTCCCGATCCCACCCGGATCTTTCCCATCTCCTGATCCCATCCGGATCTTTTCCATCCTCCTCATCCCACCTGGCTGTTTCCAATCTTCCAATCCATTGGGATCTTCCCACCCTTCTCAGCTTTTCCCTCCTCCTCCTCCTCATCCCATCCGGATTTTTTCCAATCTCCTGATCCCACCGGGGCTTTTCCATCCTCCCCATCCCACCTGGATTTTTCCAACCTTCTCATCCCACCAGGATCTTCCCACTGGGATCTTCCCAACCTCCTCAGCTCCTCCGCCTTCATCCCACCTGGATTTTCCCACCATCCCCATCCCTCCGGGACCTTCCCGATCCCCTCATCTCATCCAGATCTTCTCAGTCTCCTCATCCCCCTGGAGCTTTTCCGTCCTCCCCATCCCACCTGGATCTTTCCTGCCACTTCATCCCACGGAGATCGTCACATTCTCCTCAATCCCACCGGGATCCTCCCACCCTCCTCAGCTTTTCCACCATTCTCATCCCACTGGGATCTTCCCAATCTCCCCATCCCACCAGGACTTCTCCAACCTCTTCATCTCACCTGGATCTTTCCCTTCTCCTTAACTTTTCCACCCTCCCCATCCCACCTGGATCTTTCCAACCTCCTCATCCCATTGGGATCTTTCCACCCTCCTCATCCCACCGGGATCTTTTCAACCTTCTCATCCTACCCAGATCTTTCCCTTCTCCTTAACTTTTCCATCCTCTCCCATCCCACCAGGATCTTCCCAATCTCCCCATCCCACCAGGACTTCTCCAACCTCTTCATCTCACCTGGATCTTTCCCTTCTCCTTAACTTTTCCATCCTCTCCCATCCCACCGGGATCTTCCCAATCTCCTCATCCCACCTGGATCTTTCCATCCTTCTCTTCCCATGTGGATCTTTCCATCCTCTCCCATCCCACCAGGATTTTCCCAATCTCCCCATCCCACCTGGATCTTTCCAACCTCTTCATCCTACCTGGATCTTTCCCTTCTCCTTAAATTTCCATCCTCTCCCATCCCACCTGGATCTTTCCAACCTTCCCCATCCCTTTGGGATCTCTCCCATCCTCTTCATCCTTTTCCATCCTCCCCATCCCACCAGGATCTTTCCATCCTCTCCCATCCAACCAGGATTTTCCCAACCTCCTGATCCCACCGGGATCTTTCCAACCTTCTCTTCCCATATGGATCTTCCCAATCTCCTCATCCTACCTGGATCTTTCCCTTCTCCTTAACTTTTCCATCCTCTCCCATCCCATCAGGATCTTTCCAACCTCCTCATCATCCTTTTCCACCATTCTCATCCCACCGGGATTTTCCCAATCTCCTCATCCCACCTGGATCTTTCCAACCTTCTCATCCTACCTGGATCTTTCCCTTCTCCTTAACTTTTCCATCCTCCTCATCCCACCTGAAGCTTTTCCACCTTTCTCATCCCACTGCGATCTTCCCAATCTCCTGATCCCACCTTTCTCATCCCACATCTCCCCATCCCACCAGGACTTCTCCAACCTCTTCATCCTACCTGGATCTTTCCCTTCTCCTTAACTTTTCCACCCTCCCCATCCCCCCGGGATCTTTCCACCCTCCTCATCCCATTGGGATCTTCCCATCCTCTTCATCCTTTTCCATCCTCCCCATCCCACCTGGATCTTTCCATCCTCTCCCACCCCACCAGGATCTTCCCAATCTCCTGCTCCCACCTGGATCTTCCCACCCTCCTCAGCTTTCCCACTCCAGGGCTCTCCCCCCGGAATTCCGGGCCCTCTCCCACCTTTTCCTTCTCCACCAGGGAGGGGATGAAGCTCCGTTTGTCCTCGGGCCGGTTGGTCACCGGGTGGATCCGCACCTCGTGAGTGAAGAAATCCACGGACGGCTGGAAAAACGGGAACGCTCAGCCCCCGGCCTGCATTCCCAACGGGAATTACAGCCCTGGGACCTCACCTTGGGCATTCCCAACGGGAATTACAGCCCCGGGACCTCACCTTTCAGCATTCCCAACAGGAATTACAGCCCTGGAGCCTCGCCACGGGCATTCCCGGTGGGAATTCCATCCCTGGGGCCTCACCTCCCACATTCCCAGTGGGAATTCTGCCCTTGGCACTTCCCCTTTCAGCATTCCCAGTGGGAATTCCATCCCTGGGGGCTCCCCTTGGGCATTCCCAACGGGAATTACAGCCTCGGGACCTCCCCTTTCAGCATTCCCAACAGGAATTCCAGCCTCGGGACCTCCCCTTTCAGCATTCCCAACGGGAATTACATCCCTGGCGCCTCCCCACGGGCATTCCCAGTGGGAATTCCAGCCCTGGCGCCTCACCTTGGGCATTCCCAGTGGGAATTCTGCCCTTGGCACTTCCCCTTTCAGCATTCCCGGTGGGAATTCCAGCCCTGGGACCTCCCCTCCCACATTCCCAGCAGGAATTCCAGCCCTGGGGCCTCACCTTGGGCATTCCCAATGGGAATTCCAGCCCTGGGGCCTCCCCCCCCCACATTCCCAGCAGGAATCCCAGCCCTGGTCCCTCCCATCCCGATCCCGAGTTCCCGGGGCTGGGCAGGTGTCGTGTCCGTCCCCCCTCACCTCGTAGGGGTCGAAGTTGAGGTCCCCGAAGTGCCCCCGCTGCAGGCGCTGCACCAGCTCCAGCTGCTCCTCCGACAGAGCCACCTCCGCACCCGTCTGACGGTCCTGAACCGTGCGCCTGGCACCGGACAGACACACCCACACTGGACACACCGACACGGCGGCAGGGCGGGGGGGGACGGACACACCGGGGGATGGGGGACACAGGGGGATGGGGGACACCGGGGGATGTGGACACAGGGGGATGGGGGACACAGGGGGATGTGGACACCAGGATATGGACACCCGGATATGGACACTGGAATCCCGGGATGGACTCCAGGATGGACACCGGGATATGGACAGTGCCATGGGGAACACAGGGGGATGTGGGACACCGGGGGATGTGGACACAGGGATATGGACACTGGAATCCCAGGATGGACACAGGGATGGACACCGGAGGATGTGGGACATGGGGATATGGACACCGGGATATGGACACTGGAATCCCAGGATGGACTCCAGGATGGACACTGGGATGTGGACAGTGCCATGGGGGACACCGGAGGATGTGGGACACAGGGGGATGTGGGACACGGGGATATGGACAAGGGGATATGGACACTGGAATCCCGGGATGGACACAGGGATGGACACTGGGATGTGGACAGTGCCATGGGGGACACCAGGGGATGGGGGACATGGGGATGGACACGGGGATATGGACACTGGAATCCTGGGATGGACGCAGGGATGGACACCGGGGGACGTGGGACACCAGGGGATGAGGGACATGGGGATGGACACAGGGATATGGGACAAGGGGATATGGACACGGGGATATGGACACCAGGATGGACACCGGGATATGGACACCGGGGGATATGGGACAAGGGGATGTGGGACATGGGGATATGGACACCAGGATGGACACCGGGATATGGACACCGGCATGGGGGACACCGGGGGATGTGGGACATGGGGATATGGGACACGGGGATATGGACACCAGAATCCCGGGATGGACACCAGGATGGACACTGGGATGTGGGACATGGGGATGGACATTGGGATATGGACAGTGCCATGAGGGACACCGGGGGATGTGGGACACGGGGATGGACACAGGGATATGGGCATCGGAATCCTGGGATGGACACTGGGATGGACACAGGGATATGGGCATCGGAATCCTGGGATGGACACTGGGATGGACACAGGGATATGGGCATTGGAATCCTGGGATGGACACCAGGATGGACATCAGGGTGTGGGATATGGGGATGGACGCCAAGATATGGACACCAGAATGGATGTTGGGATATGGACACTGCCATGGGGGACACCGGGGGATGGGGGACACTGGGATATGGATGACACCGGGATATGGACACTGGAATCCCGGGATGGACACCAGGATGAACATCGGGGTGTGGGATATGGGGATGGACACTGGGATATGGACACCAGGATGGGGGACACTGGGGGATGTGGGACATGGGGATACGGACACCAGGATGGACACAGGGATATGGACACGGGGATATGGACACCGGCATGAGGGACACCGAGGGATATGGGACACAGGGATATGGGCATCGGAATCCCAGGATGGACACTGGGATGGACATCGGGATGTGGGACATGGGGATGGACACCAGGATATGGACACTGGCATGGGGGACACTGGGATGGACGCTGGGACAGACACTGGGATGGACACAGGGATGTGGGACACCAGGATTGACATTGGGATATGGACACCAGGATGGACACCGGGACGGACACCGGGATGGACACCGGGATGGACACTGGGATATGGGCATTGGATTCCCAGGGTGGACACGGGGATGTGGGACACGGGGATGGACACGGGGGTATGGACACCAGAATCCTGGGATGGACACCAGGATGTGGGACAGGGATGGACACCAGGATGGAGACCAGGATGGAGACCAGGATGAATATTGGGATGGACACTGGGATGTGTGGACACAGGGATGGACACCACGATGGACACCACGATGGACACTGGGATATGGGCATCGGAAGCCCAGGATGGACATTGGGATGGACACTGGGATGGACACAGGGATGGACACAGGGATGGACACCAGGATGAGCACCGGGACGGACACTGGGGTGTGAGACACGGGGATGTGGGAGAGGGATGGACACAGGGATGGACACCAGGATCCTGAGATATGGGACTGGGAATGCAGAGGGATCCCTGGGAATGCAGAGGGATCCCTGGAAAGCAGAGGGATCCCTGGGAATGCAGAGGGATCCCTGGGAATGCAGAGGGATCCCTGGGAATGCAGAGGGAATTTCCCAGGATGCAGAGGGATCCCTGGAATGCAGAGGGATTCCTGGAATGCAGAGGGATTCCCAGAATGCAGAGGGATTCCCGGAATGCAGAGGGATTCCTGGAATGCAGAAGGGAATTTCCAGGAATGCAGAGGGATTCCTGGGGTTGCAGAGGGATCCCTGGGAATGCAGAGGGATCCCTGGAATGCAGAGGGATCCCTGGGAATGCAGAGGGAATTTCCCGGAATGCAGAAGGGATTTTCCAGGATGCAGCTGAGGATGGATGGGAGGGAGGGAGGGAGGGAGGGAGGCTCCGTGCCCGATCCCAAATCCCCACATATCCGGAATCACCCTGGAAAAGCCTCAGGAAGGCTCCAGGACCCTGAATTCTGGGATTTTGGGAACCCCACACAAACCCCACGTGCGGAGCACACCCGGGGAACCACGGAACACTTCGGGATTTTAAGGCTCATCCCCCATCCCGTGGGGCACCTCCCGCCCATCCCAAGGTTTTTTTTCCAGGAATTCCTCACCAGTATTCCGGGTTTTCCATCTTCTCCAGGAACAGGTCCAGCTCGTCCTTGCTCCTCAGGGGTTTGTAGATTTTCTTCCCGTCCAGGTCGTAGCCGATGTGCGGGAAATCCTGGTACCACTCCATGGGAATGTTCCCCACCGTGTTCCGGATGTCCTGGAGGGGAAAACACCGGGAAAAGGGTGAGGGGAGGGCACGGAATTCCAGGGAATATCCTTGGGGGAAACAGTGAGGGAATTCCAGGGAATCCTTGGGGGAAAAGGTGAGGGAATTCCAGGGAATCCTTGGGGGAAAGGGTGAGGGAATTCCAGGGAATCCTTGGGGGAAACGGTGAGGGAATTCCAGGGAATCCTTGGAGGAAACAGTGAGGGAATTCCAGGGAATCCTTGGGGGAAACAGTGAGGGAATTCCAGGGAATCCTTGGGGGAAACAGTGAGGGAATTCCAGGGAATCCTTGGAGAAAGAGGTGAGGGAATTCCAGGGAATCCTTGGGGGAAAGGGTGAGAGAATTCCAGGGAATCCCTGGAGGAAGAGGTGAGGGAATTCCAGGGAATCCTTGGGGAAAAGGTGAGAGAATTCCGGGGAATCCTTGGGGGAAAGGGTGAGGGAATTCCAGGGAATCTTTGCAGATGCTTCCCAAAGAAGTTTTCCTTGGAATGGCCCCGGGCATTCCTGCCACACATTCCTGGCAGCAGGAAAAGGGATCATTCCCTGAAATTATCCTTGGGAAAAGGGATCCTTCCCTGAAAATATCCATGGTAAAAGGGATCAGAATCAGGCAAAGGGGCAAGATTCCAAGGGATCCAGGGGTGGGAAAGGGCAGAATTCCAAGGGATCCAAAGGTGGGAGGGGGCAGAATTCCAAGGGATCCAAAGGTGAGAAAGGGGAGAATTCCAAGGGATCCAAAGGTGGGAGGGGGCAGAATTCCCTGTGCCCCCACTGCTGGCTGTGATTCCTTGGATTTTGGGTGCAATTCCATGGATTTTGGGACTCCCTGTGCCCCCAGCCTCTGCCCACAATCATCTCCATGACTCTGGCTGCAATTCCCTGGATTCTGGCTGCAATCCCATAGATTTTGGCTTCAATTCCATGGATTTTGGCCCTGATCCCACGGATTCTGGCTGTGATCTCACGGATTTGGGGACTCCCTGTGCCCCCAGCCTCTCTGCCCAGGACCATCTCCACATCCCTGGCTGCATTCCCACGGATTTTGGGACTCCCTGTGTCCCCAAACCCCTCTGTGTCCCTGGTTGTGATTCCATGGATTCTGGCTGCGATTCCCTGGATTCTGGCTATGATCCCAAGGGTTTTGGCTGCAATTCCATAGATTTTGGGACTCCCTGTGCCCCCAGCCTCTGCCCAGGACCATCTCCGCATCCCTGGCTGCATTTCCACGGATTTTTGGCTGCAATTCCATGGATTTTGGGACTCCCTGTGCCTCCAGCCTCTCTGCCCAGGACCATCTCCACATCCCTGGCTGCATTCCCACAGATTTTTGGCCGCAATTCCGCGGATTTTGGCCGCGGCTCCACAGACTTTGGCCACAGCCCCACAGGCAGGTTTTGGCCGCGATCCCGCAGGTTTTGGCCGCCATCCCACGGGTTTCAGGACTCCCCGCTCCCCCATCTCAGCTCGGATCCCCCTCCTCGCTGCCCCCGGGGGGGATCGATCCCCACCGGAGCCGCTCCGGCCTTTTCCCGGGAATTGTGGCGGCTGGAAGGTGCCGGGGCCGGGATCAGGATCGCTCCCGGCGCTAAACGAAAGCAGATGGCTCCGGGAGCTTCCAGAGGGCCGGCAGGGGGATGACAGAGGTTGGGTTTCGGAAGCTGCCGAGACAGGGATTAAGTGCGGGAGCGCACGGAAGGTGCCGCGCTCCGGCCGGGAATGAACCTCCCGCGCGGAGCTCCTGGGAGGCGCCGCTGCGAAAGCGGGGGGGGAAAGCTCGGGGAAAACTGCAGGGAAAACTGCGGGAAAAACTCAGGAAAAACCGCAGGAAAAACTGCAGGAAAAACGCAGGAAAAACTGCAGGAAAAACTCAGGAAAAACTGCAGGAAAAACTGCAGGAAAAACGGGCAATTCCCGGGCAATTCCAGGGCCATTCCTGGGCCATTCCCGGGTTGTTTTTTCCAGGTGGAAATGCTGGATTTCCTCGGGGATTGCTGGAGTTGGGAGGGGGGGGATAAGGCAGCTTGGAGCTGGGGGAATTCCCGGCTCGGGATGCTCCGGGGATTCCTCCCGGGAATCCTGGCTGGGGAGGCAGGGAAATCCCGGGGGATGCCGGAGCCCCTTCCAGGGCCTTTTCCAGGGTTTTGTTTTGGGAGAGCTGGGGAGGGGTTTGGGATCCAGGCTGGAGGGGACAGCACCCAGGGAATGGCTTCCCATGGAATATTGGGATTGTGGGATGGAATTCCCGGAGAATCCAGGGCTGCTCCATCCCTGGGACACCGGGAATGGGACAGGGAATGACACCTGACACCTCTGGAATTCCCGTGCCCCAATTCCCTCCTGGCTCTCCTCCCCGGGCAGGGAATTCCAACAAATCCCGGCGGCGGCTCCTCAAGGGTTAATTCCCGAATTCCCTCCCGCCCCGGGAGCAGCGGGAATGGGAAGGGGCCGGGATAAATCCCAATTCCCAGCCGGAATCCATCCCGGCATGGAAAATCCTCCGGGAATCCTCGGGGATCTCGGGATCACCGGGAATGTCCTGGGGAGGGGGGGGGCAGCGAATTCCCTCGGCTCCGGGCGCTCCCGGAATTCCAGAGGGATCCCAGAGCTGAGCGAATTCCCTCGGCTCCAGGCGCTCCCGGAATTCCAGAGGGATCCCAGAGCTGAGCGAATTCCCTCGGCTCCGGGCGCTCCCGGAATTCCAGAGGGATCCCAGAGCTGAGCGAATTCCCTCGGCTCCAGGCGCTCCCGGAATTCCAGAGGGATCCCAGAGCTGAGCGAATTCCCTCGGCTCCAGGCGCTCCCGGAATTCCAGAGGGATCCCAGAGCTGAGCGAATTCCCTCGGCTCCGGGCGCTCCCGGAATTCCAGAGGGATCCCAGAGCTGAGCGAATTCCCTCGGCTCCGGGCGCTCCCGGAATTCCAGAGGGATCCCAGAGCTGAGCGAATTCCCTCGGCTCCGGGCGCTCCCGGAATTCCAGAGGGATCCCAGAGCCGCCCCACGGCAGTTCCGGTGACCTTCGGGGTTGGGAGCAAAGGGAATTTCTGGGGAAAACCGGGAAAGGAGCGGCGAATCCCGGGAGTGGGGAATTCCAGAGGGATCCCAGAGCTGCCCCCCATGGCAGCTCCGGTGAACTTTGGGGTTGGGAGCAAAGGGAATTTCTGGGGAAAACAGGTTGGGGGGGCGACAGGAAAAGCGAGGGAAGGAGCGGCGAGGAGCGCGGGCATGTGGCGAAGGGGTTAAACCCGGCCTGGAGGGTGAGCTCAGGTAGGCCGGGCCTGGGGCTCCCCTTTCCAAAGGCTCCTTTTCCAAGGAAGCCGGGCCCGGAGGAGGGGCCGGGCCGCCCATTCCCGCCGCTATAAAATCCCGCAATTCCAGCCCGCGGCTCCCGGAGGATGCGCACGTGCGCCGGGAGCGGCGGCGAGCCCGAAAACCGGGAATAAACCGGGATAAACCCCCCCCCCCCCCCCAACACCGCCAAACCGGGCTAAAAACCCGCAAACCCGGGATAAACCCGCGATCAAACCCCGCGGCCACCGGGATAAAACCCGGACGAGACCTCAGAGAGCGCGGTAGAACCCCTAAAAACCGGTGTAAAACCGGGATAAAAGCGGGACAAAAACCCCAAAACCCGGGAGAGAAGCGGGATAAAAGCCCTCAGGCGGACCGGCGAGAGCCATGAGCGGCAGGAGCTGAGCTCCTCCGGCGGCGTTCCCAGCCATGTCCTTCGCCATGCTGCGCTCGGCGCCGGGGCGCTTCCTGTACCCCGAGATCAGCGCGCTGTCCGAGGACGAGGAGAACAGCGAGAGCTCGGGCTCCGAGGAGAAGCCCTTCCACCTGGAGGCCGACGCGTTCGGCATCAAGGGCGGCAAGCGGCGGCCCGGCAAGAGCCGCGGGAGGCTGGCGCGGGAGCCGCGGCAGCGGCACACGGCGAACGCCCGCGAGCGGGACCGCACCAACTCGGTGAACACGGCGTTCACGGCGCTGCGCACGCTGATCCCCACCGAGCCGGCCGACAGGAAACTCTCCAAGATCGAGACGCTGCGCCTCGCCTCCAGCTACATCTCGCACCTGGGCAACGTGCTGCTGCTGGGCGAGGCGGGCGGCGGCGGGCAGCCGTGCCACGGGGCGCCAGCGCCGGCCTCGGCGGCGGCGGCGGCGGCGGCGGCGGCGGCGGCGGCCGCGTTCTGCACGGCCGGGGCCGCGTCCCCAACCGGCCGGGAGAGCGAGAGCAGCCAGCAGCCCCGGCAGATCTGCACCTTCTGCCTCAGCAACCAGCGCAAAATGGTGAGCGGCGGTGCCGGGAATAGCGGGGATAGCGGAGAGAGTGGGGAGAGTGGGAATAACGGGGTGCGGGATAGCGGGAATGGGGTGCGGGATAGTGGGGGATGCCCAGCCCCGGCAGATCTGCACCTTCTGCCTCAGCAACCAGCGCAAAATGGTGAGCGGCGGTGCCGGGAATAGCGGGGAGAGTGGGGAGAGTGGGAATAACGGGGTGCGGGATAGCGGGAATGGGGTCCGGGATACCGGGATTTGGGAATCCCGGGATGTGCCCAGCCGCGGCAGATCTGCACCTTCTGCCTCAGCAACCAGCGCAGAATGGTGAGCGGCGATGCCGGGAATAACGGGGATAACGGGAATAGTGGGAATAATGGGGTGCGGGATAGCGGGATTTGGGAGTGGGGGCTCCCGGGATGTGCCCAGCCCCGGCAGATCTGCACCTTCTGCCTCAGCAACCAGCGCAAAATGGTGAGCGGAGGTGCCGAGGGTAGCGGGGATAGCGGGGATGACGGGGATAGCGGGAACAGTGGGAATAGTGCAAATAATGGGGTGCAGGATAGCGGGATTTGGGATTTGGGAATCCCGGGATTCCCAGCCCCAGCTGATCTGCACCTTCCGCCTCAGCAACCAGCGCAAAATGGTGAGCGGCGGTGCCGGGGATAGCGGGAATAACGGGGATAGTGGGGTACGGGATAGCGGGAATAGTGGGGAGCAGGATACTGGGAACGGGGAGTGGGATTTGGGAATCCCGGGATTCCCAGTCCCGGCAGATCTGCACCTTCTGCCTCAGCAACCAGAGGAAAACGGTGAGCGGCGATGCCGGGAATAACGGGAATAGTGGGGTCTGAGATAACAGGAATGGGGTCTGGGATAGTGGGAATGGGGTCTGGGATAGCGGGAATGCCGCAGGGATAGAGGGAATGGGGATTGGGATTTGGGAATCGCGGGGTGCCCAGCCCCGGCAGATCCGCACCTGCCTCAGCAACCAGAGGAAAACTGGTGAGCGGTGCTGTCGGGAATAGTGGGAATGATGGGGATACTGGGGTTTGGGATAGCAGGAATGCTGCAGGGAGAGAGGGAATGGGGATTGGGATTTGGGATCCACACTGGGAATGACGAGATCACCTGTGGGGCTCCCCAAAAAAACGGATTCCTGATTTATCCCAGCAATTCCCAGTTTTATCCCAGCGATTCCCAGTTCATCCCACTGATCCCCTGGTTTATCCCAGCGATTCCCGGGTTTATCCCAGCAATTCCCAGGTTTATCCCAGCGATTCCTGGGTTTACCCCAGCAATTCCCAGTTTTATCCCAGTGATTCCCAGGTTCATCCCAGCGATTCCCAGTTTTATCCCAGCAATTCCGGGGTTCATCCCAGAGATTCCCGGGTTTATCCCAGTGTTTTCCCACTCCTGGGATAACAGGAAGGGATGGGATGAGCGAGAATGCCAGGGAGCTCCTGCCTGGAGCTGCAGGCACAGCAGAGCCTGACGGAGGCGGCTCGAAAATCCATGGAAAAGCCATGGAAAATCCAGGGAAAATCCATGGAAAATCCATGGAAAATCCATAGAAAATCCATGGAAAATCCAGGGAAAATCCAGGGAAAATCCATGGAAAATCCAGGGAAAGTCTAGGGAAAATCCATGGAAAATCTAGGGAAAATCCAGGAAAAATCCAGGGAAAATCCATGGAAAATCCATGGAAAATCAATGGACAATCCGGGAATGGACACCAGGAAGGGCCATAGAAAAGAGACCGGGACAGGGAACTGGGATTTGGGATCGGATCCCAGTGCTCCCAGTAACTCCGTACAGGGGATCCCAGTGCTCCCAGTAACTCCATAACGGGGATCCCAGTGCTCCCAGTAACTCCGTACAGGGGATCCCAGTGCTCCCAGTAACTCCATAACGGGGATCCCAGTGCTCCCAGTAACTCCGTACAGGGATCCCAGTGCTCCCAGTAACTCCGTACAGGGATCCCAGTGCTCCCAGTAACTCCGTACAGGGGATCCCAGTGCTCCCAGTAACTCCGTACAGGGGATCCCAGTGCTCCCAGTAACTCCATAACGGGGATCCCAGTGCTCCCAGTAACTCCATAACAGGATCCCAGTGCTCCCAGTAACTCCGTACAGGGATCCCAGTGCTCCCAGTAACTCCGTACAGGGGATCCCAGTGCTCCCAGTAACTCCGTACAGGGGATCCCAGTGCTCCCAGTAACTCCGTACAGGGATCCCAGTGCTCCCAGTAACTCCGTACAGGGATCCCAGTGCTCCCAGTAACTCCGTACAGGGATCCCAGTGCTCCCAGTAACTCCGTACAGGGGATCCCAGTGCTCCCAGTAACTCCGTACAGGGATCCCAGTGCTCCCAGTAACTCCGTACAGGGATCCCAGTGCTCCCAGTAACTCCGTACAGGGATCCCAGTGCTCCCAGTAACTCCATAACGGGGATCCCAGTGCTCCCAGTGACTCCATAACGGGGATCCCAGTGCTCCCAGTAACTCCGTACAGGGGATCCCAGTGCTCCCAGTAACTCCGTACAGGGGATCCCAGTGCTCCCAGTAACTCCGTACAGGGGATCCCAGTGCTCCCAGTAACTCCATAACGGGGATCCCAGTGCTCCCAGTAACTCCGTACAGGGGATCCCAGTGCTCCCAGTAACTCCGTAACGGGGATCCCAGTGCTCCCAGTAACTCCGTACAGGGGATCCCAGTGCTCCCAGTAACTCCGTACAGGGATCCCAGTGCTCCCAGTAACTCCATAACGGGGATCCCAGTGCTCCCAGTAACTCCGTACAGGGGATCCCAGTGCTCCCAGTAACTCCATAACGGGGATCCCAGTCCCTGAGTGCCGGCACTCCCAGTTCCCAATCCCAGTGCTCCCAGTTTCCCAATCCCAGCCCTCCCAGTTCCCCCATTCCAGGGATCCCGGAGGCACTGGGAGCCGCCCCGGCCATCCCAGTTCCCCCAATTCCCCGGATTTTGGGATTCCCTCTCCTCTCCTGATTCCCTGGATTTCGAGATTTTCAGATTCCCTCTCCTCTCCCAATTCCCTGGATTTTGGGATTTTGGGATTCCCTCTCCTCTCCTCATTCCCCAGATTTTGGGGTTCCCTCTCCTCTCCCGATTTCCTGGATTTTGGGATTCCCTCTCCTCTCCCGATTCCCGGGATTTTGGGATTTCCCTGCAGGTGGAGCAGGGAAAATCCAGCGGGATTTTCCTGCCACATCCCAAATTCCCCAAATTCCCCCCAAGGGAACGGGGCCATTCCAAGGGCAGAGGGGCAGGATTGGGATCCAGGCTGATCCCAGATAACCCAGAGGGAATGGAAAAATCCTCGGGAAGGATTTGGGCATCACCAAACTCTGGGGTTTTCCACCCAAATCATTCCCAAAGCCCAACAGCTCCGGGGTTTGGGAATGAGGGAATTTGGGAAAAGGGGAGTTTGGGAAAAGGGGAATTTTGGGAAAAGGAGAATTTGGGAAAAAAGGAATTTGGGAAAAAGGGAATTTGGGAAAAGGGGAAATTGGGGAAAAGGGGAAATTTGGGAAAAGGAGAATTTGGGAAAAAAGGAATTTGGGAAAAAGGGAATTTGGGAAAAGGGGAATTTGGGAAAAAAGGAATTTGGGAAAAAGGGAATTTGGGAAAAGGGGAATTTGGGGAAAAAGGGAATTTGGGGAAAAAGGGAATTTGGGAAAAGGGAATTTGGGAAAAGGGAATTTGGGAAATGGGGAATTTGGGAAAAAGGGGATTTGGGGAAAAAGGGAATTTGGGGAAAAAGGGAATTTGGGAAAAGGGGAATTTGGGGAAAAAGGGAATTTGGGTAAAGGGGAAATTGGGGGAAAAGGGGATTTGGGAAAAGGGAATTTGGGAAAAGGGAATTTGGGAAATGGGGAATTTGGGAAAAAGGGGATTTGGGGAAAAAGGGAATTTGGGGAAAAAGGGAATTTGGGAAAAGGGGAATTTGGGGAAAAAGGGAATTTGGGTAAAGGGGAAATTGGGGGAAAAGGGGATTTGGGAAAAGGAGAATTTGGGGGAAAAGGGGAATTTGGGAAAAGGGAATGTGGGAGAATTAGGGAAAAAGGGAATTTGGGAAACGGGGAATTTGGGAAAAGCTCAGATCTTGTGAATGGCCCTGCCCAGGCTGCTGGGAGCAGCCAGGAATGGGACCCCAGCCAATTCCAGCCAGGAATGGGATCCCAGCTGATCCCAGCTGATCCCAGCCAGGAATGGGATCCCAGCTGATTCCAGCCCTTCCCAAGGCTCTGGGATCTGGGAAGACGCTGCCCAGGAAGGGCCCTAAATCCGCTCCCATCCCAGCATTCCCGGGGATTTCTCCAGGCCCGGAGCACTCCATGGGCAGGGACTCCTTCCCCTGCCCCGGGATTCTCCCAGGACATTCCCAGGGACCAATTCCTACAAATCCCCATCCTCAATTTTCCCATATAATTTTCCCATATAATCCATCCCAATAATTCCCATCCCGAGGTCTGGGTCAATTCCTATAAACTCCCATCCCTGATTCTGGATCAATTCCTATAAAATCCCATCCCTGATTTTGGGTCAATCCCTATAAAATCCCATCCCTGATTTTGGGTCAATCCCTATAAAATCCCATCATCAGTATGGAACAATTCCTACAAATCCCCATCCCTAATTTTCCATCCATCCCAATAATTCCCATCCCTAATTCTGGATCAATTCCTACAAACTCCCATCCCTGATTTTGGATTAATTCCTACAAACTCCCATCCCTGATTTTGGATCAATCCCCACCAATTCCCACCCTTCCATCAATCCCAGTAATTCCCATCACCCATTTTTCACCGATCCCCATGGATTGCAGCATTAATTCCGGATCAATCCCAATCAATCCTGAACCTTAATTTAAAAACTCCCATAAATTCCCAGCCTCGATTCGCCACCAATCCAAACAATTCCCATCCTTTGTTCTTCCATCAATTCCTGCAAAATCTCATCACACCTCGAATTGGGGCTGGAATCAGGGCTGGAATTGGGGATGGAATTGGGGATGGAATTGGGGCTGGGATTAGAATTGGAATTGGGGCTGGAATTGGGGCTGGAATCAGGGCTGGAATTATCACTGGAATGGGGGCTGGAATCAGGGCTGGATTTAGGGCTGGAATTAGAACTGGAATTGGGGCTGGAATTGGGGCTGAAATTGGGGC